TTTATGATATCCACAAAATATAGTCACAACACATTGCAGTATATTCTGTGAAGCGCTTTAAGACGTCTCAAAGACGTGATAAGGCGCTATATCAAATGCAGTGATTATTATTATCTGGCATATAAAAATGTTTTGCTAGGATACAAAACATAACATATTGGTGCACTGTGCTTTAACCAGAACTTGTATTTATATAGTGCCTTTGACATAGTGTAACATCCAGTTACAAATCTGGTTTGGATGCTGAGCAGAGGTTTGGGAAGTGGGAAGTTAGGCATAGGTGCATTCAAAGTGGTAGGTATTAAGGTGGGATTAAAAGCAGACAGTGAGACAGAGGGGAGACAGCGAGAATTCCCGAAGTTAGGGGCATAAAATCTGAAGGCTTGGCCACCAATGGTGGCAGAACACAGGGAATCCACAGCAAGCCTGGCCAACAAACTCCTTGATAAAAATAATTGGTCATTCACTTTATGGCTGTTTCAATACAGATTACAAAGAATTTACAATATGGAATCACGCCACTGGGCCCAACCAGTCTGTGCCAGTTTGTACGCCTCATGAATCTAGGCAGACAGATTTATCTACTCATCCGAAGGACAGTACCTCCGATAATGCAACACCCCCACCTCCCAGGACTGCATTGCAAAGTGGCTTGAACCCAAAACTTTCTGACTCAGAGGCAAGAGTGCTATCACAAAGACAGACTGACACACAATTCTAGGACATTGTTGTGCACTAACTAGCAGCTGCATTCACCTAAACATACAGTCATTGCAGTTTAAGGAAAACTGTGAAGCACTGAGAGGTGTTTCAATGCATAAGGTGCTGTATCAAATACAATAATTATTTTTATTAAATAGGAAAAAACTGAAGGAGGTGGGTTGCTATAATAGGTTGACTGGAATTAGCAGGTTTTTTTCCAGATTATAATGTACTCAGTCCCTGGGCTGACACCTGAACAAACTGTTTTCAAGTATTTTCAACTGAAAACCTTCTCAAGGTTGTACACTATCTATTCCTGTTTCATTTTCACACTGGAACATGCAGCGAGAAAGTAATCAAATTAAGCTTTCAAACCTTGTTGAGAGATATTTCTTATTTTTGTTCTAATTTATTGGTCACTCAGAAATTATTTGTTAAGTCAAGAGATAGGAAGAGAACTGGAACCTTGGTTTCTGCCTGCATTAGTATACCCAAATGTACGCATTGATTGCATCAGGAAAAAAGCTCGATTCTTATTATACTAATCATTTGAATGTTTTGTATTGTTTTATTGGGTACCTAATTGAAAGCACAAACCTAGCTACATATGTGGTTTATAGGTGCTATTCCCATCTTATAAAATGCACCTACTTTCCTATAGATTATATATTATAGACCCTCCTGTTTTTTCATGTTAACCATTTAGCACACATTCAAGGCTCAGGGATAGAAAACAATATATTGTACGGAGTTATTGTAATTTTGGTAAAAACATTAAAGTTTAGCCACAATTGAAAAATATGTAATATGGATTTTTTAAATATAATTTACAACACACTAGTTTGTTATGTGCAGGATCAGCAACTCATGGCATTTTAGATGCAGGAATAATATATGCTAATAAATAACAACTTGCATTTATGTAATGTCCTGCTCTAGCACAACAATTTAGAGCTTCACAATGGCAGGCTTGGATGCCAAGCAGGGAAGAGAGGGAAGTGCCCATAAGAGCAGTGAAATAGGTAGGTTTTAATGAGTGGTTTGACGATAGAGGAGGCAAGGGGGAGGGAAAGAGGCACTCTGTGGTGAGTTCCAGAGGTTAGGGACTGAAGGGTTGGAGGGGGTGGGTAACGCATTAGCAGGACCTTGTTATACAATGAATGTGCAGTGAATGAGCAGGAGTGGGGTCAGAGCAGATTAGAAAGATAAGAGGAGGTGCTAGGGTATGAAAGGATTTATACATGGGGCTTAGGACGTTGAAATTGATCTGTTCGGAGCCTGAAGACGATTGGGGTAATGTGAAGTTTGGTGTTGGTGAGGATTCGATCAGTGGTGGTTTTGTATTAGTTGGACCAATTTATTAGCTGGAGGATTTTTGACCAGGACCCCAGGAGAAACTCATTCTTTTCAAAGAATGAATATAGCAAATCTTCAAAAGATAATACAGCAGTCATAAAATCAAATCAGACTTATAACCAAAAATAAGTGGCGCAGAAGTTGTTTGCATGTAGTTTATGACTGGTAAGATTGGTAGTTTGACACATTGGAGGACCTTAAAACTGTAAAATTTGTTAGTTGAATTTTGGGCCAAGTATTCAGGCATATGCTTTCAAATGAGCAGCCTTATATGTTTTAATCCCATTTACTTTGCTGAGCAGGCTTCCCATAGCAGCACTCCGTGCAGAAAGTTTGAACAGTAGCAGGATTCAAGGTTTATTCGGGTGTCTGGGATTTTGATTTTCCTGATGTAAGCAACACTGCCAATGGTTTTGTTTTGTACAATGAAGAATACATATTCCAACATTTCATGCTCTATCTGTTCCCTCATTGTGTCTGGCTTCTCTTTTGCTATCAGGAAACAAGGCAGCCAAGGACAAAAAAAAGCCTCGGGAGATAATCCTCTTTTCTGGATGAAATACTGCTGTGTTTTTATACACTTTGTCCCCAAAGTCTATGAAAGACAGACACTTCTGAAATTGTTAGCTAAATGTAACAGAATTCGAGAAAGTCCGCTATTTTGTGAGGTGATTAATATGTTATACACAAAAAATGCTGACATTTTGTGTCTTAAGTTTTGGACTAACCTCTCCTCCCTCCCCCCACCAAATAATATCTGGAAAATAGTTTTTCCTCGTCTAGGCAATTTTAGATTCAAAATGCATAAACGTTATTTTGTTATCAGGATGCCAAAAAAATTATTCCAGGCAAGAAAAAACTTTTAATTTTAACTTGTAATCTTAATTTTAAAACATTATCTACCTAAAACAAGGTTAAATCACTGCTCTCACAATGAATAATTTCAGGCCTCTGAACCTCACCATTTATTTTAAGTGAACATTGATTGAGGCCACAAGTTCTTTCTGGCACATATCAGCAACTGAACCTGGAACCTCTGTATTTTGTGTAGCTCAGTACCACTAAATCACTAGAGTGAGTGGCTTTGATTGATTTTAAAAATGGTAACTTGCTTCCAGTACTTTTGGTATTTTAATTTGATCGGTCCAATCAGTGGATTTTTGACATAGATAATTTAAAATCTGCTACAGGTTTATATAGTATTGAGCTAAATAGTCAGGAAGTTACTTATCTCTGTTAGCTGATCTGATTCAGACGTGACTCATAGTGACTTGCTGACGACACTATAATTACGCAGTATCCCTGGATTGGGGAAGGAGAATATCAGATAAAATCCCAGTTTTATCTTACGATCTGACTAATGTGATCAGGAACAATCAGCAAGGATTCATGAAAGATAGATCGTGTCTCACTAATCTAATTAATTTTTTTTAAGAAAAAAAGCATGAATGACAGAATGCAAAAGTATATACCGACTTGCAGAAAGCTTTTAGCAAGGTAGTGTACCAGATAAAAGATTAGTATCAAACTCTAGGCATGGACTGAATGGCGCCCTATGGTGAAATTGTGTTTTTACCACATATAGACTGTGTCTATATGAACATCAATGAGGCAGAGAAGCTGTTCTCGATTCAAAGCAAGTGTTCTTAAAAATGTCTTCCTAAAGAACAACAACAAAATTACATTTGCATAGCGTCTTTCATGTCGGAAGGACGTCCCAAGGCGCTGGACAGATTGAGTTACGGACCCGAGCTGAGGTAGGGTGGGGAAGCAAGGAGTTCGAAAGCACGGTTGAAGAGGAGGGTCTTGAGGTGGGTCTTGAAGGTGGCGAGATGGAGGGACTGTGGGATGGAGTTTCAGAGGGTGGGTGCAGAGTGGCGGAAGGCCCTCCTGCCGATAGTGGGGCGAGCAAGGCGGGGGACGTGAAGCAGGATGGAGCCCGCTTAGCGGAGGGAGCCAACAGGGTGGTCGGGGGTTAGGAGGTCGGAGAGGTAGGAGGGAGCAAGACCTTGGAGGGTTTTGAAGGTGAGGACCAGGATCTTGAACTGTATCCTCTGTGATGGGAAGCCAGTGGAGTGGGAAAGGATGGGGGTGATAGGGTCACGGAGCCTAGTGCGGTAGAGGACACGGGCTGCAGAGTTCTGGATGATCTGCAGCCTGTGGAGGGAGGAGTTGGGGAGGCCGACAAGCAGTGAGTTTGCATAGTCGAGTCTCGATGTACTGAAGGCATGTATGAGGGTTTTGGCGGCCTGCGGTGTGAGACAGTGGCAGAGCCGGACGACGTTGCAGCAAACTTGGAGATCAACATCTCCCAATATTGTCAGAGTCTGACAAATCTACACTTGTGCAATAAGTACAGTGCAATAATTTAAGCTTTCTCAACTATTTCTCTAGGCCCAACTTTCCCAAGGATGCACAAATATGTATGATTCTCTTTTGTAAATGATGTTTAAGAAGTGATCTGATAATAGGTGGTGTAATACCTGTACACAGATACTGACTTTTGTCTAAGACCAAAATACTTAAGGATAAGGGTAAAGCAGGCCAGCGGTAGGGACGTTCCAGGGCGAAGGGATTTGTAGACAATTATGACTAATTCCAGAAAGTATTAGCCAGGCACTTGTTTTGACAGTAATGCTTAAGAATTCTGTGCAATATTTTCATTTGGCAAATGCTGAATTCCATAGCCAACATTCATCAATCATCAAAAGATGCCACACCCTCTTAAAAATGTAATGGGAAACAAAAATCACTTTAAAATACCTGCTACAGCAGAAAGACCATTGTTCCCATTGTGTAATGGCCATGTCATATCAACAGCATACAAGCCCACTTATTTCCTGGTTTCATTGAAGAGATCAGGTTCTTTACAAGTTGCTGCATGTTGGTGGATGGAAGAAAATGCCACTTAAGTAGATTAGAAAGATAAAGACCCAGTTGAACACTGTTATAAAACATTTATTAAAAAAGCATGATACTGAAAATGATAATGCAATATATTACTGTACATGTACAGTAGAGAGCGACAAAATTACAAATCATTCTCAATATCTCACATTCCTCAGTACTTCAAAGTTGTCTTAATCTGCAGCAGCAGGTGGAACAGTTTCCAAAATGGCTGCAGACTTATTATGGGCTTTATTTTGGCTGATTGTGCGTTTACTCACTCGGAACTGCTCAGGTCACCAGCTTCCGCATTATTCAGTATTGTATTATTCCACGAGACAAATAAATTCTCAGGGACCTTCTTTGCTTCAGTGAAATGATTTTCTTTTTGTTGAATTGCCTTGAAGGTGTCCTGCAGAACGTCTAAGCTTTTTTCTCTCTTCGCGATGCAGCTTCTCAGCCTGTTGTTGCTGCTTTTGTTGCTCAGACTGAACAAATAAGAGGCATGACATTACATAATGAAGTATTAAAATTACTAGAAAATAGTTGAGGGGACGGGTGTTCTGAAGGGATGAGATCAGATAGGCCAAAGAGCCTTCTTCATCCAGACCAGTCTTGTGACATGTCACCAATCCGGAAGTATAATTTTTTAATGTAAAAATGTACTAAACACAGCCAAACCCTGTAACGAGGTCTCTTAATTTAAAGTTAATTTAAGTTTTTCAGAGCCATGCAACAGTTGCTGTTACTTTTGATATACTTAAGTTACATTCGGTTCTCAGGGAGTTGGCAGTTTCTTTAAAGCACATTTATTTTTGGTCATTTTATTGCTCAAAATAAATGATCTGTCTTGAGAAGAGAACATCTCTTACTCCACCCCCCTTCAGTTTTGGTACATTTCAGCCACTGTGCCTTTGGTCACCAATCCCCCCTTTCCAGCTCAGCAGCAAACCACATCTCTGGTAAGCACTCTCAGATGCTACTGACTATACAAATGCAAATTTTTATTGTAGTAGTACATTGCACCATAATCAAGCACTTTTAAGGTCAGGTGTAGAATGGACCAGAAGCAAAGTAAAATCCAATCAACTTTTACCCGGTACCCCTACACCCCAAATGACTTTCAATTAGTGTCAAACTTGACCCAGTTTCATGTCATGAACTTACGAGTATTAGGAAATGTGGAATTATATGGTAAATCATACAAATGCTTCCCCTTCTTAGTGAATTGTTAACTTTACCAACAAGGTGACAGAATTATCTTATCTAATTTTTTTTACCCAAACAAATACATTAGCTCACCTTTTTAAGAGTGAATGTCAACTGCTTGCTGCCTATACTGGTGTTAGCAAGATGGAGAGTTCCAGCCTTTTCCTCATGTTTCAAGCGATCTTCAAATGTTGTCCTGTGTAGTTTAACAATAAGGTGATTAGAAATTTGAAGAATTCTGTGGACTTCTGCAAGTCGCAGGAAAGTTATAATTCTATGCCAGCATAACGTTCACCAGTAAAATGTTACGTTGGATAATGATCATAGAATATTTAAATAGTATTCACTTTCTTTATCCCCTTCTTCAGAAGGCAACAAATACCACATACTGCTTTTTAAAATCACATTATAACTCTACAGTGAGAGATGGTGACTCTTGAGCATGTCTGAGTTTGCAGGGATATGGGGAGAGCGGGGAGAGGGATTGAATTGGAAGCTCTTTTCAAAGAGCTGGCACAGACGCAATGGTCCGAATGGACTCCTTCTGTTCTCTATGATTCTATGAAATACATTGAAATGGATCTGAAATGTAATTAATGCAAGTAATGGTACAAGAGCAAAGCTATTTGATATTTAAATATATAGAATCATAGAATGTTACGGCACAGAAGGAGGCCATTCGGCCCATCGAGTCTGTGCCGGCTCTTTGACAGAGCAACTGACTTTTATTAACCCCACTCACCAGCTTTCTCCCCATAATCCTGCAAACCTGTCTTCTCCAGATACCTTTCCAGTTCTCTCTTAAAAGCTGTTATCGAATCGGACTTCACTACCCTTTTGGGCAGATCATTCCAAATTCGAACAACTCGCTGAGTGAAAACATTTCTTCTAATCTCCCCTCTGCTTCTTTTGGTAGATATCTTAAGACTGACCACGAGTCACAGACACATCTACCAGCGGAAACAGCTTTTCCCTATCTAGTCTGTCGAAACCTTTCATGATCTTGAAGACCTCTATCAGGTCCCCGCGTAACCTTCTCTGCTCTAATGGGAAAAGTCCTAACTTTTCCAGCCTGTCCTCATAGCTAAGGTTCCCCATTCCTGGTAACATTCTCATGAATCTCCTCTGCACCCTTTCCAGTGCCTTAATATCCTTCCTGAGGTAAGGTGCCCAGAACTGGACTCAGTACTCCAGCTGAGGCCTAACCAGTGTTTTGTACAGATTAAGCATAACTTCCCTACTCTTATACTCTATGTCCCTACTAATGAAGCTCCGTACACCAAATGCCCTTTTTACTGCCCTATCTACCTGCTCTGCCACCTTCAATGAATCGCTTACTTGAATGCCCAGATCTCTCTGTACGTTCACCCCCCTTAAGATTGAGCTACCAAGTCTATATTGCCTCCTATCATTTTTCCTACCTAAGTGTATCACCTCGCACTTATCTACATTGAAATCCATCTGCCACATGTCAGCCCATTCCGCCATTCTGTGTATGTCTGCCTGTAGTCCGTCACAATCTTCTATTAAATAGTGCTCCCTATGCCCAAGTCCAGATCATTAATATATATTAGAAAGAGCAGTGGTCCCAATACCGATCCCTGGGGGACACCGCTGCACACCTCCTTCCATTGCGAGAAACACCCATTAACCACCACCCTCTGCATTCTGTCACTCAGCCAGTTCCTAATCCAAACGGCTACTGTCCCCTTAATACCGTGGGCCTCCAGCTTTTGTATTAACCTCTTATGCGGTACTGTGTCAAAAGCCTTTTTAAAATCCATGTAAATAATGTCCACCGCATTTCCCTCATCAACCCTCGCAGTCACCTCTTCAAAATATCCTATTAGATTTGTTAGGCAAGATTTGCCTTTAACAAATCCATGTTGGCTGTCTCTAATGACCTCATGTTCCTCTAAGTAGAGATTTATTCTGTCCCAGATTATGGTCTCCAGTAGCTTTCCTAGTATCGAAGTTAGGCTGACTGGCCTGTAATTTCCGGGTTTGTCTTTCTGCCCCTTTTTGTAGAGTGGGGTAACATTAGCCACTCTACAGTCTCTTGGCACCACTCCTGTGTCCAATGACGACTAAAATATAATGGCCAAAGCCTCCGCTATTTGAACCCGTATCTCCCACAGCAACCTTGGGTGAAACCCATCTGGTCCTGGTGACTTATCAATTTTGAGCCCAGTCAATCTTTTCAGAACTTCCTCTCTGTCTATAGTAATCTGATCTATGTCCTCTACCCTGTCATCCAATACTGTGGCATTTGGGGCATCCGTTTCCGTTGTGAAGACAGATGCAAAGTACTCGTTTAGTACATCAGCCATGCCCTCTGCCTCCACAAAGACGATACTTAAATGTGTTTAAATTTACATTTAAATATTTATGTAGGAACCTGGTTGTTAGTCGATTGGTGGATTGCTTTCCAGGGGTAATCATTTCTCAAAAAAAACTATTGGACACTCAATCCACGACTGCGTGTGGGACCCCCTCTCTGTGCAATTGGCTGCCACGTTTCACCCACAAAATACACAGTCAATCCACTTTACAGTATATTCTGTGAAGCGCTTTGAGACGTTTCAATGACATAAGGCCCTATATCAAATGCAAGGATTACTATTATTATTAAATTGTGGCCAATGGGAACAAAAAAAGTCTTAAAGGTCCCACACTGCTAAACGCTCAGCAGAATCATGTGGCAGAAAAGGTCTCGTCACAGGTGACTGTTCAATCAAGAAAGAAAAATATTTGTTATATATTAATACTGTAATTAAAATAATTTTTTGTACATTTATTATCAGAAAGTTTAAAAAAAAAGGCAACACTCACTTCAGCAGCTTCTGTTTTTGAACCGTGTCTTTAAAGCTTCTGAATTCTTCTCCGGCTTTGATCTCAAAGAATTTAGGTTGCAAACGAGTTTGTTTGTCAAGCTCACTTCGCTCCTGGCGCTTCAGTTTTTGTTCGTGGCGTAAGAGTTTATGCTGTCTTTGTACCTCTTCAACCCAGCCTCGATCATCATCAGAGCTCTCCTCATCACTGGGTTTTCCTTCTAGCTCCTCCTGAACACCAATCATTATTGCAGCATTAGACAGACATACTTAGATACAAATTATAAAAAAAACATTATATATAACATATATATTATAGATAGAGCAGTATATTCAAACTGTATGTGAATCATTCTACAGTTCCAAAGAGAGATTGGACAATTGGTAGTGGAAGAAAGGAGAATAAAAATATTTATTCCAATGACTGGCTTAATTTTTGCAGCACAGTCCCATGCTCACAATGATGCCATTTAATTAAAAGAACCTAGAAGGAAAAATGCAACCTAAAAAAGGAATAAGGGAATGAGAAACTGGGTATATTTTACATAAACAAAATAAATCACTTCATCATTCAAAACCAGCAGCAACCTATGTTTAATGATATGCAAACCCTTACCGGCAACATATTCCACACGATTATTATACATTTGGACCGTGCAGGATGCCTCAAAGGGCATTTTGCATAGGAGCTAACACCAGCTTGAATTGCTGTATTAGATTGATGAGAATTTTATACCACAAAAGCAGGCTCCATTGGAGGCAGTAAGCAATTAGTCTTGCAACCAAGGAATGCGGTGCATTTCATGCTTACATAGAGAAATTTACACAGAATGTACAGCACAGAAACAGGCCATTCATTTTGTACCACCATGCAAAATCAGCTCCCAGTATCATACTGAAGATCGCAATATAATTTTCAAATTCTAAATATTATTGAAGCTACAGATTAAACATCTACACACATAATCTTACTTTTACTGTTTGTTTAGAAGCTTTATAGCTAAAAACATGACTGTTATTACAAGAAGTTACCTGTTCAGCCTCTGGGTCCTCCTGTAACTGCTTTAATTTCTTCTTCCTCTTTTCTGAGGCTTTGGACACGATTGGATTTATGAGCCGGAATTCCTCACTGGCTTCATCCACTTGGAAGTCTGGGTTTTCAAACATGACCTTGAACCGCTCATCTCGGAGAATGTTGGGTAGATTCTGGCAAACAACATGATTTATACTTCGTCATGGCATTTACAAACATCACTTTTTACAAACAAGTTGGACCCTTTTCCACTGTTCTTTAGCATCGTCCCCCTCCCCTTCTCCAACCACCAACACTGTCCTCAGTCAATACCTCTCTTGAACTGTTGTTCAAAGACTTTTGAAAGTTCACTCACTTCTGTGATTTTCATTTCCCTTACCAAGAGGTGATCCTTTCGACCCTTCACAGAAGTTAATATCAAGATTATTTGGGGCAGTCATGGAGACAAACTTGAAGTTAGTGTTATATTGTGTTAAGATATATAGCATTTAAAATAGAATTGGTTAACTGAAACAGTTATGATTACAATTAATCTAGAAAGGTTTAGGGATTATTGGGAAATGAATACAAGTGCTTCTTCTTCTTAGTGGTGATTTGGGGGATATCACTGGAAAATAACAGACCAGTGTGTGGCTGCAGTAAAACAGGCTAACAAGATACTGGGGTCCAAGAGCACATCAACATAACTTTTAAACTTGTTTGCTTAAAGTCAACTTCTCCACACATCCACACTACTACTACTGCATGCAATTGACATAGCCATCAAGGATATCTTTGCTTTTGAGTGTATGTAGTCTAAGACATAGAAAAATACCAGGCCTTGGGAATCTAAATTAGAGGTTAGACTTGGTCTTGCTGAAAAAAGAAAACTGAGGCGACCCAATCAAAGCTTTCAGAATTATTAAAAGGATTAATAGTTGATTGAATCAAATTGTTCACATGAATGGAGGGTTCAAAAACTAGGAGTTCTAGGAGGGGTGGGGGGGGTTTAGACAAAATATTTTCAAGCGCAGGATTGTAGAATTGAAAAGCATTAACCAGGAAATTAGCAGCATACAAAGCGGTGAAGCTGAAAAAAATGCCTTGGAATGTACAATGCAACTCCACAGATCCAGATTTATATCACAATGTCCTATAAGAACATAGGTCTGATCCGAGATTATCTAGAAGGTTAGTGTGATTCATATAGGGTTCCCTGCATAACTCACTTTGCATTCCAAACCAGGTTTGAGGCATCATTAAAAGTAAGGGTGAGGCACCATTCATGCTGCAATATTCCAAATCATGCACAAATGTGTGTGTATAAGTGTTTACAGATACAAACATTAATGATTTTTAAGCGCTTCAAACAGTAACTCCTATATTTAAACTAGCACAAATCAATTAGTGATTTATTATCAGGTGAGAATGAAAAAGGACTCATTCAGATTAATGCAGGTCAACTAAAAAAGAATAATCACCTAGACTGACGTGGACAATGAACATAAATTTACCAATCTTGCATAACGATTGATATGGGAGAGTATCTTTGACATCAAAAGGATGACTCAGCAGATGATCGTAACAACTAAACAATTTCTCAATCTTTAGCAGTGCTTATCTCGTCTCTTTTACATCTTACTGTAAGCACACAAATCATTGTTCAACTTTTTCTTACAAATATTTGTTGATTATTGAACTAGATGGTTTGAACTAGTGTCAGAAATGTACAAAAGTACTTCATTCGCCTAACAAGAAATATAAAAAGCAGATGTTTTCCATGTAACATCAGAGGCATGAAATTAAAAAGCAGGGCAAAACCAAAAATGTAAGGGAAAACTTGACCTTCAGAGTGCCAGTTTACTACAGCGCAGTTTCTGCTTACACACTAACAATGAAAGACCACAAGTTCACACAAGTAAAATAATCTATTTAAGAACATTGTTGACGTCAAACCAGGTGATTTCCGGTGCACGACAGTTTGTAGAAGGGAAAAGAGCAAAAACAAATAGTTCAGTAAAAATGCCATTTCAATGCCCACCAGCTATCCATGTATGTAGGCTGAAGTGTACTTGGGGCTGCATGATTCTGGGGGCGGGGGGGACGGGGAAGAGAGAGAGAAGAATGGAGTTGTGTGTGAGATTGCTAAACCCACAATACTTGCTCAATAACAGTGTGAGGCAGATATAATGTGGGGTAGAAACAGGGAGACTTAGAAATAAAAAACAAGATTGCATTTATAGAGCGCCTTTCACGTCGGGAGGACGTCCCAAGGCGCTGGACAGTTGGGTCGGGACCCGAGCAGGGGGGAGATGGTCAGGGTGAGGGGAGGGAGCGAGGAGGGGGTAGAGAGTCGAGAGGGGAGCTGAAGGCACGGTTGAAGAGAAAGGTCTTGAGACCGGCCTTGAAGGAGGAAAGGGAGGAGGCGGCGAAGGCACTGGGGGATGGAGTTCCAGAGCCTAGGGGCTGAGAGGCTGAAAGCCCGGCCACCGATGGTAAGGCGGTTAGGGCGGGGCATGTGGAGCAGACCGGAGCCAGAGGAACGGAGGGTACGGGCAGGGGGATACTAGGTCGGAGAGTGCAAGGCCGTGAATGTAGGTGAGGATGAGGATCTTGAATTCGATCCTCTGGGGATGGGGAGCCAGTGGAGGCGAGCGAGGGTGGGAGTGATGTGGTCCGAAGCCTGGTGCGGGACAGTACACGAGCTGCAGAGTTCTGAATGACCTGCAGCTTGTGGAGGGAGGTGCCGGGAAGGCCGGCGAGGAGAGAGTTCCCATAGTCCAGCCTTGAGGTGATAAAGGCGTGGACCAGTGTTTCAGCAGCGTGAGGGGTGAGGTAGTGCCGTAGTCTGGCGATGTTCCGGAAGTGGTGGATGACGGTGCCAGTTGTGGCGCAGATGTGGGGAAGAAAGGACAGCTCAGGGTCGAACAGAACCCTGAGGTTCCTGACTGGCTCTGAGAGGTGGAGAGTGCAGCCTTGGATGCTGATGCTGTCAGCGCCTGAGGTGCGGAGGCGCTGACGTGAGCCAATCAGGAGGGCCTCAGTTTTGCGCACGTTGAGCTGAAGAAAGTTGTCTCTCGTCCAGGACTCGATGTCAGACAGGCAGACTGTCAGGACATCGGTGGTCGTGGAGTTGAGGCTTCTGAAAAAAGATACTGCGGGGGGGGGGGGGGGGGGGAAAGAGAGAAAGTGACAAGCGGAAAGAGAAAAAAAAGAAAAAGGGGAAGAGGCAGGGAGAAGGTGGAAGAGGGAAAGAAAGACAAGAGGAAAGAGAAATTGAGGAGTAGAGATACAGAGGTGAAGAAAGAGTAAGAGTGCCAGAGAGAAAGACAAAGACTGGGAGGGGAAGAGAGAAAGAGATGAGATGGGAAGAGAAGACGGAGGACAAAAAGAGAAAGTTTGAAACACAAGAGTAGCAAATGCTGTGATGGGGGAGTGGGAGAGAAGGTTGGCACAGTGGGGTACTATAGTGACTGAATAATTACTGATAGAAGAAATCTTCTCAGAATTGTAGCCAATTTGTATTTTGCATGCCACTGATTATCCTCACCATGCGACTGGTCAGTTAGTGTGAATAATAGCCTCTACTATTGCAAAATAAAATGTTTTAAGAGGGACAGAATTTAAAGAATATATTTTATCTTTAGGTCTCTGCTATGAATTGGATTTCTTGGCTACATGTTCAATGAGATCACTTATGTGGAAGTAAAGTACCAAAATGCACAACTACAAATTACCAGTTTCTATATTATTCACACATTCAGATTACGCATCATTTTAATCAGCATCATACTTCTCACTGCGACATCAGGTACTGAGACTTCTCATAATTTTTAATATAGTAGTTGCACAAGAAAATAGATCAATATAAATTAACAAAAGTTCACAATATATTAATTACTTAATGACCTACCTTGCCCTTCTTTTTTCGCAGTAATTGGTCTTCTGCCTCCTCCTCTTCAATAAACTTCATTGCCAGCTCTTTGTTTACTTTTGGAAGTTTCTGTTGATAGAATTTTGAATGAATGTTATTGATATATAAAAAAAACTATCTATCTGCCTCTTCCCTTGACCAATACTAATCTTACTAATTGCCTGCCAGACATGCATTTGTTAATTAATATCTAATTCAGCACACATTAAAGATTGAGTTTACACTTTATTAATCCTTATGTCTCAATTAGATATTAAGCAGTGTCTACCAACTGGACAAGAATGAAGTCCTTATGTTTTACACTGACCAACAGAAGTCACTGTTGCTTTCTGTCATGGATTATACAAGTGGTCTTGGTAAAGATCTCTTCCCTAAATCATGGCCAAACCATTATAATTCACATTTTACTCACATGGTCATGAGTTTACAGCCATAATAAAACAATGCTTTATTCAAGTTGTATCAGTGGCCATTTGATTCTGGACTAAGGAGAATTGACTCACTTGTAAACTCCATTTGGGTTTCTTGTCAAATAGAATCAGAATTTTTTTTAAAATCCTGTAGTTCAGTGGTTAGAGCACTCGCTTTGCAAGCAAGAGACCTGGGTTCAATTCCAGGCAGAGCGAAACCTTGGGCAAGTTTCCTTACTCCACACAGAGCCTAATAATAATCCCTCCAAAACCAAAAACAATAATTAAATTGGTCATTTTCAAACTACGACTGTTTGTGGGACATTGCTGTGCGCAATTGGCTGCCGCGTTCGCCCAGTTTGTTCTGTGAAGCGCTTTGGGACGTCCTCCCGACGTGAAAAGCGCTATATCAAATGCAAGGATTATTATTATTATATTTGGGAAATCAAGAGCAGAATGTGAAATCAAATTAATCCAGCCCAGTAATCATCTATAAAAGTGTATAACTCTTTTGTAAAGCAGGTTTACAGTGTTTCACAAGAGTAAACCACTAGGTTCAGTGTGAAACAATTCTTTAGCAACTAAATTATTTGAGGGTTATAGTCTTTAAAAAATAATAAAACTTCACAAAACAGCATTAAACTGTAAATTGGTGCTAATTTTAACTTTCTATAAATCAACAAAATTTACTCAGTATCACAGACGCACACATTTCTTACTGAACAAACTAAATCAATTTACTTTTCACAGAATATTAATTGTCTGTTTTACTAAAATCTATTTATTCTTGTAGAAAAAAATGTCCTCTTAACACTTAACAATGTCCTCAGTCTTACCTTCACTTGGACTCTTTGAGCACGTGTCTCCTCTATCTTTTGCCTGATCTTGTCTCTTCGGTACTCTTCATAGGCAAATGGATTTGCCATGGCTTTTACCTTTCAATTTCACAACAAACAATGATTAGTGACCATCTGTAGTCAAGAAAATAAAACTAATTAAGGAGCAGAAAAACAACCCAAGGTATTAGATATTGATGAGTTCTTCCAAGATTGTTTTATTCATCTTGGGATCTAGGCAGGCCAACATTTTTTGGCATTTCTAGCTCCGTCACAAAACCCAGCTTCAAAGGCGCTACATAAATACAAGTTATTGTTGTCCATGGAAATATGGGCATGGAATTTTTGTAAATTAGAAAGATTGAAATCTCAATTCTGTACATTCCTTATCCCATATTCTTTTCCAGCACTACATCACAGCCTGCACTCTCCACTCTTGACAAATTGGCTGCCGGTGTCTTACTTCCCTTCTCAACCATCACTTTCCCATAGTACCTCTCTCCCGCTTTTTAAAAAAATCTTAAAAACATCCCTTCAGCACATCTAAATTCATTCCACTTCTTACTCAGTATGCACTCCCGTCATTGCTAAGTATTTGAGATATTCTTTTACATGAATGCCACTGTATAAATATAGGCTGTTGAATTCTAACATCATTCTGGGCATCAAAATAGCTTGTTTCAAATAAACGTACAAACCTTGTGATACAGTTGAATATCCATAAAGAATCCATGCATATAGGCTCGAAGCAGTGAAGAGCCAATAAGATGAGCAAGACCTGTAGTAAAAAGACACAGATCATAGGAAATCACAAAATTATTGTGCAGCATAGTGAGGGGAAACGATAAATGCATCAATGAGAAAATATGCCTGAGGGGAAACGATAAATGCATCAAAGAGAGAATATGCCTGGGCTGGGAAGTATTGTTTTCTGGTGTAATTGTGCTGTACAATAGAATTTATAACAAGGTTTACCAAAGAGAATTGAAAAGTTTGGGAAAATAATCTGATTTCTCCTGCCTGGGTTATCCGAGAGCCATTGAATCTAATTGTTCTTACTTGAGAAGCTAACTTACCATAGATCAAATGGAATCTGCCATTTTATATAAAAACAAACTTGGCCCTTTATGTAACTGGCTTCATAAATGAACTAAGTCTCAAATCTAAAAATCAAGCCTTAAATACTTACCCAGATTTTCTAAATCCTTTCTCGTGACAAACTTATAATCATCAAAGACTGTGGTCTCTGGATTTTCTTCCAGTTCTTCTGTTAAATTATCCAAGAATGAACACCAGCGAGGAGCAGGGCCCAAAGCCTATGATTTAATTTAAAAACTATAGTAAGCTTCCTCCTACAATAAACATTTTCTCCTAGCAAAACAGATAAAAAGATAATACAGTGGGTGTCAGTTAAATGCTGCTGTAGTTATAGGGCAATTAGGGCATACTTAGCAAAAACATTTCTCCCAGTGTGAAAGGTGTCAAACAAGTGTAAATTTGTATTGTAAAATGTGCAGACAGACAGCTGGTTCATTTCAAATCACAATGTTATGTTTTAAAACTCACCATTGCTTTTAAGAGCAATAAAGCAACAAGTGCAATAACTTTTGAAGCAAGCATTGTGATTCAGTGTGCAAATCTGTACCGATGGAGATGTTATCATTATGCGATCAGTCAGTGACATCGGAATGCAGAAGCATTGCTGATCATGCTCATTACAAGATGGGTTTGCATTTTACAGATCTCAACTAGAGACTTATAATGGGGCTCTCCTACAGTAACTTACTCAAAAAAACACTCTCACTGAACCACAATGACCTTCCACTTTGATATGTGAATTACTGTCTAAGAATATGCCAATCTCCTCTCTTTGAATGGTATCAACCAGAAGGGTAGTAAGTAAAGAGCTTTAAAAGTACAATGGAAACCGCTTAAACCGGACGTCAAGTAAATTGGATAAAACGCCCAGCCCTGATTTACTTTGTATTTTCAGCNTTTTTTAAATATGTTGGCTAATTCGGGCAAAACAAAATTCCATGCTGGTCACCGCTGGGGACACTCACTCTGTCTCACGCAGCTCCATTCAGCCATGAGCGGCTCTGGGATGGGAGGAGTCAAATTTTGATGGATTGACATTGGACTCCAGTCAATCACAAGTGGCTCTGGGCTGTCAATCAGTGAGGGGCAGAGGAATGGAGAAGAAACAAAGTGGGGAATGCGGGGAAAAAGTCAACTCACAATTGACAAGCCTGGAGTCAATTATGAATGGAAAGGGTCCTCCAGGCTGTCAATCACCTCAGAGCCGCCACTCATTGGTTCCCTTCCTATCAAATGGGAACGGCAAATGGAGGGAGGATATGCCGCTGCCGCTTTGCTGGGCGGGAAGCACTTTGGTTAAACCCAGACGCCGCTCAAGCTGGACAAAACGGCTGGCCCCAACGTGTCAGCCTTAAATGGCTTCCACTGTACTTTCTTAAAACCCTGCCTTCCCCCAACTCTGCAACATCACCCGGCTCCGCCACTGCCTCACACCGCAGGCTGCTGAAACCCTCATACACGCCTTCATTACACCGAGGCTCGACTATGCAAACTCACTGCTTGTCGGCCTCCCCAACTCCTCCCTCCACAGGCTGCAGATCATCCAGAACTCTGTAGCCCATGTCCTCTCCCGCACTAGGCTCCGCGACCCCATCACCTCTATCATTGCCCAACTCCACTGGCTTCCCATCACACAGAGGATAAATGAGGGACCATTTCCATTAATGAGGCATCATTACCACCGCCTTGGTAAACACTTGCCACACATTCTCTGGCTGGGAGATGTTGATCTCTCAGTGTGCTCCAGCAAGGATATTTTGTAATTGCTGGCCTGTCAATACTTTCCCAGGAAATCAGGGGAAAGCTTGGTAGCCAGAAAAATCAAGTTGCAACTTTCAAGCAATTGCACTTCTGCAAGTACTGTATGTACAATAGCACATACTGTTTTAGTACAACATAGGAACAGGAGTAAGCCATTCGGCCCATCGAGACTGTCCCACCACTTTCCGGGATTAGAGCCAATCCGCAACTCAATTTCACCTCCATACCCCGATACCCCTGTATATGAAGCTTTTGAAATTCTTCAATTGTCTCTGCTTCCACTGCACTCTGGGGGACTGAATGATATTTGATAAATAACATTGCAATAGCCTTTTTGATTACCTTCTGCACCTGTGGGCTACGTTTTAAAGATTTATGAACCTGAACACCTAGATGCCTTTGTTCATTAACCAGCTAAGTGTTTCTTCATCAAGAATGTAGTCTAACTCAACACTCTTAAAAGAACATAAGAATTTGCTAGGTGAAAGACTAAGGTCCACCAAAACAACAACAACAAAATTACATGTGTATAGTGCCTTTCACTCCAGGAGGACGTCCCAAGGTGCTGGACAGACAGAGTTATGGTCACAAGCTGGGGGTCGGGGCGGGTGGAGAGCAGAGGGAGAAGCAGGGAGATCGAAAGCATGGTCGAAGAGGAGGGTCTTGAAGGTGACGAGGGAGGGGGCGAGACGGAGGGACTGCGGGATGGAGTTCCAGAGGGTGGGTGCAGCGCGGCGGAAGGCCCGCCTGCTGACAGTGGGGCGAGCAAGGCGGGGGATGTGAAGCAGGCTGGAGCCCGCTGAGCGGAGGGAGCGAACGGGGTGATAGTGGGTTAGGAGATTGGAGAGGTTGGGGGGAGCAACACCATGGAGGGCTTTGAAGGTGAGGACCAGGATCTTGAACTGTATCCTCTGTATGATGGGAAGCCAGTAGAGTTGGGCAAGGATGGGGTGATAGGGTTGTAGAGCCTAATGCAGGAGAGGACACGGGCTGCAGAGTTCTGGATGAGCTGCAGCCTGTGGAGGGAGGAGTTGGGGAGGCCGACAAGCAGTGAGTTTGCATAGTCGAGCCTCGATGTAATGAAAGCAAATACGAGGGTTTCAGCAGCCTGGGGTGTGAGACAGTGTCGGAGCCGGGCGATGTTGCGGAGGTGGGGGAAGGCAGATCGGGTTATGACGCAGATCTGGGATAGAAAGGATAGTCGAGGGTCAAACAAGACCCCAAGGTTCGGGACTGGCTTAGCAAGGTGGGGTTTGCAACCACAGATGGTGATGCTGTCAGCGCCTGAGGTGAGGAGGCGCTGACAGGAGCCAATCAGGAGGGCCTCCGTCTTGTTGACGTTCAGCTGAAGAAAATTAGCTCTCATCCAGGACTTGATGTCTGACAGACATTCTGTCAGCACAGCAGTGGTCCTGGAGTCAAGAGTGGAGGCAGAGAGGTAGAGTTGGGTGTCATCAGCATACACGTGAAAGTTGACCCCATGTCTGCGGATGATGTCACCAAGAGGGAGCATATAGATATTGAAGAGGAGGGGACCAAGGACAGAGCCCAGAGGAATGCTGCACGTGACGGTCCGGGGGCTAGAGGAGAAGCTGTTTGAGGAGATGAAGTACAGGTGGTGCGAGAGATACAATCTGAACCAGTCAAGGACAGTGCCGAGGAGGTTGAGGTGAGAGGAGAGGCGGTGGATGAGGACAGAATGCCATTTGTCACTTTGACCAGGGCGGTTTCTGTGCTGTGGGCGGCACCAAAATCCGATTGGAGGGGTTCGAGAAGGGAGCGGCGGGAGAGGAAGGAGCGAAGCTAAGAAGCAACAACTCGTCCCAGGACCTTGGAGAGGAAGGGGAGCTTGGAGATGGGGCAGTAGTTAGGGAGTAGGGAAGGGTCCAGGGAGGTTTTTTTTAAAAAAAAGAATAGGAATGATGACAGCGGTTTTTAATGGGCCGGGAACAGTATCAGAGGTCAGGGAGAGGTTGACGATGTCAGTGAGTAGAGGGGCAAGGAGGTGGAGCTGGGAGGTAAGGATAGGGATGGGGTCGAGGGAGTGGTTGGTGGGTTTCATACGAGTTACGGTGATGATGAGAGAGGAGGGGAAGAGAGTTTCAAAGGTTCGGTTCGCCTAGTTCGTCTTCCACCATCCTGGCAGTCGCTTGACGTGTCGTGTCCCAAACTATATACTGTATTCTGAGATATTACTTTCTAGCATTTTTAGTTTTAATATCAATCACCTTGCACTTTGCCACATAAGTAGTAATTTCTACGTTATTGGTTAGGTCTTGAACTCAGTCTGGCAAAGCAGCCTCATGTTACCTGAGAACCAGTTCTATGTGACTCAGTTGAGACCATGTATTTAGACAAAGCAAGCTAAAAACAATTGATTAGCTGGAGAAAGTCTACTGTTGAAATTAGAATCAAAACAAGCAATTTTATTAAAAGAGAAAGAGGCTGATTAACTTGTTGTGAATTTAGTTCTCTATTCTAGTGATAGTAATGAAGCATATTCAAAGTAAGTAATTTGAAGACAATGTTCTAAACCATTTGTTGCACTCTAAAATAATGCAAGTGCCTATCTGAAACTACTAAAATTAATTACCAGCCTTTATACTTACTGGAATGTAGAATGTGGTCATTTTGGGTGATTCATTAGCCAGGAAAAACATTCCTGGAGAAAAAGTAGGAATACAACATGAAATATTAAAGCAAGCTATTACACACAAATCAAATTTTTAATGGATACACAAATCAGCCTGTTTTTCTACAGCTAAAACAAATAAGCTTATGCACTTGTGCATTTGGTATTTCCATACCACCCATCTCCCAAATCTGCAATACTCTGCAGTGCCTTGGGATGTCCTTTCGACTTAAAACCTCTTTGGTTGGCGAACAAAATAAATCTTTCTTGATTGAATAGTTCTGGATTATGGTATTTTTGTTATTTGTATGATATTTTGTTGGACACCACTACGCTATATAAATGAAATGTGGTGTTGTACTTTTTGTAGGGTAGTTCAGACAAATTCCCCTGCAGGTTCTTCCATGAACCAGAAAGGTGGGTTTCTGTGGCAAGGTAAAAAAGATTCTCTCCACCCCGGCCCCTTTCCTTCACAGTGGAACTCAGCCATTACAAATTTCTTTCAAAATAGCATTCTGACTCACCAATTCCATGGAAAAAGCTGTATTTTTCTCCCCCATTAAAACATTCCAAATTTTGATTTTTTTTGTTTAAAACTCTCTCAGCTTTAATTATATTTTTATAAGCTAAAAAGCATTTTCATGCCTACTTCTGAATGCCACCAAATTAAACCCAGTTCTACATAATAAAAATACACACAGATAGCATAAATTCAGATGAATAAAGCCTTTTGGCCCAGTTGATCTAATCTTTCTAGAATAGACACCCTACCCTCTTATTATAGCATTGAATCCTGGCCTCAACCAAGCTTCCTGGTAACCTGTTTCAGGCATTAATTACCCTCATAAATGGAAACACTTGATAATTGGGGCCCTATTTAGATGCAATGACCTTTGATATGTGGAGCAAGTAAACGGCATGCTTACAATTTTAAATTTGATGTTGGCAATTTGTTTCATTATTTTATGAAACAGAAATCTTTCAGTAAAATAAACAGGTCATTATTTTGACTACAACGTAACATGAATCAATTTACTTGTTCAGCAATTTGAAGTCTGAAAGCAACTGAAGGTTGAATTTTTATTTAATTGCTTTTGCCTTACTCTCATTCAGGTACTGGAATCTAAAAACATTTTTGTGGAAAAAAATATATCCACTGAGAATTATTAAATTCAATGGTTGCCCCTTCTTTAAGATGGATGCTACAATTCACCTTAAGAGCCAAAATTATCGTCTTGACTGAGATCAGCTGAGTATAAACTTAGCTGGTTAGAAAGTTGGCTGCACATACATACATTTCTTGCTGATGATAATAGTTTTGTAGTTTGAATCAAGTTCTACTATTATAAATCATGTGCCAACTGCTTTCAGTTTCCTGTATTCTGCAGACCTAGCACTGATTAAAGAGTGTATTGCTCTGTAGTGCTGCTTTTGTTGAAACATAGGTAATTAGTTTTAGGTAATAATACCTCAGTGAGCCATAGGGAGCTTTCTCAAAGACTTAACTCTTACTTACTAAATCACCAAACCAAATGTACATTTCCACGAGGGGCAAATGTTTTCAAATGAATGCATTTTGCCTCGGTTTAATTGGGAGTAAAAATCAATAACTTTATATTTACTATTGAAACAAAACGTGAGCTGAAAATGTTGTGTTCTGGACTGTCGTACCATTCTGCATTCCAAAGATGTATCCAAGCAAGTTTCCAATCATCATTTTTATGTTTGGTAAATGTATTTAGATATATTCTGAGCAACTCTAAAACTAATTCAGTTTGAGTGCATGAAGAATGCTCTGAGACGCTACCCAACATGAAGGGTGCTATACAAATGCAAGTTGTTGTTCTATATTTATGTTAAAACAGTAATGGTAAACTACTGAATTTCTGGTTTGTTGCTCGACAGCACTGTAGTGTTTCTTATGAAGTACAATCGATAGCTTATATAACTCACTACATTAGACCAGTCCTTTCTACTGTCAAGCAACAGATTGCCCTGGTTAATCAGGGGTGTCTGCACATACTATCAAAGGATTAAATAGAATTTATTATTATACAACAACAAATTTGTATAGTCTCTTTAATGCAATCCCTTCAGTATTCAAAAGAGAATAAAAATGTAAGAACAACAAGTGGAGTCAGTAAGCTCATTGTAGGAAAAAAATGTTTATGACTAATCAGTAACAAAAGACAAATTTATCCTTATCTAAACTTTGAACATTCATTCTTATGTGGCCTCCGGGATGGGAAGACCTCTACTTCATAAAGTAAAAGTGTACTTTATAAAATAAAACAAAATGCACACATGCAACACATTTTCCTTGGAAATGAACATTTGTGGCTATAAAACATAGCCATTGGTACACAGGAATGAAATCAATGGGTTTTTATGTTAAGAGTTAATTAACATCTGAATACACTGCCAATTAGCTCTCAGTCTTGGCAGACAGAATTTACTGACGTTGGAGCATAAAATATTTGGAAACCTCAGATTGCCAAAGCAGCAGAATGAGAGAGGTCATAGGTTCAAGTTGAGGAAGGATAAGTTTAGGACAGAAACAAGTATTTTTCCCCCCCAAAACTATATAATATATACACATATACACACAAATCAACAACAACAAGATTCCATTCATAGAGCGTCTTTCACGTCGGGAGGACGTCCCAACAGCAAGATGTACTACCAGGAAAGTTGGTTGAGGCCAGAGGACTGGAATCAATTAGAGATTGGTGCTGTAATGGAAAATGGTACTGTTCTCATTATGGAAGAATGAGATTATATGGGCTGAATGACTTTCTTCTCCTGAACCTTTGTTCTGATCATGAATCAAATGAAAAAAAAGCTTTAACGGTATTCGTCATGCGCAAATTGATTCTGTACTTACCGGAATCAGGATACAGGCAAAGGCTATTGATTTCATCTTCTGGTTCAATAGAGGTAAATACTTTTCCCTAAAAAAAACATCTTGTGACTGATGCATGCCAACAATATTAAAGATATTTAACTTTTAGACATTATGTACTAAATAATTAAGAGTTTAACATTTCCCCCCCTGTCCCTTTCCCTGCTGTATCTTTTTTGCCCTTCAATTCTATCCTTATTTTGTTTTAACCTTATTTAACTCCAACTGGTGGAACCATTGCTCCATGGGTAGTGATGCATATCTGAGCAGTGGGCAGGTAGATGGTGGCAATGCTCAAACACATTTCATACTGAGCTGTACTATTCACCAGGAAGCCTCCCAGGGAGTTCCTGGTACTTGCCATATACCAAGTGAGGGGGAGAAAGTAAATGGCTCCAAGATGATGTGCTTGGCAATGGAATGTCGGAATCAGGCTAATGCTCTGTGGCGATCTCAGTATGAGCGAGACAGATCCACAGAACTCTAGGGCACTGCTGACAAGTCGTGGCTCATCGATAGGACTTAGAGAGGCAGACCAGTCAATGAAGTCTACAGGAATTTTCATGTATAGGTGGGATGCATGGAACTCTCTGTCTAGTTTGGACACCCTTATGCGTGGTGATGGGTTTCCACAAGTGTCAGACACCTGGCTGGACAAAAAAAAACTTAAATGGTTAATGATAAAAATGAAGCATTAACTGAACAATCCTTCATTCCTAAAAGAAAATGCTGTTCAAACAAATTTGTCTAGCCCTATTCAGAACAACAGCTTGATGGGTTTCTTGTTCCTAATCTATACCAGATGTTAAAAATGTTATCTGGCTCCTTAGGGGCATTTAGGAACATTATAATGTTAATACAAAGGTACTGAGGTTCTGGAGGCTATTAGAACGATAATGGTTTCTACTTTTCCACATCCCCAAAAAACAGTCTTCTGCTAAACGGATTCTACTTTCTGTTCCCTCAGTTCAAGCAGGAAAGATTCCCCTTATTTGGAACAGACAGACTTCCTAATGAAACATTGTTTGGTATTTTGTCCAGATGTCCAAGGAAATGAATCATGGATGACAGCTGGATGTTGCAAGTGTTAGGAGGTGGAAGTATCAGCACTCCAAAGAATAATCCTTCTGCTACTGATGTTATCAAACCTATCTTCTCCACTGTCCCCTCCCTTATGCATGATCTAAATGCATCACACATGCCCAGTGAATGGGGTTCCTACTCCATTTGCACTATATGTGAACCAACATTACAATCAGGATCCACTGTACATGCCAATGTTCTAAAAAAATGTGAACTTTGCTTAAAAAAAACATAATACATAGTGCACATGGTTACAGATGTGCAATCTTACTCGTAAACTCAATTATATGCTAGCTACACTACTATGTCTTTAATATCAGACTCTTAGTTTTGATATTAATCTCTCATGCAGGACTTTATATAAGAACTTTCAAAAGTCTTTGACGTTTAAATGCATTTCACTGATTAATGCTCTCAGTTGTCGCCTCAAAAATTCAATTACATTTGTCAAACATGATTTGCCCTTTATGAATCAATACCAATGGTCTCTGATAAATTTCTTGAACTCTACATGTTTATCCATTTTTCCTTTATAATTGACTTTTAAGCACTCTGCAATGCTACCCTGCGTGGAGGGCATTATATAAGTGCAAGTGGTTGTTGGACTCCCAAGATTTTTCCAACCCCCAACCCAAGTCTAACTGGCCTCTAGATCCCCTATTTTTGAACAAAGATGCTGAAGGATATGACAGGATAGCTAAGAAAAAAATGATCGCCACTAATTAAAAAAATATTGACAGGGGACATGGACTCAAGATCATTAGCAGAAGAATTAGCAATGAGGTTAAAAAGAATTTCTTTACTCAGCAGATTGTTATGGTTTAGAATTTGCCACAAGGAGAATTGAAGCTGGATTAATAGAATTGTTCAAAATAAATTGGATAAACCTCACTGCTAATTCTTCAACACATAATCTTGAGTTGTGCTCCCATAAACAATTTTCAAATTATTGGAGTCTTTTTTAATCTACTCTGTTGTGGCTATCAGTATCTGAACAGTAAAAAAGGAATAAGCGGCATGGAGAGAAAAAAAATGGATAGCGGCATTAATAAAAAAGACTATTTTGGAAAAACAGACACTAAAAGATGAATGGCCTACTTCTGTTCAGAAACTTTTATGTCTGCTAATGCAACCACTGAAAACTGCCTGCAGCATTTCAATCTCAACAGTAATTTAATCACCTAATTTTGCACATCTCAATAATGAAGATATGGTCATCATGGATTGTCTTTCAGCAGCTGGATAGAGGGAAGCCCAACTTTATATCACAAAATGAACAATACTGTCCAGCCGGGTGGATTTGTTTCAAGTGTGGATTCCATTCACTGTGCCTGTGTGTAGCGGTCCCACTCTCTGGCTGATCTCTGGGTTATTAGGTTGCCAACCTAAGTGATATCCTGTGCACTGCTCCATTTTGTGTATAGAATCAGACATGTAAAAATGAAAGAGCTTAGCTACAACTAAGTCTTGTCTATCTTTACACTGATTGCTTGTGTACTTTGTTCAGAACAGTGAATCACCTACTGTATCTTTATTCCACATTTTTACGATCCTGGAATCTGCTGAAATCACCAAGTCCATCTGCTCCTGGAATTCAATGGATTTGATGGGCAGGCCATAGTGATGATCTTTGACGATTAATGGTCGACTTGAACGAAGATCATATAATAAAACCTGGTATGAAACATAAAAACACAAAAGTCTTAGTTAATATACCATAATAATGCAACAGGCAGAGCAGGTAAACACATCATTTAATTGAATTATTGTTGATATTAGAATCAAGACTACGGGGGAGATTAGTGGTATGTGAATCAATAATTATCAAGTGGTAAACACGATAATCATCAGAAGTACAGAATGCACAGCTGTAATGATTGTTTGGGGCTGAATTTCCTTACAACCCTCTGGGGAACACTTTTTGCATACAGTGGTTTTAGAAATGTATCACTTTTTAAAAAAAAACTCAAGATTTAATTTTTTGAATTTGTGTTACAATAGCTATTTAACATTTCAGTTTAGAATTATTTTTAGCTCACAAAGAAGAAAGAAACAAAGAAACACAAAATCCATTCTCTACCCAGTATTATTGAAGACTTTTTAAGCTCATCCATGAAAATCATTAGTCAACTATTTTGCATAAACTTTATTTTTAATACTTGTTCTCAGTGAGAGAGAGAGCACAAGTGGGTATACTATAATTATATAATTACTATATAATTTTCACATAAAATAAAAACCTAAATTTATATAAAAGTCAGGGAAAGCAGAAGGGGAAGGAGAAATAGTGCTTGAAACAATCATGTCACTTGAAAGACTGTTAGTATACAGGGAAACTATTAGTATACAGGGAGAACCCATTTTGATCCCCTCCTCCCCATTGTAAATCTGGCGTCTTGTAGACACGGTTAATCTGGCTTCCAGTGCTGATCAGCTGGCTTCCTACACATTAAGCAACAACTTGACTTCAGGTTGTTAGGTCATCGCTGATTTCACTTCCTGAGCACGTGTGCACTGTGAGCAGGAAGAGCATATCAAGCTGCACTCTATGTGTAGGAAGCACCCCTAATGTCATTTTGTAAATGAAGCAACGGGAGCGCAGAAAATGACATCAACAGCAACCAAAAATCTGGAAGCCAACCATTTCCCCACCTGCTTTGCTATTACCACGGCTGAGACACTGGACCATTGCTATAAAGATGATGACTTTCAGCACCTTGGAATGTCTTCCCAACGTAAAAGGTGCAATACAAATGTAATTTGCTGTTGACCTATAATGTCCTTGAACTAAACTCTTGTTTATTTAATAATGACCTGACCACTCCCTTTGCTCAGCAAGTACTGGCCTGCTTCATGTATCCACCCTATCCATCAGTGGGTGACCTTTCTGCTCCTGCTCTCTGGAATTTCATCCCGGAATCCTTCCAACTTGCTCCCTTCCTTCAAGGAACGTCCCAAAACATATCTTTTTGAACTTGAGTACCTTTTCCCCCTCCCCATCTCCCTTGCCTTCCACCCCCAACTGGGCACTTTGAGACATCTTTCTGACATGAACGGCAAAGGTAAATTGTGTTGTATTGTAAACTCAGCACAGTATGGCTTTGTGAGATGTTCCCAACACTCACCTGGCCTGTTGTTGTGCCAACAGCCATATGCAATGCTCCTTTAAATTTTAAAGCAGAAATCGAGGGTAAACCATCAACCCTGCAAATAAAAAAAATTAACAATTAGCAAGCAGCAACATATTATTATATGTGATTATCTGCTTTTAAAGATTACATTTCTCCCTGCATCTCTACATAGGCTGATGTAGCAAGGGCTTTTGCTGATTCAGTTCTGAACCACCATAACTTATTCAGAGAAGGGAGTTCCTTCCAAAGTTGTATCCAACAACACCCCACCCCCCACATAATACTGGTTATTGATTTCATATCTATTTGTGAAATATTGGTTTGCGTATATCGGCTGCCATGTTCGCATACAAATGCAGCCACTACACGTTTTTCAGTAATCCTGTGAAGCACTTTGAGATGTCCTCCCGACTTGAAACCTGCTCAATGCAAGCACTATGTTAATTAATCACTCTGCAACACGGCACTAGTATTTGGTGCTTAAGTATCAGCTTATGGTTCACCCGGGTAGATCCACTGAATAAAATTTTGTCAGAATAATACAACCGATCAAACCCCTAGAATTTTTGCTAGTGTTTATTTTTTGCATCTCTTTCAGGAGACATTAAAAGTGCCCAGTCAAATTCACTTTGTAAAGAGTGAACCCTGCAGGTGTGTTGAGGGTATTCTTTTTTGTTGCTGATCTTAGTTCAGATATCTGTGAATTGTGGTAAAAAGAGATTGTTGCCAATCGACCCCTTGAGTAAAATTCTAGGACATTGGTCTCTAATACCTACAGGATTCATTAGTTACAAACCCATTGTGATTCTCACAAAAAATGAGACTCCAGTATCTGGTGTAGTCTGACACCCCGTCCAGTAATAATAATCCTTGCATTTGATATAGTGCCTTTTCATGTCATTGATACGTCTCAAAGCGCTTCACAGAACATATTGTTCAGCGGATTTACTGTGTATTTTGTGGGTGAAAATTAATTAATAATTATTAATGTGGTAGGTTTCCACATGCGCCAGACACCCAATTGACGAACCAAAAAATACAGAATTTTAATAATATTATATTTAAAAAAAGCTTTAAGCCCCAATTCATAGACTGAATTAAAAAAAGGCTGAAAAGCCTACTTAGGAAATAAAAACTGGAAAATAAACCTTTATTAGTTGTGACCAGGCAAATAGATGAAATAACAGCTGCTGGGAAACTGACAATGGAGGAATCTACCATCATTAAATGCACAATTTTAAGAAATTTGGGTTGCCACAGATACATTTAATTTGCTTTTTATTTATCCCTAGAATAAAACAATTCTCATCAAGTTATTTTTCTGTTTTAAATATTTAGGAACCAATTCCACAGAGAGCTGTTGGTCCAAATTTAGTCAGCAGACTCCCCTGGTGGCGTAAAAGGAAATGGCACCACTCAGTGCAGCACAAGGTTATACAGACCAAAGCCCCGGTCTCCAGCGTTAGCTGGGCCGGTTGTGGAGGAATACAATTGGCCTCCATCCCCTAAGTTAATGAGGGGGGAAGGGGAGAAACAGCCAGGTGTCTGGCACCTGATCGCAGGAATGCATGCAGGCTTCTGTGGTGCCTCCCCAAAGGTGAATAGCCTGCCAACGCTCATTATCTAAGGTCACACATGAATAATGATTATTTGGGTGAGATACTGGAGAGTCTAGTCACCCACAGAACTTCATGTGCTATTTTATAAAAGGAATCAAATAGGAAAAAATAAAGTTACTGATCCAAAGTAGCACACCATGTGCCTGGGACTTTGGCTCACGTTTACAATCCTCCAAACATTAAGTTAATGGTCTCAAACTTGTTATTATAGGTAAACAGTAAGTGGAGCAAAGCATACATCTCTCAAAGGCAGCGAGGAATCAGAGAGAGGACACCAAAATGAAACATTAAAATGTAATCAACATCTATTCACATTGCTTACTCTGTATCACTTGTCACACTGTTTAAAGCACAGTCAAGCATTCCTACTCGATTTCTTGTTCGTGGATCCCAACATTCTACTTTACCCTAAAATAAAAAAAACGTGGACAATGTATTACAAACAAAAAGATCACCAGGAAGATACATCTTGCCTGAAATAAAGCTCCAGAAAAGAGTTTCAAAGAAAAATATTTGAATTTTTTTCCCCCATTTTTTCCAGTATAAATGCTACCCCAATTTAAAAATTACAAAAATGTGTTTCGCCCACAAACCATAGCCAATTCACTTTACGGTATATTCTGTGAAGCACTTTGAAATGTCTCGAAGACGTGATAAGGCACTATATCTAATGCAAGGATTATTATTTTATATTATTATTATAGACCCTGTAAAGATCAGACATAATTGGATCTTTTGAAGGGAAGTATCTTCTCAGCTAATCCCATCTCTATGGCTCTCCAAATTATCATAGTCATTCATGAACAGCTGGATTCTGTCAGTGCTTTCACCCTGTTAGAGGAGTTCAACATGAAGATCTTACCCATCCAAGGTACAATCATTCATTTCTCTTTATTTGGGAATACCATTCCCACCAGCAGAGGCGCCAATGCTGTATATTAATATGTAATAATGTTGTTTCACTTGAAGCAATGTTAACTAACCAGTGAAAGTTAAAATACTCAACAGAATTCAGTAAAATATATTTACTTTGTTTGGCAGCAAATTACAGTCTGGTACTATCCTACCCAGCAGAGGTGGAGCTTCCTCCCTCCCATTGGACGGGAAGGGGACCTCAGGTAATTGACAGCCTGGAACCACTCGTGAATGGATAGGTACTCCATCCATTCAAAAGCGTCTCAGCTGTCAATCAATCGTGATACCCCAGTACAGTATGACCGGGTTACGATTTCTCTTTGCACTATTGTTTCAGTGGTTAAGTATTGGCACTGTACATAGCATTAGGTCCTTGCCAGACATTATTACAGTGTTTTGCATTACCTCAGCTGTGCCAGTAGCAAACAGGTAGTGTGCACGATTAATATCACACACATTATTCTCCCTAAAAGAAAGACAAACAGTTAACAGTATGCACATTTTGTACACTATCCAGGCACGTTAAAGATCATTATATATACACATCAAAATCAGAAGTACATACCTGCAAACAATTGCCCCTTTGTGCAATCAGATTTAAATCAGTGGCATTTGTACAGAGTGTATTTGGTCCCAGCCAACCAGTTTTGCCAAAATTAAAGACATTAACGTTTCAGAATTTGCAGCTTTCTTCTTACTCTCCTGACACTACAATAACATGGGTATGTTAACACAGGTTCTCTGAGTATGTAGCCCATTTAAAATTAAATTGCAATTTTGACAAGTTGTCCCTTAATATTTCAACCTAAGTACACATCTCGCTCCCACCCCTCTTGCTTGGTCTTCCAATCTGACCCAGCCACTTTAAAACTTTTTCTGTTTATCTTTTTCCAACAGTAATAGTTTAAATCAAACACTGGTCACTGCTAAGAAGAACACCTAAAAACATTTAATTTCCACAAGTAACCCTACCATCGCTAAGTATAAAGAAAAGTAATCTGGACTTGTTTTAGACTATCAAAAATGGTGCAATCAACTTTTTTTTGTTGACATTTTCTACATTCCCCCTCCCTAGTTTCCTTGCCTCAAACGTATGCTGGTAAAATTCAATGTGGCCTTCAATTCAGTAGATCTTATTTTTTGTGCTGGATATTATTTCATATATATTAATTATTATTATTTCAGACGATTACCTATCTGGCCATTCTTCAGTTGTTCATTCTGTAGTATAAGTTGCTGGGCTTTTCAACTGTTAGATATGCACTCTGAGCCCAAACTTGTCCTACTCAACAAATGTTAGGGACTGTGGCACAATGATAGAAACAGAAAAACTGATGAATTTCCCCTCACAATTCAAGCTCCTAAGGTCAATTGTAGCAACTGCTGCCAAGGATGACACTACAGTTTTAAGAAAATTTGATTTGTAATGGGAAGACTGAAGTTGATATTCTGGAAGGATCTTCCTCATCCCATATTTCTTGTAATCAGTTAATGTAGCACAGAATTGGGTAAAATCTGGAGCCTGGTCTTCATGCCATTTCAGACTGGGCAGTGGCTTTACCAATACAAGTCATTTGGGAGCAACTTCTGTGATTTGTTCATTATTGAAAGGCATCGTGAAAAAGATTATTGTTTTTAAACATTCAGTTAGGTCAATTGGCATCATGGAAATTTGTTAACTTGGGAGTTAATAACATGAAGGAATTAAACTTACACCCAGATTGAGGAGCAAGTCAGCGGTGGTGGTACAGTGTTACAACACACTGGCCCATCAAAATCAAATGTCATAGTTTAAGTTTAACTTTCAACTATGCCATTTTACCACAAAGTGCCTAGCAGAATACATTTACTTCTCAGTCTAGGAGTCTTGTCTTACTGACCTCAAAGTGACATTGGCAGAGACCTTGAAGAAAACCACAAAACCACACACAGGGCTAAAACAGCTCAAGTTAAACATATAATTAACTGATGTAAGAGAGATTAATAAGTGTCAGAATGAGGAAATCCTCCAAGCAGTAGCAATGTTGATACATAAAGGTTATTTAAAAAAAATTCTAAGTTTGAGAATTACATTTACCTAGGTTTAGCACATATAATGGACATTATTTTTGATAACTGCTTCCATAATTTTTTAATGAATATATCAAATTATAATTCATATATAAGACCATGGTTTCTGATATATTTTTAATTTAAAATGCAAATTATCTGCAAAACATAATAATTTTAGGCTTTTTTGAAAAGGAAATAATGAGTTTGTTCTTTCAATTGTAAATTAAATTAACAGTAAAATTAAATCAATGTTTAAAGAAACAAGAAAGAAAGCAATGAATCACAGAATATGTTAAAAAATTAAGATCTACTGAATTGATGGCCACATCCAGTCTTACCCTTGATTTCTATCAATAAAATATTTTAAAGATAATAAGTTGTTTTTCTTTGACATATGATAACCTTAATACCATAAAACTAGCACAAAATTAGTCTACCAATAGCATGTTGGATAAAGGAACCAACTGGTGCAGTACCAGACCATACAGACCAAAAGGTTGCAGGTTTGAAATCCAGTTTATGCTGAGTTAACTGACCTCAGCCGGGATAACATCTAGCATGCTATAAATTACCTCAGTGACCCATCGGCTAGAAATGGAAAAGCTGGAGTTCCTGTTGCTGCTCAGTGACCTCTGGTGAAAGTGTGAGTGTGTGTATATTATGGTTTAGAACAGGATTGAGCTCAGAGGGCAATGTTCCCACAGACAATGCTTGACATGAATAAGCGCTGCTGGGGTGAGGTACCAGCAGCTGTGGAATCACATTCCATCAATCAGGACAAAAGTAGGAACAAAAGGCATAAAACAAGACAATTGAGCCTTTCTAGAACTTACAAGCTTCTCCTTCATCTTGCTGGCCTGCGTTTAATCAATGTATCAGTCTTTTGCGCAATATCAAAGCACATCATTATTGCACACACATTTACCCACGAGAACTATTAAGATACAGAAAAAGAACAGTCTAAACAACCACAGGTCATAGCTCATAAAAAAGTAATGTTACTTACGAAGCATCAGTCTGTAGGGAATTTAGGAATCGTCCCTGCTCCAGGTTCAACCTATACACTTGAGAGCTGCAGGCAGACCAACATAAAAGTATGGATTTTACACAGTATCTTTTTTGCAAAAATGTTTGGTACAGCTTTGTTCTTAGAACCTCCAGGATACAGACTTAGCTTCTCCTCGTCTCCAGTGACCCACACTCCAATTATTTACTCTAGATATTTAATTTTTAATTTTGCATTTCACCCACAAAACACACTCAATTTACTTGGCTATTTCAATCTTCCATATGGCACCTTATCAAAGGCCTACTGGAAATCCAAATACACAACATACATGCCTTTATCTATACTTTCTGTTACTACTTCAAATAACTCAATTAAACTGGTTAAGCACAATCTGCCCTTTATAAATCCGGGCTGACAGTTCCTAATTAACTCATGCCTATCTAAGTAATCACTAACGTGGGTCCCTTATTATTGCCTCCGACAACCAACAAATCTAACTGACTTGTAATTCATCAGCTTAACTTTAGCACTCTGCTTGAACAGTGGCACCACCTCTGCCACTCTCTAACCCTACCAGTCTTTAAGGACATTTGAAATATGAGTGACAGGGCATTGACTATCTCCTCCTTGGTGTCCCTCAACATTCGGGGATGCAGCCCATCAGGGCCGCGCGACCTCTTATCCCGAGTAGCTGTTCCATATTCCAGATCTTTAATTCTACCATGGGAGCACTCCTCTCCTCAGTGAAAACTGAGGCAAAGTACTCAGCAAATAGCTCCGCCACCCACTCCTTTTTGATCACCAATTTGCCACCTTTGCATCTAAGTGGCTCAAGCCAATCTGAGCTATCCTTTTTGTTTATAAAGCTATTACAATTCCCCTTAGCACTGTCCGATAATTTTATAAAATTAAGGAGTGCAGACTAGTATGCCTGCAGAATCACCTCCAATGTGACATTCTAATGACTGAGGACAAAGTGCCAAAAAAACAATTAATGGGGAAATTTTCAATTTCATCTGCAGCAGTTTACATATCCCATCATCAAACGTGGGAATTCAAAATGCCTTTTATTTAAATGTCAATAGCAGTTTAATCGGAAATTCAAAACATTCAATTTCCTATTGAATATTGCAACAATTGGACATGGACTTGCTCCCGTTACAGTCTACACTCCAGAAAAGCTAATTTGCAACTGAGAAAATTTATTTCTGAATTGTTACTAAAGATGGTTTCTTCATGCTTTATATATGATAATCTTTGCGTGGCATAGTACCTTATCACACAATTGAGCTGTCTCAAAGTGCTTCATAGAATTTTACTGTGAAGTTTAGTGACTGTATTGTAGGCAAATGCAGCAGCCAATTTGCACACAGCAATGCCCATACAACAGCCATGAAATGAAAGACCAATTTTATTTGGAGGATTGTTAACCAGGACACCATGAGAGACTCTTTCCTCTTTTCAGTTGTGTCTTGAGATTTTTAACATCCACCTGAGCAGGCGAACAGAAACTCGGTTTGATCCCTCATCTGCAAAAATGTAGCATACTGCAGCACTCCTGTGAGTTCAAAGTCCTGAGATGGGGCTTCAACCCACAACCTTCTGACTTACCTTCTGGTTACAAAGTCAAAAGCGCTGTCAGCAGGCTTTATGTATATATCAGACTATTTGCTTTTTCAAAATTCGCTAATCAGTCTCATAAGCATAACTAAAAATACACAAACATAAAAGTGCTTTCATACCTTGCTCCGACAAAAAAGAGGTCACATGAGGGATAATGATATGAAAAGTCTCGGCCAAACTTTGGGATTCGCGTCCTATAATAGCGACCATGTTGTGAGTGAAACTCTACATAACGATCACACTGTAAGAAAACAATCTAAAAAGAAGAAATGATTGATTAGCCAAAAGCAGGTTTTGGTAACAATGAAAAAAAATGCTTTGAACTAAAAATATAAATTGCAAAGTAAGGAAACAAAATAAACTCAAATACCTTTGAATAATCATCTGACAAAATTTCAAAATTTACAACTGTGAAAAAAAGGACATGTTACAAATTATCATTGTTTAAAACTTCTTACTCAGACATTCCAGTAATAATTAAAACATGTAATATAAGCAAAATGCATTTGGAGAGCAAGCCGTACTCAACCGTTAATATTTTAAAAAGCAGTTTTATACATTTGTTTGCAGTACTGAAACGTCAAATATTTACTTTCACTACATTTACAACAAATGAGATGTTTAGTGCCAATATATCAACTGTTGAAACTAAATATGTTGACCATTAGCTTTCAGATTTTACAGGAAGCTTATTTGACAAATCACTCCTGCAATAATTTTCAGTATATCTACTTCAAAACAATCCTAAATACCGTACTGATACTTTGCATGTTTAGAATATGTGAAGATCTTTAAAGCTCACCAAATGTGTCAGTTTCTTTATACAAATCAAAATAAACTGAAAATGAATGAGGGAAACCCTGTTTTTACCAGGTACTATGCATACGATTAAGCAACACATTATAAATTAAACAAACATGCATTCATTTTCTTCAAATATTAGCTTACAGTCATCCTCATATTGCAGTTTTGTTTAAACGGTAAACTTTTTTTAAATAATAGAATAGTTCTCCCAACCTTCTGAATCTAGACATCGTTCAAACTTCATCGATAACTGGTATGTATCGAAACATCGGATCCGTGGCTTGTATGTGCCTACAAAGATGATCAGGTTGCATTACAAGCAAATCAGAGAGAAACGGTGCAATACTGAACACTCTAGACTCAACAAGTTGTAATATTACACAAAAGGAAGCATTTTCAATAATAATAATCCTTACATTTGTTAAAGTGCCTTTCATGTCAGGAAGATATCTCAAAGCAAGATATACTGTAAAGTGGCAAAAAATTTCCTTTTGCCACTTCACAGTATATTCTTCTCTGACGAAAGGTCATCGACCTGAAACGTTAACTCCCTTTCCTCTCTCCATAAATGTTGCCTGACCTGCTGAATGTTCCCAGCAACTTCTGTTTTTAAATACCGTAAAGTAGAATTACTTTATTTGATGAGTGAACACAGCAGCCAATTTGCACCTACCAATGTCTACAAACAGCCATGAAATGATCGACCAATTGTATTTGGGGATTGTTGGCCATGATACTGGAAAAAACACTCCCTTCTCTTTTTGAATCATGCTATGGATCTTTAAATCTATCTTAACAGGTAGGCAGGTCCTCAGTTTAACAGAAGAACGGCACCTCCAGCAATGGCACTCCCCAGACAGTGCACTGGAATGTCAACCTAAACTAGGAACTCAGAGACCTCAAATGGTTTTTGAACCCACAACCTCTGACTTTGAGGCGAGTGCACTACCAACTGAACCAGGCTGATTAACAACTATGTCCTGGTTTGTATATGCAATTAAATCAAATGCAAAGCAGATACTAATTGGTAAATCCTACTGCATGCCAAGAATTGTTACTCAATAAATTAATAAAAAATACTCAGTGAAAAAAAGTGTTGATCATAAGATATTGCTGTGCACTGGACTGGTAATGAATCTTCCTAGTACTGTCCCATTTCTATTTTTTTAAATTACATACATGAAGGCAAGGAACAGCACATTTTAATATAAGGTTTTTTTAAAAGAATCCAGACCATTATTAATGAAAATAGTTCACTAAGATGAAAGCAGTAGTTTTCTAACTCATTGTGGTGATTTGCGCCACCAAGTGGTGGAATTCCAACTTAAAGGTTAGACACCATCTATGTTTTGAACAACCAATCCTTAACAGTCCTCCTTAAATAATAAGCAGTTTTTTTTAAAAAAGTGTCTCAACTACTTTTTGTTTAGCTTACTTTAATTTAGTGGGAGATATTCAATGCTCCATTCGTCTCCCAGTTAATTAAATGAGTGTACACATGACTTGGATGTGTACATTTCTATCACAGTGTTTTTCACCTATAATATGCAGTGTTTCGTATATTTATTTTGTTTTCATATCCAGATTGAAAATGTTTACCAGTTGCCATGATATACTGGCCATCCCTTGAAACCTTGATGGTGCTACAAATTGTAGGCATGTTAAAGTCCTGGATAAGCTCAATTCTCCGACGGATATCTAGAAACAAAAATAATTCATTCAGAATCACCAATGCATTTCCCCTTTCCAAAAAACAAAGATATTTATTATAACTTAACATTAATTCTCTTCTAGCTACTTTGTTAAAACTTTCAATAGCACTTTTGCAAGGAAGGCATATAAAAAAACAATGCATATTGTCTTTTGCTTAAACATTTTTTTTGTTAAAATGTAAATTTTCAAATTGCTCCAATTGGATTCTGCACCAGAACACAGCTACTATATTGTAGTTGCGCAGCCTAACTAACAGTGCATCATCTCATGATCTGATTCATATAAACCATGTGGGTAAAAGTAATCGCAAGTCCAACTACCCAGTGCCTTGATTTATAATAATAATCCTTGCATTTGATATAACGCTTTTCACATCTTTGAGACGTCTCAAAGCACTGGCAGAGCTGGGGTTAGGATGGTGGAGCTCATAAAAGTACATTTGAAAAGTCCAGGTAGTGTGAGTAAATCCAGCTACTGATGACTGAAATTCTGTCTTTGGATAATTTTGATAGCGATACAGACTGTCTAGTATTCTATTTATAATTTTGATAGAGATACAGATTGTCTAGTATTCTATTTATACTTCTGTTTTATGGAGAAATCCTGAGGCTCCGCATAATCATATATCAAAGTGTTATCAATAAAAAGACAAATATAAATGTACTCACCGCCATCCTTCTTCAGCAAAGCTCTCTTTTTTCTATCTGAAAGCCACTGAAATTAATAAAGACTTAAAATTAGTGGACATGTATTCATGGAACTTCAGTAATAATTTCACTATAATTTTGTAAGTGATGTGACCAGAATAATTTAATAATTCAGGTATTAAAACTGCAACAGAAACAAAATTCTTGAATACTAGAATTAAAGTTGCATCAAAATCTTTAAACTTTGCTATCTTTTAATGTAATGGCAATCAAAGCAAAATATTTTTGGGAGCGCACTATACTACAATACAACCCAAATTTACATTTATTCAGTGCCTTTCAAGTCAGAAAGACACGACAAGATGCTGGAGGGTTCAAGGTTTGCACCCAAGCTGGATATGGGGGCAACTAGAGGAAAAATATCTAAAACCGCAGTCAAAGGGGAAAGTCTTCAGGTGGACCTTGAAGGAGGTATGGGAAGGGTAAGTCAAAGGATGGGAATTCAAAAAAGTAGGGACGGATATGCTGAATGCCCAACTGCCAACGATGGGGCAGGTGACATAAAGGCACCTGCTCAGTGGAGGCAATGGCTGGGTCGGTTGGATTTGAGGAGATCTCGGAGATGGGTGGGGCAGGACTATGGAGGGATTTAAAGGTTAAGACAGGAATCATGAACTTGATCCGCTGGGGGATACGGAGCTTGGCATGATAATAATAATCCATCATCTGGTACAGAGTCTTTCACATCAGGAGGATGTCCCAATGCACTTCACAAGATATATTGTAAAGTATATGTTCTGTGGATAAACACAACAACCAATTTGCACGTAGCGATGTCCCATGACCGTGAATGATCAACTTTATTTGGGGAAAGTTGGCCACGGAATCAGGAGGAACGCGCTTATCTTTGAATAGTGCCATGGGATCATCCACATCCACCAGAATAGGCAGATGGGGCCTTGGTTTTAACGACTCATCTGAAGTATGACAATGTGGCACAAGTGCTACCATCTGAGCCAGCCTGATATCAGGAATGGTGGGGGAGGGGGCGGTGATAGGCTTTCAGAACCCAGTAGGGAAAAGATACGAGTTGCAGAGTCCTAGATAATCTGCAGCTTGTGAAGGATAGTGGCAGATCGGTGGACGAGCAGAGAGAGCTTAACTTGGCCTGGATGAGTGCATGGATTGGGTCTCGGTAGCCCAAGGGGAAAGATAGTGGCAGACGCAAGCAATGTTTTAGAGGTGGAGGAAAAGCTGAACAAGTTAGAGCATGCAAGGTTTAAAGGACAGTTGAGAGTCGAACATGACACTGAGGTTCCGGACAGATTTTGTGAGGTGGAGTGTGCATGCAAGTAGTTTTGATGTTGTCAACGCCTGTGGTGAGAAGGTGCTGATGGAAGCCAAGCAGGAGAACCTCAGTCTTGTCGACATTCAATTGGAGAAAGTTAGAGCTTATCCAGGACTTGATCAACTCGATTTCCGACAGACAATCGATCAGAATTTGTCAAATAGAACAGGACACACTCCCTCCCCCAACCATAATTCTTCACCTACTCTTGTGCCTTTCTGTAATTTAACTGATATTTAATTTGTATTCCTCCTTCCTCTATTGAGCCTCTGATTTCAAATGGAAAGTCCATATCTGTTGCCGAAGGCTTCAACAATGTCAGTATCCTCTTTCATGCCAAACACTTATTTTTTTCCTTCAACTCTATAAAACTCACGTGTATCCAAGCCTGAACACCTGTCATTATTTAGGGTGCTCTCTGGAACGTTTGTAAACCGATGAGAATGCAGAGCCCAAGGTTTGGGCTGATTTGAGGTTTATGTATGGTGGTGATGGGGAGGCCAAGGAGCGAGTTAGAAAAATTTAGCTGGAAAGTGATGAAGGAGTGAATAAGGATTTGGTGGTATTTAGAGTGAGGGGCAGAGACAGGCATTGGTGTAGGAACTGGAGAAAATGTCTTGGTCAGAGCCTGCATGAGGGAGAGAGAAAGCAGTCACCAAAGTTACACACTGGTTTGGTGAGTTAGTGAGGAAGAGAGAGAGAGAGAGAATGAACTTGAGGAGGTTAGAGCCAGGTGAGGAGATGGTGACAGGATTTGAGGAGACGCATTAGTGAAAATTGTGTACACTCATGGTGGTCTTCAGGAAACCATGCATTCATTGAAGATGCATATGGAAATATGGAACCCCATGTGGCTAAAAGTTCTTTTGGAGGTTGTCATCTCATCAAGAGTCTCAGAAGCCATTGGCTTAATCACTTGATTACAGCTATCAAGACATTATCAATTTTTAAAAAAATTATGCATGGTACCTCATTGGAGCTTAAGGTTCTTTTGAGTACTTGCACAAATGTTTATGCGCATTAGGCAGCAAAAAGGCTCACTAAATGGCAACTTCCATTACAAAGATTTTGCCCACCTAGCTCCTGCTAACTCTGCGAGCCAAAGCCCTAAAGAAGTAGTGTGGTCCTGGCTGGACGAGCAGCGGAATCTTGCCAGACAGTGCTTTCAATAGCGAGTTATGAATTTTTTGCTGGTTACCTCCAGCAGTATCCCCAATGCACATAGTAGGCTTGGCAAACCTTTGCTTTTGCTAACCTGCACCTAATATTAATTCAGTAATCTATCTGCATTCCCTCCAGAGAGAATTTGCATTCCATTCCAGATACAGAAATTTTGATGTGCATGTGGCATAAGTCCTGTAGCTCAGTGGTTAGAGCACTCGTCTTGCAAGGGAGATACCTGGGTTCAATTCCAGGCAGGGCGAAACCCTGGGCAAGTTTCCTTACTCCACACGGCTAATAATAATCCCTCCAAAAACAAAAATAAATTGTTCATTTTCAATCCACGACTGTTTGTGGGACATTGCTGTGCGCAATTGGCTGCCCCGTTTCGCCCACAAATATACAGTCAATTCACTTTACAGTATATTCTGTGAAGCGCTTTGAGACGTCCAGAAGATGTGAAAAGCGCTATATCAAATGCAAGGATTGTTGTTATTGTAGATACGTGGAACTTTCAGACTGGTTTGGAATTCTTTAAACACGGTTACACAAACACCCCAAAAAAGGGAGGAAAATTACAAAAGGTCAGATGTGACCTGAAGTTCATCATGACAATTTCAAGGAAGAACTGAATACAGTACCTCATTGAATTGCACCCGTTATTCAGTTTCATTTTTTAAATATCAGCAGTGAAAATGCAACTCGATTGTGACATTCAACAGATTTTATTTATATAGAGCCTTTTACATCAAGAGGACGTTTCAAGGCACTGGAGAGCCCTGAGCTTTTGTTTTGGTCATCCAGGTGTCTGACCCATCACTTTGCTTAAGCGTATCCAAACCAAACTGAGAATGCCATACATCCCGCCTACACATGGCAATCCCAGAGGCAGATGGCTGGAACGGAACGGCCACTCTCTCCCTGGAGGGACGGCATCCTGGTTACCAAATTCCGGAAAGTATTAGGCGCAGGTTGGCACGAGCCAAGGCTTGGGCAGCCCAGAGAGCGCGTTGGGGGTGACCGCTGGTGTCTAACCGGCTATAACCACAGAGCTTCCCATTGATATCGCTGTTCGCCCGAGCCATGGTGAGAGCTGAGGGTTGGATTCGGTGGTGGGGGGGGGGGGAAGATGAGGGGTAATAGGCCAATTGGTGCACCGAAAGAGGGGTGGAATAGGCCGCAGTCACCGCGCAGCACAAAACCCGCCCTATGTAAGTATGTCTGTCTCTTTATTTATAGAGTATTTAAAGAAAAGTTTCATAACACGTGGCTCAGATCAGCAGATCGACCCTCCCTCCCACTCACTCACTCACTCCCTCCCTCCCTTACTCCCTCCCTCACTCCCACACTCACTCACTCCCTCACTCCCACTCACTCACTCCCACTCACTCCCTCCCTCCCTCCCACTCCCTCCCTCCCCTACTCACTCCCACTCACTCACTCCCTCCCTCCCTCACTCCCACTCCCTCCCTCCCTTACTCACTCCCACTCTCCTCCCTCCCTCCCTCACTCCCTCACTCACTCCCTCCCTCACTCCCACCCTCCCTCACTCACCTCAGGCAGTGATTTGCCGCAGCTCAGGTTGTAAACCTTCACGTCGTTGACGCTGTAAACCTGCATTTTACTTTCAGTTTATAAGTCCGTCCGCATCTTTGACTTTTAAAGAGGGGATTGTTACCGTTAAGGAGGTGAAGGAAGGGGGAGTCACAGAGAGAGAGAGATGGGGGGGAATAAAAACTTTGCCTCCCGTTAAAAATCCTCCTCACTCACGGGCCCCGGTGGCTCGAGCGCTTAGCAACGGCGGCGCCTCGTGCGAACTCGGGGCGGCGGCGGCGGCGGGGAGGAGGGGGTCAGACTCAAACAAACCGGAAGTTCTATTATGTAAATGCGGAAACCGGATGAAGCGTCGTTACGTAAATATACCGCCGGCGACGTCGCCTGACCAGGAGAGGGCGGGGCCGACCACCACGTGGGGCGGAGCATCCCGATGCCGGTGATATGCAAATGAGGTGGGGGGGGCGGGGCCGCCGACAGTCCCACATGTGCGCACCGCGCAGCCGGTTGTGCGCACTCAATGAAATGAGCGGTCTCAGCCGTTCACCTGTAACCGCCTCAGAGGCGCAGCGACGGCGGTGGTCTCCGTCTCACTCAGTGGTTCACTGAAGGAGGTGATAGAAAAGGGGCGACACAGCACTCACTCAGTCGGTCGGTCGGTCTGGAGTTGTCCCTCATCCCCACTGTCGCACCACAGGTGCACTGACACTGAGGTAAATAGGAGTGTAACGCGGGTTTCCGTCGCCTTTCGCTCCGGTTTTTATTTTCTTGTAATCCCGACGAGCGATCGGGGCCCTGAGTCAGCGGGAAACTGCGGCAAAAGTAACAGGTGAGACGGTTTGCACTGTACTTCTGTGACGATGATCATCATAATAATGATCATAATAATAATAATAATAATAATAATCCTCGCGTTTGATGGAGAGCGCTTCTCACGTCGGGAGGACGTCCCCAAAGCGCTTCACAGAAGACACTGTAAAGTGAATTGACTGTCTATGTGTATATATATATATATATGTCACTCCTGTGATGTTGTGAAAGAGCTTTGACTGTGATTCGGTGACTTGGGAGAAATAACCGCTTTATCGTAGTTCTTAAGACCATTTTTAATTTTCACCAATAATTTTTTTTTAAAAAAAATGTGACTTTTAAGAAATGACATTTCTTCGAATTAGTGCGGCTTAATCGCTAAAGGGGGGTTTTTTTTTAGTCGGAAGGAGTCAAATGCAATGGAATGAATTTTGGGCACTGCTCTGTCTGTCGTGCGTTTTTTTTAGCAGATTTTTTTTTCCTTCTTCTCGCACTCCCACCTGAAGAGTTATTTGCCGTACGTGCGGTGCCGTCGGCAGGAAACTAAGTGTTATCAAAATAAACCCAAGTAAAACCCCATTTTTTTTTGGGGGGGGGGGGAAAAAAAGACGCCCGTCGCAACCGGATGGCACGGGTTCCCGACAGCGATATTATGGATCAGTCGGATCCGTGTTTTGCGTATTGTATTTCAAGAATCCCGCGTTCAGAGAAAAAGATCCTGCGAGGTCGAATCTCAGCGTTGGCTGCGTTACGAGCTTTCACTGCGATCTGCGAGCTCCGAGTTGAAATGAAAGCAATAAATAATAATAATAATAATAATCCTTGCATTTGATATAGCGCTTTTCACGTCGGGAGGACGTCCCAAAGCGCTTCACAGAACACACTGTAAAGTGAATTGACTGTATATTTGTGGGGGAACGCGGCAGCCAATTGCGCACAGCAATGTCCCACAAACAGTCGTAGATTGAAAATGACCAATTTATTATTGGTTTTGGTTTTTGGAGGGATTATTATTAGGCTCTGTGTGGAGTAAGGAAACTTGCCCAAGGTTTCGCCCTCTGCCTGGAATTGAACTCAGGTCTCTCACTTGTAAAGCGAGTGCTCTAACCACTGAGCTACAGGTCTCCAATCTGGTGTTGGCGCAGATAGTTTATTTCTCATGGGGCAGGGAGTCTATCATGAGGTGTCGTTACCTCTTCCTCTCTAACTAACTCTTTTTCGCAGTTGGAACTACAGCAGAAAATGACCGAGTTCTGGTTAATTTCGGCCCCCGTGGACAAATGTAACCAGCAAATATGGGAGCGAATGAGCACAGTCACTGAAAAAGCCAGTTTATCCAACAATTTTCAGTTCTCAATCCCTGATCTGAAGGTAACCTCTGTTCGCGACCCCTAATTCGGTGTCGTAACAACTGAAATGGTCCGCGTCTTTAAGGTGCAAGTTGTAGCTTTTTTCGCTTTAAACTTTTATATGTTGTGTCGAGAATGCACAGCGCTCGCCAAAACGCTGGGTGAGGAAAACCCCAACCTTTGTGTATTGTCCTGTAGTCTATTAGATTCCCTGATTTCCAATGTCAGATCTTTTTCGGTTATGAAGTATAACGCGCCCATTAAAGCGCCCAGCATTTGTAGTAGTTTTTTTTATTGTGTAGTTGCCCTGTTCCTGCTTTTCCTTGTTCATTGCCATAAATAACAAAAGACGTGATGCTCTCGATTTTCTCATAGGTGGGGACGTTAGATTCACTGGTCGGGCTCTCGGATGAACTGGGAAAACTTGATACGTTTGTTGAAGGGTAATACACGTGTTATTACTGTACACACACAGGTGTATTTGAATCTTGCGGTAACTGCTGCTCTGTGCCTGTTTGTTCGGTGGCCCTCAACTGAGGTGATGCAGCTTTGGGTCGTTTTGGCAGAACAGCAGTGAACTGCAAAAAACTGGTTTCATCTGATAGTCAAACAAAGATATAACCCTCCGGCTATCCAACAGACAAAGTCACCAAGGATGAAAAGGGGGCACTTTTAGAACAGGTCATAAAAATCACCTGATTTTATAATCTTGCTGCCTCCACCCCTTTGATATTCTGGCTAATTGTCTGACTGACATCAAGTCCTGGCCAACTTCCTCCAGCTCGATGCTGGCAAGACAGAGGCCTTCTTCCTTGGCTGCCGGCAGCGCCTCCTCACCTCAGCTGCTGACATTATCACTATTTATGGCTGCACTCTTCACCTCACAGAGCCAATACGAAATCTCGGTGTTCTTTTCAACCCTCAACTATCCTTCAAACCCCAAATTTGTGCTGTGACCCGTTCCGCCTTTCCCCACCTCCGCAACATTGCCCACCTCTGCCACTGCCTCTCACCGCAGGCCACCGAGATCCTGATCCACACTTTCATCACGTTCCAGCTTGGCTACACCAACTACCTACTTGCTAGACTTTCCAACTCTTTCCTCCACAAGCTGCAGAGTATTCAGAACTCTGCAGCTTGTGTCCTGTCCCGCACCAGGATCTGCGAACCAATCGCCCCCATTCTTGCCCGGCTTCACTGGCACCCCATTCCTCAGAGAATTGAGTCAAAACCCTCAATGGTCTTGCTCCCCCCTACCTCTCTGACATCCTTACCCCATATCAGCCTGTCCCCTCCCCTCCCCTGCTCGGCGGACACTGGCCTGCTTCTGGTCCCCCGCAATTTCTGCCCCACCATTGTCGGTCGGGCATTCAGCATCTGGAACGCTATCTCCTCTCTTGCCTCCTTCAAGTCCTGTCTAAAGACCTTCCCACACCCACCACAATGCCCCCTACTCCTCCTGACCTCAACTCCCAGCTCGGGTCCAAAAGCCCCTGACTGTCCAACGCCCTGGGATGTCTTTCCGATGTGAAGGGCGCTATACAAGTCTCATTTGTTGTTGTTTTTGTTGTCTCCAAAAACATGCCTAGACAAGGAATCTCAGTTGTGTTAAACAAAATGCTTTGAAATGTTGTGAATCAGATGTCCAAAATAAATGGGGTGGGGGGGCGGAGAGGGAATTATTGCATTTGATACAGTGCCTTTCATGTTGGACAGACATCTCTCAGTGGCTTGCAGCATTTTCTGTGAAGTCTATTTTGTAGCAACATGACAGTGAATTTACCTGACAAATAACCATAGATGGGATGATAAACTTTACTTGTGAATTGTTGGCCAGGACAACAGGAGAAACTCCCTTCTTTTTTAGAATAGTACTATGGGATTAATGTCCATCTGGAAAGGCAGATGAGACTTTGGTTTAATGTCTCATCTAAAGGATGACCTTGCATTGGAGTGTCAGCCTAGCTGTATGAGTTCAAAGTCCCAACCTGGGGCTTGAACCCACAATGTTCTGACTCAGAGGTGAGAGTGCTACCAAACTATCTCCTTTTTGCCGTTATTTTTTTGGCTGAGGGAATACAGTTTACATATTTCTATCAGTTTATGTTACACTAGCTTTTTATAGAGACCATTTGATAAAAGGCCACAGGAAATACAACAATTAGAAAGCTAAACATCTGATTTCTAACATATTGAAAATGACCAGTACATCGGAATAAACCACCTTCCTTTTCAAATGGGATCTTTAACGTGCACCTGCAAAGGGAACATGGGACCTCAGTTTTACGTCTCATCTGAATAACAGCCAGCAGTATGTTAACATCATCCTGTGATCATGGGTTTTTATCAGGTTCTAAACAGCAGTCAATTCCTAAGATCAAAGATAAGACGAATCATGGAATATAACAGTACAGAAACTGGTTATTTGACCCATCAAATCTGTGCTGTTATTTTTTTCTACATGAACCACCTAATCTAATCCCATTCTCCTTCTCACTCTCTAAATCCTGTGATCTCCCTTTTCAAGCACGGTGTCATCTTGGATAAGATAGCATTCTCTACTTTGGATCAGAAGGTTGTGGGTTCAAACTTCAAGACTTTAAGATCATAATCTATCCTTAGACTCTAGTACAGTGCACTGTGTTGTTGCAGGTGCATTATTTTAAATGTGCTAGTAAACTGGCTATTCAATTGGATGTTAAAGGTCTGGTGACACTACAGTATTTAGGGTCTTGAGGTGGGACTTCAAGGAGGCTAAGGAGGGGGCGAGGCAGAGTGATGGAATTCCAGAGGTTGGCGGCAGAGTGGCTCTCCCACCAATGGTGGGACGGGTGGGTCGGGGGACTTGAAGTAGGGCAGAACCGGCTGAGCGGAGGGAACGGGCGAGTTGGTAGGGGGTTAGGAGGTCGCAGAGGTAGGGTGGGGCGAGGCCATGGAGGGCTTTGTATGTGAGGACCAGGATCTTGAACTGGATCCTCTGAAGGATAGGGAGCCAATGGAGTCGGGCAAGAATGTGGGAGATGGGGTCACGGAGTTTGGTGCGGGAGAGGACACGGGCTGCAGAGCTCTGGATTATCTGCAGCCTGTGGAGGGAGGAGTTGGGAAGGCCGACAATCAGGGCGTTTGCATAGTCGAGCCTGGAGGTGATGAAGGTATGAACGAGTAGCTGTAAAGTAGTTTGAGACATTTTGATATTTAGATACTACTACTACTAATAATAATCCTTGCATTTGATATAGCGCTTTTCACGTCTTCCAGACGTCTCAAAGCGCTTCACAGAATATGCTGTAAAGTGAATTGACTGTATATTTATGGGTGAAACGCGGCAGCCAATTGCGCACAGCAGTGTCCCACAAAAGGTCGTGGATTAAAAATGACCAATTTATTATTGTTTTGTTTTGAAGGGATTATTATTAGGCTCTGTGTGGAGTAAGGAAACTTGTCCAAGGTTTCGCCCTGACCTGCCTCGAATTGAACCCAGGTATCTCACTTGCAAGGCGGGTGCTCCAACCACTGAGCTACAGGACTCCACGATATTATATCAAATGCAATGGAACCCTGTTATCGTGTGATATTTGGGATCCATACAATCTTGACCCACACGATAGTGATGCACAATAATGCTCTTGACTGCACATGTGCACCACTGGCCAATTAATTCCCTGCCGGCTTGCTGCTTCCCATGCAAAAGAAAAAGATGCTGACTTTATTATAGGGCCATTGTCAATATGTGGATGGCGATACAGGGTGAGAAACTTGATTGATTTCTCCCCCCCCCCCCCCTTACTAGTACTGCTATGAGTTTATTACTGAGCACAACAGAATTTGAAGCAGGAACCATCTGGTCTGTTTGGCTCAGAGCTGCCAATAGTACTTCTATTGACAAAAAGTTGGTCTCCTTTTACATGATCAATTTGAATTTAAGCTTCACCTATTCAAATCAATGTGGCCTCATTGAGCGTGTTTTGCTAGTTTTCACCAAGCTGCAGGATATGCAGCATCTTGGCTCATGCTGCAGAGGAAGAGGTTATTGAACAGCAGATCACTTTGCTTTAAATTATTCTGATGTAATATTTATGCAAGCAATTTGCTACAGATATCTGTTCTTCCCTGCTTAAATGTCTTCTTGCCCTTTGTAAGACCAGCTATGTAAGAATTGCTTGTTAATGTGTGTCTTTTGATTTAAGCATTGTAAAGAAACTGGCGCAGTACACCGCAGATGTTATGGAGGATACCAAGGATAAAGCTCAAGAAAATCTATTAGCTAATGGAGGTGAGCGATAAAATGTTCTGAGCTGACACCCATTAAGAGCCAAATTTACACATGTTGCAGCTTTCAAAACCGTAATTTTATTAATTATTTCAAAATATAATCTTTCAATTAGCCTCTAACAATGATGCTCGATAATATTTTATACTGTCAATTCACTTTACAGCATATTCTGTGAAGCTCTTTGAGACGTCTAGAAGATGTGAAAAGCGCTATATTAAATACAAGGATTATTATTATTATATAGAAACAAGCCATTTGGTCCAACTAGTTCATGCTAATGTTTATACTCCATGTGAGCCTTCACGCCTCCTAATCCCTTTGCTCATACCCCTCTATTCCCTTCTCCCTCACTGATTTACATACTCCCACTTTACAAATTCCCTAAATAGTAGAAATAATTTTCACGCACACTTCACAAAAGATAACCTTCCTCAATAAAAGGGCATTGGAGTTAATATTCGTGTCTTATTAGAACCTGTGAAACTGTTTCAGTTCTGGTATTTATATTTTGAGATGTCTTGATGCAATATATCAAATGCAAGGATTATTATAGTGAAGAATCTTAGCTTCTAAACACAGTGATTGAAGTATAATCATCTGATTAAATAAAGCTGAAAGGTGTATTTTCAAACAATTCAGAACAATTGGATCTGTCTAACGATAGCTTTAGGTTTTACTCTAACGCATGGTACTTTATCACCTACACACTCTTCAATATGTAATCTGTTGCGACAGAGCATTCTGTCAACTACATTCTGATTGACATTCAACAACAGCAAAAGATCAGGAAATCAAAGTAATGATGAAACATAATAATCCTTACACTTGATATAGCTCCTTTCACGTCAGGGGGATATCTTAAAGCACTTTGCAGGATTATAGTGTAAAGTGTAGTGACTGTTTTTTTAGGCAACGTTTGTTGAACTATTATCTTTAGTGGGAGTACTACCTGTTAAGTTCAGACTTCAAATAGATGTTCTATTTCTTTCATCAATCGACTTTTATCAACTTAGAGGATCTCTGGGGGCCTGAGGCTTCCTTTACAGAAATACAACTTCACAGAAGTGGACATGAGATTGGATCCAGCAGAGTTCAGGAGGGTGGCGTGAGTCACATCTGGGTTCAAACAGGATTCTAACATTAGAAATCCTGTTATGAATTGCCACCTATTAGACCCCTGTATTACAATGTTTTTATCTCAGCAGGACATTACTGTCTTTATTATTGATGTGCAGAAATGATAAATAAGACTTCCCACCCTTCTTTATCAATAAATTGCATTACTAAGTCATGGCTGTTCTATCCCATCTTTACTAAAAAAAAGTAGCTTGTGAGAACCTTCCAAATGCATTTGGATCTCAGATTCACTAATCAGTCTAGTGTTCTGATATTTGCTAGCTCCAAAATGTCATTTATACTATTGAAACATACCTGTCACCTCCAAAGCTCATTCCTTCTCTGTTGTGGTCACTTGAATTCCTTGCCCAGTGTATTCTCTCTGTCTGATTTACCCCTGTAATTGCATTGGGACTGGCTGAATAAATTAATAACCATGGTCAGTTTATGAGCAATGTCATGTATCTGTGGCTTGGTATCCACCTTTATTGGTATCCAGAGAGGTAAGCAGCTGTTGTTCAAGCTCTTATAACAGTTAGTCTCTGTGCAGACTGAGAATACTTTGCAGGAATGTGAACCTGCAATGTTCACAACCCTGCAAAGTATTGTGAGGCGATATGATTGCTGTCTTTAAGATTCTAAAGGGGCAAGATAACATAGATCATGACAGGCTGTTTGAACTAGTCTAGAATAGCAAAACCAGAGCCTTTGAATGGAGATAAATTCATAACGAACCTACACAAACAGTATTTCAGTGAGCGAATAGTAAACCTGTGGAACTAGGGAGACGGTTGAAGCAGAAGTGTTTATTCTTTGAAACACAGATTAGATATTTTTCTTTTAGGAAATAACATTATGAGATACAGTACATTGGTAATCTGGGACATATGTGCATGCGACTGCCAGGAAGGTGGAAGGCGAACTAGATGGATCTTGATCTTTTTTCGTCTAGCATTTCTTACGTACTAATGTGTTTTTGGCTAAGCTCTGAATTTCGCATTCCTATTTAGTACACTTTCAAACCTGGAACTGGTTCAAGAATAACTTGGATTGCAACACGTTCAGGTGCACTGGGTATTTAGTATTCTAAAAGGATACCAGACACATTAGGACAGCAAATCCAGTGACCCTTATAACTCAAGAACAACTAATTTACATTTATATAGCACCTTTCACGTCGGGAAGATGTCCCAAGGTGTTGGACAGTCCAGGGTTTGCACCCAAGCTGGGAGTGGAAGCCAGGGATGGAGTGGGTGGTTGTGAGGGGGTAGGGTGGCGTGGGGGAAAGATGACTGAAGGCACAGACACTGAGAAATGTCTTGAGGCAGATCTTGAATGAGGCGAGGTAAGGGGCGAGTCATAGGGACTCCGGGATGGAGTTCCAGAAATTGGGGTAGAAAGCCTGAAAGTCCATCCACCTATGGTGGGGTGGGTAGCGCATTTGATATAGGGCTTTGTCATATTGTTGAGATGTCTCAAAGCAGTCTATAATATATATATTGTAAAATAGATTGGCTACGTATTTTGTGGGCGAAACCTGGCAGCGAATAGTTAACAGCAGTGCCCCACAAACAGTCGTGGATTGACTGATCAAATTTGTTTTTGAGGGATTATTACCCAAGGAAAGTGCCCTAGTTGTTAGTCCTTTGACTAAGGGTTCCTACTTACTGCTAGGTAAACAGGCGTGAGAGTAAGAAAACCTAAGGTTTTGCCCCACCTGGAATCGATCCGGGTCCTCTCACTTGCGAGGCGAGCGCACTAACCACTATGCTACAATTATGATTACAGAGGGAACTCCCATTATAATATTAAATGGTAGTGAAAATGTCACTATTTGTAGCATTTCCTAAGCCAGATCAAGTATTTAATATTGACATAATCTTTCTACAGCATACATGTACAGCTCATGAAAAGTCAAAGTGTAAAGGGTTTAAACTTACTCATATAAAAGTCAATGAAGCCTTCAGCTATGTGTGCTCATCTCAGACAGAAATATGTAGCAAAAATGCACAAAATATTCTGTCCTACTGTGTCTGATATCTTTTTATCTTGTAGCTCAGTGGTTAGAGCACTCACCTTGCAAGCGAGACACCTGGGTTCAATTCCAGGCAGGGCGAAACCTTGGGCAAGTTTCCTTACTCCACACGCCTAATAATAATCCCTCCAAAAACAAAACAATAATAAATTGGTCATTTTCAATCTACGATTGTTTGTGGGACATTGCTGTGAGCAATTGGCTGTCGCGTTTCGCCCACAAATATACAGTCAATTCACTTCACAGCATATTCTGTGAAGTACTTTGAGATGTCTAGAAGACGTAAAAAGTGCTATATCAAATGCAAGGATTATTATTATTGTATTATATTATAAAATATGAATGTGAAGGTATTGAAGCTATTTTGTTCTTTCTTTCTTGCTATTTACAATACCACTGATGCAAAGATTTCTGGAAGGTTAGTAAAGATCATTGAAATCTGGTTTGCTACCCTAGGTGAGGGGCACTATACAAATGCAAGTTGTTGTTGTTGAACTATGAACTTCTCTATTTTTATGAATATTTGCACTTAAATGTGAATTTTTTTCACAGCAACAGTCTGGACATATGGATACAGTGATCAGGTTACGATGGATTGAAAAGTAAGAACCACATAGCTTGGTCACGATGTCCATTTGACCAGAAAATCTTCAACCTTCAGAACAAATTATCTTCAATACTGCAGATCTATATAAAATATTGTTATGGTTGACCGTCATAAATGGAGAACATTTTAAGCAAGAAAAGATTTTGTGGCAATGTAGGTCAATGGCCCAAGCTAGAGATTTTCATGGAGTCGTAACATTTTAAGGATGTGTCACTCCTCTTTTCCCTGTGAGTTTTAAGAGTAGTGTTGCATCTACTTTAGTGCTGCAAACCTGAAATACAGATTTCTTCAAAACAAACTGGACGATGCATTTATTAATTCTCTTGTCCCTCATCATTGTATCAGACATGATTCTGATGGATAGACAGGCAGATTCATGAAAAGCCAAAAAAGAAGGGAGAATTAGACATTTCATTGTGTCAAGCATGGGGGAATCAGGGCTAGAATTAAGTACAAACATACCAAAATATTTACCCCTAAATTTTCCATTCATTTTGTGATTATTATCCTATAAGGGTTTTAATTCTACAATTCTGAAACTTTTAAAAAGTAATTGAGAGCACTTATGTGATCCATTCTTATGAGTGAAAAAAAACACCAATCTAACTGAGGAATCAAATACATTTTCAGATAAGTGACACCATGGAAAAAGTACTAAACTACAATGGAAAATTCCTTATAAATGTGTTTCAAAATCCATTCTTCTCTTCTACCTCCCTTTTTAGTTTGAACCAATGGCCAGGTCTGGTTGAGGGTTTTAAGTGGAAGTTCTGGTGATTATTTCCGTACCTCTATACCTTTATATTGCATACCTCTATATGAAAATATCTTTAATCATAAGTGGTTTCATTCACTTGCTGGTAGAAACACTGTTTGTAGTGGAGAACAGTTTCATCACCCAGAAGAGGAGAGCAATCTTCAGTGCAAATATCTCCTGCACTTCCCTGCACTACAATTAAAGCAGGTTTTAGACTACCTACAAGTGCCAGAGCGTCTGATCGGGGAGAGTATAAAAATGTATTTTTTTGAGAAAAACTTTTTTGTGCATATCATTGTGAGAGATATTTGTCTTTGGTAATGTTCTTATTCTGAGCATTGGCTTTAAGTATATATTGTAAGATATAGAATAATAGGGTCTAAAATACATATTGGGATAATAGCCCATTACCTAACCATGTTCAATTGCAGTAAAGATGTCCTTAATTTATCTAATCAGTCATCAATATATTTCCATAAGTAGTAACCTAACCCATAATTTAAGATCTTTCCATTGATTTAATCGTGTGGTGTTCTGTCTGTTTCTAGCGCTGTGGTGGAATTTTTTTGTTTAACATGAATGATGGAGCAACAATAACACCACTAATTCTATTTTCTTATTTTAGTTGATCTTCAAAGATATTTGACATATTTTCAGTGGGACATGGCTAAATACCCCATAAAGCAGTCATTACATAATATAACGGAAGTTATTACCAAGGTAAGATTCAATATTTATTGATATTTAGAAACTTGTGTGATTAAAAATAATAAAACCATCTAATGTACTTTATTGTCCCATAAAATATACAGTCAATTCACATTACAGTATATTCTGTGAAGTACTTTAGATGTCTTGAAGTTGCGATAAAGCGCTATATGGAGTCCTGTAGCTCAGTGGTTAGAGCACTCGCTTTGCAAGCGAGAGACCTGAGTTCAATTCCAGGCAGGTCAGGGCGAAACCTTGGGCAAGTTTCCTTACTCCACACAGAGCCTAATAATAATCCCTCCAAAAAAAAAAACAATAATTAAATTGGTCATTTTCAATCTACGACTGTTTGTGGGACATTGCTGTGCGCAATTGGCTGCCGCGTTCGCCCACAAATATACAGTCAATTCACTTTACAGTGTGTTCTGTGAAGCGCTTTGGGACGTCCTCCCGACGTGAAAAGCGCTATATCAAATGCAAGGATTATTATTATTATTATATTATTATTATTATTATATCAAATGCAAGGATCATTATTATTGTGTTTGTATTTTTTATGACTCCCAATTTCTAAAGTATATGGATAAATTACAAAATGGAATTAGTAATCTGCCACAATCTAATAAAATACAATACAATTGAGATTTGTATAGTGCCTTTCATGCTGGGAGGGATGTCTCAAGGGCTGAATGGCTACGGATGTCACTTCCTGTTCATTGAGTACATGTGCAGGAAGCAGCACTTGTCACTTCCTGCATTCTGCGCATGAATGCAATGTGCAAGAAATGCTGCTGACATAATGTATTTTGTGACGTCAGTTCACTCCCTGTGCACATGTGGCACAGGGCGTGACATCAGTGAGTCTTCCTGCAGATGTGTGCTCGCAATGCACAATAAATTAGTTCAGCAGCAAGTTGCTGACCCAAAAGGCAGCCATTATGTTAGTGTGGGACGCCGGTTGGCCAATGTCGGAAACTGGGTGCAGCATGCATCCAATGCAGTAGAGCAAAGCTGAGCTCAACATGGATATATTCTAATACAGTTTTCATGTATTATTGGCATTTCATCTTGGTTTCTCAATAAAACAAAATGCAGTTTGAATTAGTTATTCAAGAAGCAAATTACAATGGGAGTTAAGTTCTAGTCAACTGAATTCCTTATTTAGGAAACAAAACAAAAAATACAAAAGAACATAACATAAGAAATAGGAGCAAGACTAGGCCATTCAGCCCCTCGAGCCTTAATAAGTTCATGGCTGATCTTCTAACCTAATTGCATTTACCTGCCCTATCCCCATATCCCTTAATCCCTTTAGTTTTTAAAAATCTGTTGATCTCAGTCTTGAATATGTTCAATGACTGAGCATCCACAGCCTTCTGGGGTACAGAATTCCATAAATTCACTGCCCTCTGAGTGAAGAAATGTTTTCTCAACTCAGTTCTAAAGGGCAGACCTTTAATCCTGAGAATATGACCCCTAGTTTTAGATTCTCCAACCAGGGGAAACAGTCTCACACTATCTACTCTGTCAAGACCCTTAAGAAGCTTATAGGTTTCTATAAGATCATCTCTAATTCTTCTATATTCTAGAGAATATAGGCCTAGTCTACTCAACCTCTCCTTATAGGTCAACCCCCTTATCCCAGGAACCAACCTAGTGAACCTGTATTGCACCCCCTCTAAGGCGAGTATATCCTTTCCTAGATAAGGAGACCAAAACTGCACACAATATTCCAGGTGCGGTCTCACCAAAGCCCTGTACAATTGCAGCAAGACTTACCTACTCTTGTACTCTAATCCCTTTGAAATAAACATGCTATGAGCCTTCCTAGTTGCTTGCTCTACCTGCATACTAACTTTCTGTGATTGGTGTACAAGGACACCTAAATCCCTCTGAATACTAACACTGTCTAGTGTTAACCTGTCTATAACTCTTTGCCTCCTCCTTGTGTCCTCCTCACAGCTTACTTTCCCACCTAACTTTGTATCGTCCACAAATTTAGATTCATTAAGCTCCATTTCCTCATCTAAGTCATTGATGTAGACTGTAAACAGTTGAGGCCCAAGCGCTGATCCTTGCGGCACCCCACCAGTCACAACCTGCCGATCTGAAAAGGACCCGTTTATCCCTACTCTCTGTTTTCTGCCTGTAAACCATTCTTCGATCCATGCTAATATACTACCCTTAATTCCATACACCCTAATCTTATGTAACAACCTTTTACGTGGCACCTTGTCGAATGCCTTCTGAAAATCTAAGTACACTATATCCACTGTTTTTCTAACCTGCTAGTTACATCTTCAAAAAACTAAAAGATTTGTTAAACACGATTTGCCTTTCATAAAACCGTGTTGACTGCCTAATCATTTTATGACTTTCTAAGTGCCCCACGACGATGTCACTAATGATAGACTAGAATTTTCCCTGCCACCGATGTCAGGCTAATTGATCTATAGTTCCCCATTTTTTCTCTCCCATCCTTCTTAAATATAGTGGTGTTACGTTTGCGATCTTTCAATCAACGGGAACCATTCCAGAATCAAGGAATTCTGGATAATCAAAAACAATGCATCCACTATTTCTGCAGCCACCTCTTTTAAAACCCTAGAATGTAGGCTATCAGGTCCAGGGGATTTATTAGTTTTTAGTCCCATCAATTTCTCTAGTACTATTACTTTACTGATATTAATTTCTTTAAGTTCCTATTAACATTAATCTCTTGGTTCCCCACTATTTTATAATATTTATAATATTCCTCTACACCCCCCTACCTCTCTGACCTCCTCTCTCCTCAAAACATTACCCGTTGCCTTCGTTCCTCCGGGTCTGGCCTTCTCGTCCCCCAAGTCCTCCGCTCCACCCTCGGCGGCTGTGCCTTCAGCCACTATGCCCTGAGATTCTGGAACTCCCTTCCTCACTCCCTTCGCCTCGCTCCCTCCCTTCCTATTTTCAAGTCTCTGCTGAAGACCTTTCTTTTCAAACGCGCCTTTGGTCACCTTCCTCCCCCTTCCCTTGGCTCGGTGCCGGCATCCGTTACTGTAAAGCGCTCTAAGACGCCGTCCGGCGTGGAGGGCGCTATATAAATCAAGTTGTTGTTGTTTATTTCTGGTAAGTTTTTAGTCTCCTCCAATGTGAAGACAGAAGCAAGTGACTCTGCCATTTCTTTATTCCCCATTATAATTTCTCCTGTCTCTGCCTGTAAAGGACCCTCATTTACTTTTGTTAATCTCTTCCTCTTTATATACTTGTAAAAGCTCTTACAATCTGTCTTTGTATCTCTAGCTAGTTTACTCTCATATTCAATTTTCTTCTTCTTAATCAGTTTCTTGGTTATCCTTTGCTGATCTCTAAAGCCCTCCCAATCCTCAGGTTTACAGCACTTTTTAGCAATATTCTTTTAATTTTACACTTTCCTTAACTTCTCTATTTAGCCATGGTTGAACCACTTTTCCCGTGGAATTTTTATTTCTCGAGGGAATATGCGTTCGCTGGGAATTATCTAATATATCTTTGAATGTTTGCCATTGCTTGTCTACTGTCATATCTTTTAATCTACTTTCCCAGTCTATTTTAGCCAATCGTCCCTCATACCTGCAAAGTTGGCTTTATTTAAGTTTAAGACCTTTGTTTCAGACTACATCACTCTCAAACTTAATACTAAATTCCATCATATTATGGTCACTCTGCCCTTGAGGAGCCTTAACTTCAAGATTGCTGATTAGCCTTGCTTCGTTACACAATACAAGATTTAGGATAGCCTGTTCCCTGGTTGGTTCCTCAGCAAACTGTCAGCATACCATACTGCAAATTAGAACCTATTATTTCTAATGTTAATTTGGTGTTAATTTGCAGTAATATTTTATGTCATTTTATTTACCCAGCATTAAGGTGACATTTTTGCTACTGTTTTTCTGACGCATTCTCAACTCAATATAATTATTAGTGTAGTAGGCACTAATACAATTCCTAATCTGATACTTCTAAATATTTTAAAATTTTTCTGTTCCTTATTTATGTTCTGGAGATCATATTTCAGAATCTGACATTTAAAATGTGCCCTAATTATAAACAAAGTAACTGTTTAATATCATTCTTATTTTCAGCAAATTTCACAGATTGATGCTGATTTAAAGTCTCGTTCAGTGACATACAACAATATCAAAGGAAACCTTCAAAATCTGGAGAGAAAAGCTGTGTATGTAAACCAAGAGCCACAACTTGATAGATCTTTGTATGGTGCAAAGTTACCAAACATAGTTATTGTAAACATGTGGAGTCTGACTGGAATGCAGTACACTATGAATGGTAACTGTGCAGCTTGTTAATATGAAGCATTAGTAAGATTCACAGTATGTCCAACTAGGGCTTTGGTTTCCAGATATCACCACATGGCTACCCCTTCAATTCTCAATGATGCTAGTCAGTCATTAACACTATCTTGGACTCGGGATTTCAGATCCAGTTCAACTGGTGGGTGCAGATGGTGGTAGTACTGTACTGATAGATTGGATATTTCCATCCCCTCAAAATGGATATTTTATTGACCTCCATAAAATGGAGTTGAGAGGACCGACCAGATACAAACCCAAGACATTGTGATGCTAAATCTGGTGCTTAACTAACCAGCTGCCTTGGAAGCAATATATTATGGTATTGAAATTGACTGTGAAAGATGCAAAATCATAAGGGAGGTTTCAATATTAAGGTCCTTTGGCCCATTTGATCTCACCTTTCCAAAATGCCCAAACTACCTTCCTACCAACATAGCATCAAGTTGTTTCGTAAATGGGTCCAGTGCCCTGTCCTCAACCACCATTTCTAATAACGTGTTCTAGGTATTAATCACCCTCTGGGTAATACTTCCTGGTATCTATCCTGAAATTGTGCTCCTGTAGTTCTAAACCTCCGCACTGCCTGTAGGCCTCACAAGTCCCCTTATGTTATGGCAATCAGAGCTCCAGGTGTGACTTGACTACAGCACTATAGTTTGAGTATGATTTCTGTGGATGTAAACTCAACAGATATGATTCTGCTTATTGCTGACTCACTCTGTTTTGACATGGTGAGTGACGAGTCAATTAACACCCTAGATTTCTTTCAACAAGTTCTATTCCATCCATGGAAGGCACATGCGCATCAACAACAACAACAAAATTACATTTGTATAGCGCCTTTCACTTTGGGAGGACGTCCCAAGGCGCTGGAATGCGAGATGAAGTTCCAGAGGGTGGGGGCAGAGTGGTGGAAGGGTGTCATCCGCATATATGTGGAAGTTGACCTCATGCCTGCGGATGATAAGAGGGAGCATATAGATGTTGAAGAGGAGGGGACCAAGGTCAGAGCCCTGAGGAACGCGCTGAGGAGCATCCTATTCTTATTTCCTATAATAATATTTCCTATACCTTGCATTTATTTATATTGAATTTCATTTACCCGTCCTCAGTCCATGTGCATATCCTGCTGAACTCTCTTTGTAAGGTCTTTGTTGTCTCCTCTGATTTCACAGTTCCTCCTAACTTTGTTGCATCTGCAAATGTAACTATTGATTTATTTATTCCAGGGGAAGTCTTTTGACTCGCACCTTAGCAGACATTGTAAATAAGGATGATTTTGTCTTAGATTCAGAATACCTCACAACTCTTCTGGCTTTTGTTCCCAAGTAAGTTGTCTGCATGCTGCAAATTGGTTTAATTGGATTCAGCTTGTGTCGTTGAACATTTTTATAACTAGCCATTATTTATGTGACTCCTGGTATACTTTAGGTCAAATTATAATAACTGGCAAAGGACATACGAATCCCTCTCTGTCATGGTGGTTCCTCGATCAACCAAGTAAGTGGAAAAAAATTCACATACTAAGAGATGTTTAGTGTTGTTTCAGTATGACTATTTGCTCAAATAAAATTAATTATCAGTTAAATTGCCTTGATAAAGCTTATTAAGATGTTATTGAAAACCGGATCATCATAGTGTAGAGCAGAAGCACTGTTATTGCATACCAAACCTGGTAGAAAGCAGCTTCAATTCCCCCCACTAAGTTTTTAATCCGGGAAGCTGCCAAATGGAGGTTAGACATCTCCCAATACAGACGAGCAATAAACCGATGGGCATCTCCACCAGACTAACTGTTGCCAAGAGCAACATTACTGGTGGCCTAGAAGCAAGCAATTTCTGAGACTGTATTCCACAGTTTAATTCTTTATGTCTGCTCCTGGCACTAAACAGCAGAAATAATTAACTTCAAGAGCTGCATTACAATGTACACAGTTTAGAACTTGTTGGGGCTCTGAACAGTGAACATTCCTTTGCATGCATTATGAGGAATGGAAAAATCCAGTTACATTTTAACAGATGTGCAATGCTTTTCTGAACCAGTAATGTGTGCACAGTACAGTTTGATCAGGTTACTGACCAAACGTTATTGACGATTAAAATTCCAGACGCTACCATCTGATTTTTACTTGTTAACAATTAAAGGAAACTTGTTATGAACCATTAGATTATGGTCATAATTCTATTTATATAGTAGATTAACTTTAATACTGCAATTTTAATCCGAACCCACTGAAAAACATCCAAAAGGATTTTAAATGCTTTACCTCATCTTGTCAATCATTTTTCCTTCTATTTTACTTTCCCAATTCACTCAGTATTTATTTTATTTAAATTTTGATTTTACTACTTTAGTCCATTTTAATATTTCTACTAGTTTTCAAACCTACTGCATATTATTCTTCTCTGCCTCTGTTCCAGCATCCATTGGACACATAAGTACCTGTTTTTAAAATGTGTTTCTGTGGACTGAAAGAGTGCAGATTGAATCAGATACACCTATAATGAGATTAGTTTAATCTTTGACATCCCAATCGAATCAAAACAGAAGTGAGCGCTGTAATGAGTAAATTAAATGTGCCCCATGGAGCGACAATAGCCAGATGTGTAGTCTCATCCATGATTCTAATATTAATATTTTTAAATATTTTAGCCTTTCAAAACAATATTTACAGTTATGCTACCAAATATTTGGATTCTGATCCTCACTCACAATATTAATTATCGATCAGTACATACTCTAGTTCATTTAAAATAATTTATTCACACTAGTTTTTCAAATGCAGTTTTTATCCTTCAATGTTGGGGTTATTCCATAATGTAATGGATTGTGTGCTTGGCTTGATTTTATTTGGTAAACACACAGGATGCATTCTGGTATTACCTTGTAATGTGAGCAGCCTGCAATCAAAGATTTAGGGAGCCACAAGTTCTGTACATCCAGTATTTCAATTGATTTAAAACCAACTTCAATTGATTGCAAAAGTTTGTTAATTATAACAGTAAGAATTTTATCTTTGACACAAAACAACAACAAATTACATTTGTATAGCCCCTTTCATGACGGGAGAACGTCCCAATGCGCTGGACAGTCAGAGGTTTGGACCCTGGGCGGGTAGAGGTAGGAGGGTGACCAAAGGCGTGGTCAAAGAGGAAGGTCTTGAGATGTGCCTTGAAGGAGACAAGGCAGGGGGAGAGGCGAAGGGATTGTGGGATGGAGCCAACTGAGCAGAGGTAGTGGACAGGTTTATATGGGGTTAGTAGGTCACAAAGATGGGAAGAAGCAGGGTCATGGAGTCCTACAAGGGGAGATGAGGATTTTGAACTCTATGTTCTGGGGTATGGGGAGCCAGTGGAGCCGGGCGAGGATGGAGGGAATAGCGTCATAGAGCCTGACCCAATATAATTCTGAAAGTAGCGTAAACACCCATGTAAATTTAAAAGTAACAACTTATTTATATTTCCAATCATGTAGTGACATCTTGCTCAGAGAAAACCATTCATTTTATAGGGAAACTCAACTCTAAATAAGAATTGTAGGAGAGATTTCATGGAACCATAGATATTTAAGTGCAGGAGGCCATTCAGCCCATTGGGCCGGTGCAGGCTCTCTGAAAACACAATCCATGAAGTCCCATTCTCCTGACTACTCTCCATGCCTTTTTGTATTTCTCCTTTCCAGATATTTATCTAATTCCCCCTTAAAAGGTAATATAGATTTTACCTCAATCATTGTAGGCAGGGAAGCTCTCTGTGTATAACTATCTCTCGTAATTTCTCCCTTTGCTCAATTCTACCTTTCTGCTTCAACTCCAGGACAGACTGCTGTTAAGACAGACTGACTGTCAGATATTAAGTCCTGGATGAGCTTGAACTCTCTCCAAATTTATGTTAAAAAAATCAGAGGTAATTCTGTTCAGCTCTTGCCAGCCTCCTCACCGCAGGTGCTGACTATATGAACTTCCCTGGCCACTAACTCCAGCTCAATGAGCCAGTACACAATCTCATTATTTTGTTTACTTCCCCTTTAAGCCTTTCATCCAGTCCATAACCAATTCCACTTGCCTCCATCAAGACAACCTCACCCGCAACAAAGTCCAAACCCTCATCCATGCCTTTGTCACCTCCACACTCGATTTCTCCATTGCCCTTCTCACTGGCCTTTCCAGCTCTACCCTCCAAATGCTGCAGATCATCCATGGTTGGTATTCTTACCTACACAGCGTTCCGCCAGCCCTCGCCCAGACAGACTCCAAAATTCACTGCCTCCCTATCCTCCAATTAATTAACTTTATGAGCCTCATTCTTACACAGGTATTGCCCAACCAAATCTCTGCAAACCCCTCCAACCCTTGTGGTCCTACTAACCCATACATTTCCTCTGCTCCCTCAATTCTCTCTTGCATCATCTTACCCATTCCTCAGAGGAGAGCTTTCAGCCTATTTGCTTCTACCCTCTGGGACATCTTTCCCAAAAATCCCTCTGTCTTGTTCCCTCCCTCTCTGCTTCCAAACCTGTCTTAAAAGCCTACTTTCTCTCTTTCTTCAAACTCTTCTATTGTATCCCACTCTTCTTCACCAGCTCAGGCAACTGCTCAAACTCTGAAAAGTGGTTTGAGAGAATTTCCTATGTGAAACGTGTCATATCAGTGCAAATTATTTTGGTGATTATCTTCCATCTATGCTTTCTAGTTATCAATTCACTAACCATTGGATATAATTTCTCCCTCTTTAACACTATCAAACCCCTCATTTTGTTAAGATAAACCTCTATTGCGCCTCCTCTTTCTATATTTGGGAAACAGCCCCAGTTCCTCCAGACTCTTCATAAGGAAAACCTGTGAAAACTGGACAGATGTTCCAACTGCAGCCGAATTACTGATTTATTACAGGATTAGAATTACCAAATTGTTTTTAAATTCTAAACCCCTGTTGATAATTTTTTTTACAGTTTTGTTAGCTTGCTCCCCCTACAAAAAATAACCTTAAAAAGAGTTAGATACAGGGGTAATTTAATCTAAGAGGAGAATGTGGAAAGGACAGATAAATGCGACTGAAAGAATTGCTCTTGAGGGAGCCGTCACAGACATGAATGGCCTTCTTTTGAGCCATAAAGTTCTATGGTTCACCTTTAAAGATTTATATACATCAATTCCCTGGGTCTCTAGCACTGGTCTTTTAAAATTTTACAATTTAATGTATATTTCCTCTTCTATTCCTATGTCAAAATATCAAAAAATGCAAGGATTCTTCTTCTCAAAGTATGTCACCAGTGAGGCCATATACTACGGTATGATGGCCAGTTTCTGTTTGCTGTCGGAAACTACTTTAGATCTGAAGATGCGGCTAATCTTCATAAGATGTTTGGCAAATCTTTTTTGTTTTGTTGAAAGGATTCATTACCTCAGTGCATCACTATGGTAACAATCGCACAGGACACTTTGCTCTCACCAAACAAAAAAAGGAGAGGTTTGCCATTTATATGTTCACAAAGACTCTACCTCTTTAGGATGTAATATGGTACTAAATCAAATACTAGGATTATTATCTGAAAGTAACACGTCTGATACTAAGTTCATAGAAGGTGATTTCCAGATGATGATCTCATGATTTTGGTAACATTCGTAAGATCACTGAGGCTTGTTGTCAAGCTATCAGTCATCAAAATGCTCAATTGAATTAATGGTTTGAAATTCATCCTGTAGTTTTTCCACTTGTGTGAATGACTCATGTGCAACACAAGTGCAATTGAGCTGTGATGGTCTTTCACGTTAACAGCAGAATATTTAAAGCTCCTGTCACTGGTGAGGTACTGTGGAAAAATTAATTTGAAACATTTTGCACATTTAAACCCTCTGTAAATTATCGGTGCTTGAAAAGGACATAGATTTCTCCCTATGATTTTTCTGTATGACTGAGAATCTCAGGAATGCCATTGGGGGAAATACTCAGAAATGATCCCAGGAAGATTGAAAGCTGAGCCTGTTCTTAGAAGCTTACAAAGATTTACAAAGAATGGACAGCACAGAAACAGGCCACTTGGCCCAACCAGTTTATACTCCACACAAGTCCCCATCCATTCCTTTCTCCTTCCCATACCTTTTGTTCCCCTCTCCCTCATATGCTTTGCAGTGGCAAGCTCAAGAAAGTCATGTGGAGGACTGATCACAGTGAGTGCCTGCAAAAGGTGGGAGGTAGAGCAGTTCACATTGGAGAGGAGAGGAGTGAGCAATAATAATAATATGATGTAGCGCTTCATCACATCATTGAGATGTCTCAAGGCACTTCACAGAATGTACTGTAAAGTGAATTGACTGTATATTTTGTGGATGAAATGCGTCAGCCAATTGCGCACAGCAGTGTCCCACAAACAGTCGCAATATAATAATACTTGTATTTGATATAGCACTTTTCACGTCTTCTAGATGTCTCGAAGCACTTCACACTGACTGTAAAATGAATTGACTGTATATTTATGGGTGAAACTCAGTAACCAATTGCACACAGCAGTGTCCCACAAACAGTCGTGGATTGATATGACTGATTTATTATTTTTTTTCTTGAGGGATTATTATCAGGTGTGTGGAGTAAGGAAACTTGCTCAAGGTTTCACACTGCTGGGAATCGAATCCAGGTCTCTCGCTTGCGAGACGAGTCCTCTAACCACTGAGCTACAGAACTCCACATAATGATATAATACTAAGATTCTCTGCTCTCTCGCTATAAAGATGAAATTACTGCAAAATCAGACAATTATCCAAGATGATAAAATGGCTCTTACAGCACAAGATCTGCTCAAAACACAGTTCAATATTTGCTATGTTTCCATCTACGAAGATAAAGTATAGATCAAGTGTGGTAATGGATTTTTCAATTTGGCTGTTCCCCTCCCTCATCATTCTTCTTTTTAAAAAAAATTTATGTGTTTCACTGAGAGGTGCTTTGAATTGAAGTCCAAACTTTTCTGATGTACAGAATGATCATTGAAGATGCAGAAGGAGCCCTCTTCACGGTGACTCTTTTCAAGAAAGCTGTGGATGAGTTCAAAGTCAAAGCCAGAGAAAACAAGTAAGAGTTTAACTTTGCCAATCTTAATGTACTATTATTTGTCTGCTCTAACTATTCCTACTCGAATAGATTCTCTCTTATGTATGATATTGCCCCACATGTCGGAGAATAGTACCAGTCGAGAAAATGATGGGTCAATGAGTTATGTGTTTGAGCAAGGACATGTTTAACTGGGGTGATGTCGTTACTTATTGTTTCACTGGCAGTACCATTCAATCCATGATACCGGTGACACAAATGTCAAAACTAAGTGTCCACCTCCAGAGTCGACCTATTCAGTCAGTACATAACCTTGGCTCTCTGCTCAGCCTCCAGCTGCGCTTCAACCTGGCCCAATGCTGAGCCTCCCTTGATTTCAGGAATGTTGCCTGCTCATCATCATCTTCCTCGTTGTCTTCACCTCATTGTTCTCACTTCATTCAGCTTGCACTTCCCGCTTCTGAAATCCTTTTTCACGCCTTTTTGCCCTTGTCAACCTTGGGAATAGACGTCTCAGCCTTTGCTTACCATCTTACATAGTTCCACCTTCCACAAGTTTCATTTGTCCTAGGACTAAGCTCAGCATACCCATGTCCTTAACAAGCTCCCAGCACTGCGTTAGGTCAACAGCTCCTGACATTGCTTCCTGGTTTCGCATTTCCTTACTTATTCATCTTTTCTACACCTGTTCACCTGTCTGTACTTTCCAATATTCTGATTCTGTTCTCTTGCTCTTTCCTGATTCCCTCCGTAACACCACTGATGGCCAATCCTGTAGTCAGTATACAGTACTGCTGCCCTCTAATAGTCTGTTCTGAAACCTCTTGCATCATATCCTCTTGCTAAGGTTTCAAAACCTTCTAAAAAAAATAGTTATTCAACTAATGCTTTCTCCTTGTTCCAAATTCCGTTCGCTATTTAAATCTTTTGAGACGTTTGTTGTACGTGAGAGGCATATTTAAGTGCAAATTATTTTGTGCATTGTATCTTGTCAATGACCCTTGTGAAAGACAAATTTGACAGGATTGTTTATCCTGTCTCGATCAATCATGGGAGGAAGTCTCAAAGTACTTGGAATTGAAGCTAGAACCAGACAGATTGAAAATACAAGTTAAAGTGGACTTGTGCTAATGGATGACTTCATTAAGTGGGAGTATATAAATGGTGAAAAGGAGGGCCTGAGTAATGCTGCTGGTGTGGGCAGGAACAGAAGCCATTGGAAGAGACAGAATAAACAAAGTAAACAGGATCCTGGACTGTATTGCCAAAACACTGGAGTTCTGATCCCTAGAATTCATTCTCAAATAATAATCCTTGCATTTGGCATAGTGCCATCATGTTGGAAGGACATCTCAAATCACTATACTGTAAAGTGTAGTGACTGTATTTTGTAGACAAACTTGGGAGCCCATTTGCACAGATTAATGTCCCACTAACAGCTAAGAAGTGACTGATCAATTTTATTTGAGGATTGTTGGTTAATACACCGGGAAAAATACCCTTCTCTTTTTGAATAGCTCCATTGAATTTTTAACATCCATTTGAACAGGCAGAAGAGGCCTTGGGTTTACATCTCATCTGAAGGACGCCATCTCTAACAATGCAGCACGCCCACCCCCTAGCACTGCATTTAACTACAGCCTGGTTTTATGAGTTTAAAGTCCCATTGTGAACCCACAACCTTCTTTCTTGGACGTCAGGTGTGGATCTCTGACAGTCCAGCGCATTGGGACGTCCTCCTGACATGAAATTCGCTATACAAACATAATTGGTTGTTGTGAAAAAGTGGTACTAAACGAGCCAAGCTGACATCTATCTCTATTAGTGCTCTGGTCAGGCCGAACCTGGAGCACTGTATACTTTTCTAGCATGACGTAGAAGCTGCCCAGGAACTAGAGACAATATATATGAGAGCAATAATGATGATTTCCAGTGTTAAATTACCATTGAACTTTACAGTGCCCAAATCCCTTTTCATGATGCTTTCTTTTTTCAGAAGGTTATGAGCAGCAATTAGAAAAGCTAAGGTTCTGTATTCCTGAGAGAAGATGTTTCAGAGGAGACTTTAAAAGAGGTGCATAAAATTTAATGGGATTGAGAAAGTAAACCCTGAACAATATTTCAGGATGCACCAATTCAGTAGAACAAAAGGACATGGATTTAGAGATGCAAAGGACAATTTCAGCACAGATATTAGTATGTTTTTCTTTATCCAGAGGGTAATTAATGACTGGAATAATTTGCCAGGAAGGCTGGTCTAGAGGCCAGTACACTGGACACATTTGAAAAGTAGCTTCATTCTATGATGGGAGAACGGTAGTGTGGGTATTCTGGAGAGACGAGATGGGTCTTCTTCATCCAAATCAATCTTGTGTTCTTGTTATTGCTTTAGCAGCTACAGTATCGAAACAATACAAATATGATCAACTGCAGAAGGTTATCATACATATATTATTATATACCCTAGAATTATTCTTATTATTATGTTCTGTTTCAGATTTATAGTACGTGAATTTTACTATAGTGAGGAGAAACTGGATGCTGAGAAGGAAGAATTGACAAGATTAAGTGCAGACAAGAAGCAACAGTATGTGAGTACCATATTTCTGCAAATAAATCAGTGTGTGTGCACTTGTGGGGTAAATTATAATAATCCAAATAATCTTTGTGTTTGGTATAATGTCTTTTGAGTCAGGAGTGTCCCAAAGCGCTTCACAAGATGTATTGTAAAGTGGAGTAACTATGTGTTTTGTGGGCGAATGTGGCAATATGTTATTGACCTGGAAATAAAAGCAATTTACTTTTAGTTTTGTTTGCCACTCTTTTTTCAGGCTTTGGTGATTCGGGATTTGTGAATCTCCAGTCACGCATTTTCAGTCCAACACTCACAAACCAGAAATCACAATGAATGTAACTAATCTGGTTTGTAAGTATTGCAATTCGAAACCCCAAGGGAGTGCTGACATTCACTTGGCTGTTATCAAAAAAGGAGTAAAAATATAATAAAACTTTTAAATCAATCTTGTTCAATATCAAGATTTGTTTTAAGGGGTTGGATTCTAACATTCTTGAATCTACATGATACTTTTGGAAAAAGACCAAATGGCTCCCAATAATAATGAGCATTGATTATAGAGCACATCATAGTGACTGGAGTTACAAATCAGATCTGTAATCTCCAAGAGCTCCACATTTCAAATACACTTTTCGGCTTTTGGGTAATATTTAGCTAAGGTTATGTGATTTTCCTGTTCCTATCATTTTTGGACTATTATTTATGCCCACAACATATTACTCCTGACACGCCCTTAATTTCAGTGGCATAGAGCACTCACCTCTCGCAAGCAAGAGACTCGAGTTCAGTTCCCGGTAGGGCGAAACCTTAGGCAAGTTTCCTTACTCCATACTCCTCTGTTTACCTAGCAGAAAGTAGGAACTGGGCTGTTGGTCGATTGATGGATTGCTTTAAAAAAATAATAAATTGGTTACTCAATCCACAACTGTTTGTGGAACATTGCATTTCGCTCACAAGATATCCAGTCAGTTCACTTTAAAATATATTCTGTGAAGTGCTTTGAGACTTCTTGAAGACATTATAAGGCGCTATATCAAATAGAAGGATTATTATTAAATACAGAATTAAAAAAAAGCATTTCTTTGCTTACATCTGTAAATCTACTACACTTCACAGACACTTTGTTAAGTTCTTTGAGATGTTCTCGCCTTATAGGCGCTATATCAAATGCAAGGATTGTTATAATTTTACATATGATTTACGCATGAGTTGCATGTGATTTACTATTTGGCATTATTTGAAACTAGAAGGGAGTTTCTCCCGCTGTCCTGGCCAATAATCTCCCAAAATAAAATAATTGGTCACTCATTTCCTGGCTTTTTGTGGGAGATTGCTGTGTGCAACAGTCACTTCACTTTACATGTATCCTGTGAAGTGCTTTGAGATGTTCCCCTGTAAAACTAGAAGGTGTTGTACCAAATGTAAGGATTATCGTTATTATTATTAAAAACTGTACAGCTTGCCTTTGCAAACACTATCTAGCAAGCGTCTCGCTGCTTGTCCAGCTATGATTACTGTATGGATTAGGGCTTTGCCTTGCAGGGTTAACATGGCCCAAGTGGGAAGAATCCCTGCCTTGATCCAGTCTGGACTTGTCTGCAGGCAGCAGTGCTTTGAAGAACTGCAAAACAGCCTGCCAGAGAGACGAGACTGCCGCACAGTTTTGATTCAATGCTGATAATGCAATCCCAGGCATGTGGTTCCTGCTGATTATTAAACAAGACTATTGAGCTTTTCATAATGGGTAAATAAAAATAAGCTTACAATTTATATACCAAAGAGCATCCTTTAAATAACAATGGATTTGGCTTTGGCCTTGGCTGGATATCACAGTATTTGCATTGATATGTGTCATCCAAGGTGATCTTATTTATCCACTAAACCTATGTGTCTCCAAGGAAATGATGGAATGCCATTGTAACACCACACAAATTATTCATTAATTTTCTATTGTCCAGCTGTCTCCTGGGTCACAGCACATTGAAATACAGCACTGATATTAATGGCCTTCTAATTTGTATGCACCAGCGTGTATCATGTTGTTTCGTACTTGGTGCATTCATAATATTTCCAGAATACTGTCTATGCCATAGTAATGGTGCAATGATCCTACTGCACTAACTAAACCATGAAATGACATTAAACCTTATTTATTGCCTCCTAGATATTTTAGAAGTGGCACTTCGCATTTATGAAAGATGAAATCAAGAACTGAAAACAGATCAACTGAAATATAAACATTTAGTAGTATTCTCTGTTCATAGTATTTATCAGAAATGAAAACATTGAAAATCAAACCCTCAAGCTGTGGTTACATTAGTGAAACAGAAGTGTTCATCATACGATGACAAAAATAATACTTGCATCTGTAGTAGAGTCTTATCAAACTGTCTCAAAGCAGGCTACAGGATTTACTATAAAGTGTAATGACCATTTGTTTGTAGGCAATAGTGGCAACTAACATGTGCATAGTAATCTTCCACAAACAGCCACGAAGTACATGGCAACAACTACAACAACCTTTACTTATACAGCACCCTTCATGTAGGGTAACATCTCAGAGTCCTGTACAGTGGTGGGGTTGGGCACCGACCAAGGCAGATGGGGGAGGGGACCAGAGGCACAGTCGAAACGGTAAGGATTGAGGTAGGATTTAAAGATAAGATGATCAATTTTGTTTGGAGAATTGCTAGCCAGGGCACTGGGAGAAACTCACTTCTCTTTTTGAATCATGCAATGGGCAGCTTAACATCCACTTGGATAGGCAGATGGGACCTTGGTTTAGTGTCTCATCTGAAGGACAATACAGCAATCCTCCAGCACTGTACTGGAGTGTCAGCCTAGACTGTGCGCTCAAAATCCTAGCAAGGGACTTAAACACTTGAACACAGTCCTTTAATCCATTGTTCTGCATTGTAATCATAGATGTTGGGCTCGAAAGTACAATATTTACAAACTGGATATGTTGAATTCCAAAATTGCCCGTTGAACAAAATGGTGGCGGAAAATAGTTGGAGTTTTGTTCAGAAACATTTTGTTCAGACTTTACTCACCTAGGATTCTCAACTCACCAGTCAAAAATTGTGCTATGAATTTTGCAATCCAATATTCACAAACAGGAAGTAGAAATTAACCAACTCCAGTCTGTGAACATTGCAGTTTAGACTCTTATTATCTAAGCACTCTGAGACGCTACCCTGGGTGGAGGGCACTATATAAGAGCCCGTTGTTGTTGTTGTTATCTCCATTTCTGAAGAAAACTATTCCAGTTGCACCAGGGCTTACCTGAGATGTGTGATTTGTAGCTATTGTACCATTTACATATTGTCCTTCGTACGTCAGCCAGTTCCATCACTATTTAAATGTTAACCTGTCGAGGAGGGTCAGGATCCATTTGGTTGAAACTGACCAAGTAGGTTTGATAATCTTTGCAGGAAAAGTGCAAAATAAACTGGAGGGAATTATGATCATGCTACCTAATTTTAACTTCCCATTGAAGGAAACGGTGGAATTTTATTTTTTATTTTCTGCAAAATAATTTTTACTTGCAAAGAGATTGTTATTATTCTAAGGTTCTTGTTGGTGATTAGTTAGAATGTTTTATTTTTCCTGGAATTTCCATATTCACTCAAATCCCTAAGATTTTGTAATTTCAAAAAATTCTGCATTCCTCAGATGATTTGGCATTTCATCACTGTTACTGCTATCAACTGACTCACTCAGTTAACTGAACAGGGTGGAGTGGCTTTTATTTGAAGGTGCCTTTTCAGTGACTTGCATTGAGGCTGTTACCACCAGGATCCTCATTAGCAAGATTGAGAATCTTGGCACTATATCAGTGACATTAGTGGAAGTCAGGATATATGGAATTTCACCTCCAAGATCCTTTGTCTTTGTTTAGCCATGCTAGGATCTTTGGATTATTGCCACTTTTCTTATCTGACAAGGAAAGAATGGTGAAGCCATCGATGCAGTGTTCCTGGATGGTTAATAATGAAAACGAACTATTGGGTTGTACTGCTTAGGGGACCATATAGGTCAAGAGAAATTGCACCTAACCTCGGTGGGAGCACCTCTGTGGGACTGTGTGTGGTAGAAAAGCAGTGATGAGTTAATCTTCACAGAATGCGGAAGCGAATTTGATTATCAAAAAGCCCCATGCAGCAGGGATCATGAGCGTGGCATTTTGCCCGAATTAACTGGATTTCTGACCAAATAAACCAGAATATTTGAAATAGGCCTACAATAGAAACACATGGTGACCTGGCATTTTGTCCAAAATAAACGGCATGCAAAGTTAACCAGCGTCCGAATTAAGCGGCCTCTACTGTAATCTAGGAATTGTCCTTGGCCAAAATAGCTGTCTGAACGTAATAACATTTAACTGCAACAATATACTGCAACATTTATAGAGTGTTTCTATCATCTTAACTCAGTAGTTCTGGAGGTTTATCTTTTAATTCTAGATTTTATTTCCAGGGTCCTTTGCTGCGTTGGCTGAAAGTTAATTTCAGTGAAGCATACATTGCCTGGATTCACATAAAGGCTTTAAGAGTTTTTGTTGAGTCTGTCTTAAGGTATGTAATATTTGCTTAGCTCTAATTATTGAGGTGACTTCCATTTATACATGTATTGATAAATGACTGAATCCTAAACAGAAATATCCTGAAACCAATTTTACTCAGATCCATCAACAAGATGAAAATGAAGAATATTGAACATTCTGAAATAAACTGAGAAACAAGAAGTAATTGAATTGATGTCTTGCCAAAGACTGAAAGACAAGACTGGCAGACAAACTCATCAGTGTTTAAGCCTGCCCTGAATTTGTCTTGTTCAACGCATGATTACAACAACAAAATTACATTTGAATAGCATCTTTCACATCCCAAAGGCACTTCATAATTGCTGTTTATGAAGAGTCTCAATACTGAACTAGTTTTAACAAGTTTACAGAACTCTTGTTCTTCAGAGTTGTCAGGGTATTTCGGTTTATATACCACCCACTGTTTGAAAAAGGGGCAATGGCTTCTGAAAGTTACTGACAGTATGAGGAAGCTGAACTACAAATAGTAGATCAAGTTAATAGATGCTTCAGTTATCTTAGATTTTTCACCCACAAAATACACAGTCAATTCCCTTTATACTATATTCTGTGAATATTGAGATGTCTCAACGACGTGATAAGACGCTATATTAAATGCAAAGATTATTATTACATATGCTAACTCAATAGTTCCATCAAATCTGCAGCCATTACTTATATTTAATAAATTATCCAAAACATTTAAAACAAGAAAAAGCAAATGAAAGCTTGACCAAAATAAAAACTGAGGGAAATGGAGGGAAGTCATTTGATTTGATTTCTAATCCAGCCTGTCTTCTTTTTATGATTCTGTTGAATTATTGAAGAGTTATCCATATGTTGTGTCTAATTTGCAGTATTTAACAAAAAAGTCCTGTTAAAATTCCTGTTGACTCTTGAAAACTCTACTCTGGAAATAGATCATGTCAGAGTGGAGTTCCCTCCAGTTAATGTGACAGTTGATGACTTGGATTTCTCACTAAGGAATCCTGTTAAACAATAACAATTATAATCCTTGAATTTGATATGGCATTTTATCATGCCATCAAAGTGCTTCACATGATTTACTTTAGTGACTGTGTATCTGTAGATGAAATACTACAAATTAGACCCCAGAATTACTTTCATAACCAAAAGGAAGCAGTATTAACTAGTTTTTTTTACAATTGAGAGCTGATGTCTGCACATAGATTCTGAAAATAATTTGCTTATCGTACAGGAGCCAAAATCTGAGAGCAGCACAATCTGTATTGTTCATGGAATAACTGGAATTACTTTGTCAAACTGCTGAGGTAAATACAGCAACCGTATGAATTCAAGTGTATATCTTCTATTTGGATCTTACATAGTCGATATGGGTTGTTTGTTAATTTGGCTCAGTTGGTAACTTTGAATCAGATTGTTATGGGTTAAACCTACATTGGGAGTTGAATTTATCGTCTAGTTTGACACCCCAGTAATAGTGTATAGTAATTAGTGCAGTAATGGGGAGTAGTGTCTTCTGTTGAGGCAGACATTAAAGATCCCACAGGACTGCTCAAAAAGAGAAGGGAGTTTCTCCTGGCATCCTGGTCAACAATCCCCCACATAAAACTGGTCATTCACTTCTTGGCTGGTTGTGCGACATTGATGTGAGCAAATGGCCTTTGTGGTTCACCTGCAAATACACAGTCACTACTGTAAATCCTGAAATGTCTTCATGCAAATGCAAAGATTATAAATTATTATTGTGCACTCTATTGTTGGATGTACATTCTTTTGAATTCGATATTAAACCGAGGGTCCATTTGCCTGTACAGTAGAGATTAAGAATTCCATGTCATTATTTGAAAAGAGAATGGATTTTCTCTCATCCTGGCCAACGATGCTACAGATTAACTGTCATTCATCTCATGGTTGTTTGTAAGACTTTGCTAGTGCAAATGACTGCTGTGGTGGCCAACTAATACAATCATTACACTTGTTAAGTAACTGCCTGTATGGTGCTTTGAAGTATTTCAACATAAGGCTCTTTCTTATCAAAGTCTGCTTTTATGTGAAGCACATAAAAGGTATTTTGGATGGTGGGGAATAAACAATTTCTTCACAGCATTGTCTCAGTAATGCATAACGTAATATCAGCAATGGATAGTGGAAGCTGAAGGCATTACCAAATTGCCCAAGAGTTAGTGAAATATAATGGAAATTCCCCTCCCGTGAAGGTCTGTGCCAAATGATATTGGCAAGGAAAATGAAGGTGACATTGCTGTATTCTGAGAATCTGCCAGAAGGTGTAGCAAGGAGTGGTAACACAGGTCAAACAAAGTTGTCCCAGTTCTCTTTTATTAAAAAATAGTTTTGAGCATTTTTCTCAACCCCATCCCCACATTCCTCCAGTTTCTCTCCTGAAATCTGTGATCTGGATCGTATTGTATGTTTGCAGATGCTAGAATTTTTGCAGTTTTTATCCAAGTGGCAATGTTTTATATGTGAGATTATAGAATGGGACGGGGAAGGGAAGATCACAGCCAAGACCGGTCATGTTATGCTTTCAGCAATCACGCCCCGAAACTCTGGACCCCTCTTCTTCTATCCCTCCACCTCACTCTGTCCTTCCCCATTTTCAGGTTCCACCTAAAGACCTTCCTCTTCAACCGTGCCTACGGTCACCTCCCCGCTCCCCCCAGTTAGGTATTGTGCTCTGGCACTGTCAAGAGCTCTGGGATGCTACCCTGTGTGAGGGCTGCTGTATAAATGCAAGTTGCTGTTGTCCTCAACTGACATCCATATGCTTAGGAGTGACATTGGATTGTGATAAGGAGCATAAATCCTGGGACGTAGTCCTGGGACGTGGGTCATTGGACGTAGAGCAGGCCGGAGCCTGCTGAGCGGAGGGAACGGGCGGGTTGGTAGGGGGCTAGGAGGTAGCAGAGGTAGGGTGGGTCGAGGCCATGTAGGGCTTTGTAGGTGAGGACCAGGATCTTGAACTGGATCCTCTGAAGGATAGGGAGCCAATGGAGTCGGGCGAGAGTGGGGGAGATGGGGCCATGGAGTTTGGTGCGGGAGAGGTCACGGGCAGCAGAGTTCTGGATTATCTGCAGCCTATGGAGGGAGGAGTTGGGAAGGTCGACAAGCAGGGCGTTTGCATATTCAAGCCTGGAGGTGATGAAGCCATGAACAAGAGTTTCAGCGGCCTGAGGAATGAGGTTGTGGTGGAGACGGGCGATGTTACGGAAGTGAGGGAAGGCAGAGCAGGTCATGGCTTGGATGTGGGGAAGAAAAGACAGTTGAGGGTCGAACAAGACACCTAGTTTCCTGACTGGCTGGAATTCCATCCCCCAGTCACTCCGCCTTGCCCCCTCCTTAGCCTCCTTCAAATCCCGCCTCAAGACGCTCTTCTTTGACCATGCCATCGGCCACCCCCCTTCCCCTCCCCTCCCTTCTCCCCCCCAACCCCGGCTCGGGTCTGAAATGCTGTACAGACCCTTGGGATGTCCTCCTGACGTGAAAGGCACTATACAAATGTATCTTGGTGCTGTTGTTGCTATACCTGCTACAATCAGGTAACTATCTGCAGAGTAAGGATTTGAAACTAGGCCCTTCTTATTCCTTATGACAATCTTTCGGAGGGTAAGTGATTTCAGAAAAGCCAGCAAATGACTCAGATCAATTATGAGAGCCAAAGACTATGGATACAGAAGATACACACTTGAATTCATATGATTGCTCTACTTACCTGAGATCTTTGTACAGGAGTCATTCCTATAATTTACGGTGCGATTGAGCTGGGAGCTGTTATACAGGATGAATTAAAAGTCCTTCGTCATAGGTCTGTATGAGATGTTGAAATTGCATGTAGATGTTTACACATATCAACTCAGTGACAAAAACTTTCACGAAGGCGATGAAAGACAGCTCCTCTATATGAACGTTGTCTTAAAAAAATGTAATTAGTAATTGAGTAAGCACTTCTGATTCACCCTGTATACATTACTTCAACAAAACAACAAAAAATTACATTAATACAGCACCTTTCCCATCAGGAGGGCACCTCAAAGTGCTTCACACAGAGCAGAAAACGATTTCCTTGTAGATCAATTATCACATCACAAAATGCATTTAACCACAGAGTGTACCAAATGTTCAATAAAAAGGAACCAGAATGAAATTCACACCCAATTCATAATTGATAGGAGACCTCACGCTAAGCTTTTCCCTTTCATTAAGTGTTCTTTGTACTTTTATTTATTGCTCTCTAGAATATGCAGTGTGTCAAGTAGTTCTGATCTTGTTACTACATCGTTTGGTGCATAAAGAGTAATCTTTCATAACCTTTAATAAATAAACAATGTCTTGGCAAGCATTATTTCTTTGTTACACTCACATTATAACGGTAGAGATTATTTAACCATCAGAGTACTGAATTTGACGTACAACATGGAAAATGTGATTCTGTTGTTCATTTCCATCAGGAGCCAATCCCCAAAATTAGTCATTTACTTTTGGCTGTTTGTGGGACACTGATGTGCACAAATTGGCTTGCTGTATGCGCCCACAAAATACACAGTCACTGCGCTCTATAGTAAAATCCTGTGAAGCGCTTTGGGATGTGATTTTGGCGACGTGACAAGAAACTATACCGAGTGCAAGGCTAATTATTGTTGTATTTCCTTTGCTTTTAAAACAGAGAATATCTATGTACTGAAACAAAAAATGCCGCAAACTAGCTGATCATACACCCTTTTCAATCTTAGGACTATAAATTAAGGTTAAATGTCAATCTCTTGATTCCACATCATCCTGCCTCTGAACCATTACTGAATGGTCCTGGAGAAAGCATTTTGAATACAAATGTTGAATTTTGTTTTTTTATTTAAATGGCTGAAATTGAGGTAAAAGCTAGAATTCGATCAAGGTTATTATTATATAACATTCTCAAGCTGTTCAGGTTTGGGGCATAAGCAAACATTTAAACACCTTGCTTGTTTTATTTGTTACCTGCTGATATTACTGATGAATCCATTATATATGAATTTGCAACATTTTCCAGATATGGGCTCCCTGTAAACTTCCAGGCTATGCTGTTGCAGCCAAGCAAGAGAACCATCAAACGACTGCGGGATGTGCTCAATGCACTCTTCAAACACTTGGATGAAGTTGCTGCAGCAAGCACTGTTGATGTAAGTGCGTGAAATGATCAATTGGGGTCCATTTTATGATATTTTAATTCAAATTGTGAGTTCTTCCAGCAATAAGATGTATGTCGCTTACCCTTTCAGTTACTGTGACACCACCTCTTCAGCAGGGTTCCAAAGTTTCTGGGTTCAAGGCCCCCGTGACAATAGCCATCCTGACTAAGGACCCCCACACAATAAGTTCATAGAAATTGAGTTCCTCACTTTAAGTTCAAACAACATTTTAAAAGAATGAAAGAAAATAAATAAAAAGTCCTGTTTAAAATTTTAATGTAGATTTCACTGCATAGGAGCCCCATAGAGTAGTGTCCTGTAGCTCAGTGGTTAGAGCACACGCCTTGCAAGCGAGACACCTGGGTTCAATTCCAGGCAGGTCAGGGCGAAACCTTGGGCACACACCTCCTTACTCCACACACCTAATAATAATCCCTCCAAAACTAAACAATAATAAATTGGTCATTTTCAATCCACGACTGTTTGTGGGACATTGCTGTGCGCAATTGGCTGCCGCGTTCGCCCACAAATATACAGTCAATTCACTTTACAGTGTGTTCTGTGAAGCGCTTTGAGACGTCTGGAAGACGTGAAAAGCGCTATATCAAATGCAAGGATTATTATTATTATTATTAGTTAGCGTGCTTGCAATTCGAAGAAGTAAGATTGAAACCAAAACCGCACATAATATCCAAACCCAAAGTGAAACTCCACCTTATCTCAGGCCCTGAAATCTAGGTGGAAGATATCCTAATATGTGTAACAACATCTGTACCTGTATCGCTGTGCCCAACATTGTACCTCTCTGAGTACCTGCTTGTGTGATCTTGACTTTTCATCTCCTGATTGACATGGAGGCCAGCCACTTGATGAACGCTGCATTAACTAAATACTGCCCAATACGATACAATATTTTCAGCATCTTAAAAGAAATCAAAATCTTTCTTCTCGTATCTATTCTCTAAGAATAACCTGGTTCGGTTCTGCAATGCTTCCCTGAATTTGGTTCTGCTTTTGGAAATCAAAAATCTTCCTGTAGTACTGGGTTACAACCAATAGATGGTAGGAGAACACCTTAGAAAATGAAGTGATATCTGCTGGCAGGTTGCTGGCAAGAGGAATTGGATCTCCAACGTTGCAGCCGCACCCCCAGCATTGCATCAGTGTCAGCATGGACTGTCTGAGTTCAAAGTCCCACGGTGGGGCTTGAACCCATAGGCTTCTGACTCAGGTGTGAAGGTTCTTCTAACTGAGCCAAACAGACACAATCACTACACTTTACAATGATTCCTGTGAAGTGCTTTGAGACATCCTCCCAGTGTGAAATGCGCCCTATCAAATGCAAGGATTCTTATTCTTATTGAACCAACAATTGCCTGACAAATTGCAGTGTGCAATATTACATAATATGTAAGGTATGACTGATTTTGAATGTTTGTGCTCAGGCACCACATAATTCAATATTTTAGTTGCAGTAGAGTGTATATTAGAAGTATTATAGGAAAAATTCATCTATTATAATCAATTATTTCTATTGAAAAGTTTAGGGCAATTAATAAAGCACCAATGACATCTCCTATCTCCTGCAGGCCAACATGGATATCCCTGGACTGAATGTTAGCCAACAAGATTACTATGCTTATGTCTACTTCAAGATTGACATCAACTTATTTGATTTTAAGTAAAGCTTGTCTTAAAATATTAAAGAATCGCTGTCACTTTGTTACTTTCATGCAATGTTCGTAATATTAGAAAGTAAATGGGACCTTGGGTCATTCAGTGAATTTTAGGAGCAAACTAATATTTTAATGTTTTTTCTGAATTTATATACTGTATTTTAGAAATATGGTACTAGTTAAAAGCCTTTCTTAAAGAACCATTTTTTATTTAAAAAATCTGTTGATACCAGACTAAAATAATAAAACATTTTATTGGATTACAAATAAAGTATTTCTCTTGTGCTAATGCTGTCCTTAGTCATTTCTGATATCTATGAAGTTTTGCTTAGTTAGGGAAAAATGTGAGCTATTTTATGGGGATGGAAAATAAATAATGGATTATGAAATGTGTAGAAAATGTGTTGTACACTACCCTGCGTCAGGTTTGATCCCCAGTTATCCTTCCTACCCCACATCCGGACCCTGACCAGGACTGGTTCAACACATTGCTTGCCTTCGCCCTTATCTTCAAACGCTGTTGAAACTCTCATTCATACTTTCGTCATCTTTCGCTTCGATTTTTACACTGCATTCCTTGCCGGTCTTCCCAGCTCCATGAATAACAAAGTCAAAATGATTCAAAACTCTTGTCCCCCATGACCTTACCCATACAAGTCTCCGCACCTCCATTACCCCAGTTCTTGCCAGGCTGCACTCTTCACTGACTCCCTGTTGCAGAATGGATAGATTTTAAGATCCTCACTCACTTTAAAATCTCTTTGTGCCCTGGCAACTCCCCACATCTCCATCCTGCTCACTCCCTACTACTCTACCTGCCGACTATGCTCAGCTGCCTCAGGGCTTCTGCAGTCGCTTGTCCTCTCCATAGTTGGCGGCCATGTTTTCAGATACTATGAAGCTACTTGCTTCAATCCATTTTGGCCTCTGCCCATTTTCAAATCATAACTCAATACTTTCCTCTTCGACGGTGCTTTCAGACACCTCTCCTCCCTTTCCAGCTCGGTGTCAAGCTACACCGCTTTTAAGTGCTCCAAGACGCTGCCCGTGTGAAGGTTGCTATATAAATGCAAGTTGTTGTAGCAGGATAAATATCTGGTTCAGAATAAGTGTGAAGGTTATAGTGTTATGTAGAGCCTGGGATTGAATGGTCAGCAGCAGTTTCTGTTATGTCTTTTATGGTGGGGGAGAGGTTTGGGGAGGATATCAGGATCAATGTGAATAGGAGAGGTGTGGACGATGGGTATTCTGGAGCTTTTGCTTGGGAATCAGAAAGAATAAACTAATAGAGATTAGTTTGATTGTATATGTCTGAGGATTAGCTGTGCTTGATTGATTGAATGGATTTTTTTGTTCAATGTCTTATTTCAGAGCAATAGCAGTGGCTCTGCTTCCTCCTTTCCACTTACAATTAGTCCAGTAGAGTTAAGAAAATTACATGTTTTTGTCCTCATTGATTCCACCACATTTTATGTAGAAGTATGTTCATGAATGAATGGAGTATCTCAATACACATATAAAATACTTTATTAATAAACAGTTTGTATTCCATCATTACAAATAGATATATGTACTTCAAAAGGACTAGTTTACATCGAGAGCAACATTTCAAAATTGCTATCACATCTTGAAACTGAACAACTCCACGTAACTATGCTTACAGCTACAACAATACTTCAGTATAGAATACAACTTTTGTTAATATTATTGCTTTTTATATGGGCACAATTGCTGCACATTACAAAAGATCTGAACTGATAACAAAATTCAGATGTTAATGTCATTTTTCATACAGTATCATGGTTAGGTAGCTGTTATTTTGTGGGAAAGGTCAACAAAATCTGTCATATCACGTATGATACCTATCAGTGTTTTATCAAAGCATTATACATTTTAATAAGTCTCCATTTGTAAATGTATCCATCTCTCTTTTTTTAAAAAAAGTCTCCGGAAGAAAATGGTGGATATGAAAGAGGTTCAAGGTGTACTTTAGTATTCATACCCCCAATAGCTGAACTCTTTGGACAGAGATTGTGTTTCAGTCATCTGGTTCTGCGTCATCCATATCTACGTCACTGAGGTCATCCTTTACAGGCAACTTTAAAGGCAAAAATAGCAGAATTTTAGAACTTCAGAATTTTAGAACTAGCATTCAACACAACTTGCTTGGCAGAAATAGCCCCTTTCACATAGGGAGAATATATCTCAAAGTGCTGTTGAAAGACTGAGCGTGAACTGGAGATGGGAGGAGGAGTGAATAGAATATAATGGGGAGGTGGTCAAAAGCACAGTCAAATAAATGTGTTTTTAGATGGGATTTCAAAGCAGAGAGGGAAAAGGAGAGATGGATTGCGGAAGAGTGCCAGAGGGCAAGGGCAAAGTGGCTGAAAGCTCACCCACTGATGGTAGGGATGGGAGGGGGTATGAAGCTAACTAAGCTGTGCTACTCCAAAAGGTAATTACTTCATTTTTTTTCAAACTGATGCCATTCATTGTATTTTCTCAATGTATTGTTCGTCATCAAAATGACAGCAATGTTTGAATCAAAGAAAATAATGTGTATAATTAAAATCTTAGAATACAAATCCTTCATGATAGTAGGTTTTTGAATATACTATTCTAACTACATCAAAAATATAAAAGTACAGCTCTTGCAAACAATGCCAGTAATATTCCATTCTACAATTATTTACTTAGTTATAATTGAGGGGAAATTACTTACTTCTCCATCTTTACCATCCCATAGTTCCACTGTATTCATTTTGGGAAAAATTCCATTGATTGGTGTCGCAATAATGCGTCCGATGGCAAGTTTCCTAAAGATTAATAATAATAATCCTTCATTTGATATGGTGTCTTATTGCATCTTTGAGACATCACAAAGTGCTTCAGTGAATTGACTATATTTTTGTGGGTGAAATGCGGCAGACAATTGCGCACAGCAGTGCCCAACAAACAATCGTGGATTGAGTGGCTAATTTTTAAAAATATATATATTTAAGGGATTATTACCCCCAGGAAAAGCAATTAAAAACAAAATAAAATATAAAGATTAATTTCTAAACTTGTAACCAGAGATTATTTAGAATTTTTTTCTGTCCCGCAAGATTAAAATGTGGACTCTGAACTTGCATTTGCATAACGCGTCTCAACTCTGCATCAACTCACAATGTTCCATGCACGTGAAATATTTACCGTACTACTTTGCTATTGTTCATCGTATTGGATTAGTTTATCTTTGTTTTAAAAGAATTATTAGTCTGGCTTTGTTTACGTAGCACATGTTGTTTGTGAGGCCTTACAAGCAGGTCAAAGCAGTTTATCTGGATGATACTGGAAAACTTTTCGGAGATCACCTGTTTGAGCTTGAATCGTGTCAAAATTATCTTTTATCTAATACTTGCACGGCACCTCTATGAAACCCAGAATTTATAAAAACAGCTTGATGTGGTTTCCAAGGAAGAACTAAAGCTGAATTACCCTTTACATTCCCTGAAACTATTTGGAGCATGTAGATTAGGAGGGTCTTAGAACAAGATGTAGCCAGCAGCTGGGAAAATCTTCTTTTTATGGCTGAGGTCATCTTGGTAATGTGAAAGGTGCTCTCATGTGTATTCTAGTGTATTGTATTGTAATGTTTGTTGGCAAATAGAAAAGCATGTCAACCAGCCATGGATGTCTTTATAAACTACTACAATGGCTAAATAATAAAGAAGTCACTCTGGTGTTTAAAACAATTCTTATACTTGTAAACATACGTCTAGATTTTACCTAAGAAAATTATCAATTCCCTGGTCACTGAATGAATCTTTCAGAAGTACATATTTTGTTTTTTTGGCATTCATAGCTGCCATGGCAGGGTACCCAAAGCCTCCAATTCCTAAAGATTGTTCTAGCTCAGGCTGAGCTCCAGGTTCTGTCCACAGCCAGCTAAAGCAAAAGAAAGCAAGTTTGTAATAGTACAGTCATACAAAAGTAAGAAAAACATTTCTCTTTTAATGCTACCATCATTCTACATTAAATAGCCATATGAGCACTCAACATACTTCAGTAATAATTTAATTTAATAATTTCAGCAGACCAGGCGAGAGATATTATCAATGGAGTGGATTCCAAATGCTGCATTTGGGGGAGGGAGAATTAAGGAGATCTGAAAGATCACTGATGTAAAAAAACAGGAGAGAACATCTTACCAAAAATAACAAATGTCAATTAATAACACAATAATACATCTGGATAGGCTTTTTGGATGAACATTATTCCAACATTTAAAAAAAATGCAGCATCTAGGGAAGACTAGAAAACATGGCTGGATATGTCATTGTTTGGTAACTGAAGTTTACTGATTTCCATATCCTTGCATTGCATTATTTCAAGGCAGCATAAAGTTGTAGGAAAAATTCCATTCAAATTGGTGGTTATTAAAAACTCAATTCAAACTGTATAAGAGGGTTCATTTTAATAATAATAAGTTCCAAGTTAGAAATGTCATATCCCCAAAATTAAATGCACAAATCAATCAAGAAGAAAAAGCTGTCAAGACAGCTGTCAATCAAAAAGGATATAATCTAATTGGAGTTTCACTCTGACCACCTGAGACTTTTGTCCATGTGGAGTACTAATATAGTAAAGTCCAATAGATACATTAATGGGGAGTTTGGTTCAAGATACAGATTTGAAAAGGTCAAGCAACATAAATTCTAAAGCTCAACAGTGATTTTAAGGAGCTAAACAGATTACAGGTAGCTCGGCAGAGATACAGATAACTCATCCACAGCAGATTCTTCCCAGAGAAATGTACACAGGAAACACTCCACTGTAGCAGTTTTGTGGTGAGAGGAAATACAGTTTGAAGACTCTTGAAACCCATTATTAAATAGAAACAAATGACTAGAAATTCTGATACTGAAAGTTACGTAATCTGTCAACTGATAATGAACATTGACAGGCCCTGAAGAAACAAGGCACAAGGAAAACACTCCAAGGTACAAATCTAGTCCAATTGAGGGATAACGCAAGGAACTATGCAAACTAAAGTGGAAATCATCCCAATGAGAACCGACTAGTCAAGATCCAAGAAAACTGAATTAATGATAAAAAGTCTGGATTATTTACAAGCCTTTTTAATCCTGATGTAAAACACTAACTTTCCAATGTCGATTTCTCTAATTCTTTCTACCATATGTCATTCTTATCCCTCATTTCCAAGTCGCACTCCCAACACATTCTCCATTAACATGCCCTTAAATAACAATACAAGAGCCCCCTATTGGTTGAAGCCTAGATACTGTGCTGAATGGGCTGATAAATGGCATGAACAGTAGAAAATCAGAGTAGGTATTACTTGAGCCTATTAATACATTGTTGAGGGCCATTCAGCTGTACTACAGTGTTATAATTCTAACCAGGAATTCATGTACAGTGAGGAACAACAGCAGAAAATGGTATATTAAGAAAAAAGTTATCCCAAAATATTATAAACAATTACATTCAATAAATGAATTTAGAGATTAGCCCACCCCAAACATTATACTGTATTGATATTCACTGTATTAATTGTCACTATAAACTAATTTTACTCCCTTATTGACAAAATCCTGTTGGATGTCACTCACCCCCATTGGTTCTTCTTGTACTTGTCCGCCATTTTCATCATTAAGTTTAAATAACGATTTCTACCACTAGCCCCTGGCATCACAAAATGTGTGTTGAAAAAAATTATGTAAATTAATTAAAATCCAATCCAGATAATATATTAATTTCATAACTACAACAATTTATATAGATTACATACCTGTGTCAAGAATGTCAGGTAACACTGAAATAATACATAATAGTTGATCTTCACAAGTTGCTTTAAAGATATTTTCATTGAGGATTTGCTAAATAAATTGTGAAAAAAATACATAAAAGTACTGGTCAATTTTATATTGGTAGAATTTCCTGAAATACATAAGAATTTTTAGGAAACGAAAGTGCATTAGACTGAAACTACCTTTAATGGATATCAACTGCACCAACCTGCCTAGTTTTTCGACCTTTTTTCCCTTCTTGACCTTTTTCCCCCTCTCTCCCTCCCTTTAGACCTATCTCTTTGACCATGTCAAGCGACATGTTGTTCTTGTGGAAATTATGACACGACATGTGAAGCGACTGACAGGATGGTGGAAGGCAAACTAGATGGACCTTGGTCTTCTTTCGCCTTACAAATTTTTATGTTCCTATAACAACTACTATAGCAGCAGCAGCAATGACTTGCATTTCAATAACTTTTCCACTCCTCTCCAGCTCCCCTTCCCAGTTCAGGTTCCTAGTCAGCTGTGTGAAGAGCTTCGAAACATTCTTCCTCTGTGAAAAGTGCTGTCCAAGCTGTTGATGTATACTATGTTCCATTCTACAGGTTATCTCTGGAGCGTTTGAACATTCAACCCAGCAATCCAGCCAACTTCATTAAAAAATGCAGAGCAGAACCCCAGGGGAATATCTCAGTGTGCATGGGCATTAGTCTGCATGTACAGTTAAGTGACAGATTTATTTCAGGGTAACTGGACTTTCATGGCAAAGAGCTTCAAGTAAGCTGACAGCATAGACAAGATAACTTTAACTGTTATCATAGCATCCAAATATTAGCTCAAACATGGTTTTGCTTCCCTCTTTAGAAACTCCATTGAAACTCAGCCGAGATCCCCAGCAAACTGTTGACTCAGAACATATTTTGGAGAAATTTGTGAAGATTTCTGGTTACTCTCCTTTAGTTAAATGCAAATAGACCATTGTCTTTGATCATTGAAACAAAAATATATAGATTTACAATTAATAGCTCTCAAAAAAGACTTAATTAGAAGACTTGTTTTAGATAGTAAAGCCATAGCCTTTTCTTACCTCTATCAACTTAGGTGGTGCCATATTTGCATAAAGATCAAGTGCTTTTGAAATTATGTCCGATGTAGATTTTTCACTGTCATAATCTACAGGTTCTTGATCCTTTTGGAATATCTTAATAATTGGTACTTCTTGAATCTGGGAATCAATATTATTATTATATCAGCACTACGGAATTACATGAAAATAATGATTTGATATTAATATTTCTTAATATTCCAGACATGAGAGTAAGAACACAACAAAAGTTGGGATGGGGTGGTGAGGACTTTGGGGACAACAACAACAGCAAAATTCCATTTATAGAGCGCCTTTCACGTCAGGGGACGGGGGTACATTTTAAATGTTAGAAAAATAAGTATTAGAATTTACTGACTAACTACTGCAAAATGTTACATTATTTGTAGAAAAATTGAAAAAATAGTTTAACCTTCATGTAGATTCTAGAAGATTTTACCAATCAACTTATGCAGGAGGAAAAGAATCCTAGCAACACAATTGTCCTTTAAATTCATTCTATGCCTGGAAAAGTGAGTTTTCCCAACAACTGTTTATAAAATGATTTGTTCTGAATGTAATGGCTTGATATTTGGAGGAGGTAGCATTGAAATTGCTAATAAATGACATGCTGAAATATTCACATGAAACAATAAGAAAGCTCCAACCCCTTCTTGGTTTAAAACAAATGCCAGTTTATAATGGAAGCTGGTACTTAAAGAGTAAATGGATGATTCTATCATCATTGATTAATTCACCAGCTGCAGAGCATATCGTAGTTTTCACAAGCTGTAACTTTACTGATCTTTTCGGTGTGAGCTTATAATGGGAAAATATAATTCTAAGCTTTTCTCAAACACAGAAGTATCAAAACGCTTACCTTATAGGGACATTAATATTTATAATAACATGCACATTGCCCCAGGTTAATACTTTGAGGACAGCTTCAAGAGGTTCTTCCTATCTGATGAACAAGAAAGTGTCCGCTTCATTAGTTGAGTAAACTTTGGGTTTTGCTTGGCACTTCTGCTTTTAAGATTAGAGCATATATATGCTATGACCAAATTAGCTAATCTTTATTTGATAAATGATATACCTAGGTCTTGGATATACCTAGATATACCTACATAAACGGTCTGCGTTGAGTTCCACCACCACCACAACAACAACAACAACAAAATCACATTTGCATAGCACCTTTCACATCGGGAGTATGTCCCAAGGCTCTGGACAAACAGAGTTACGGACCCGAGCTGGGGGTTGGGGTCGGGGAGGGTGGAGGGCAGTGGGGGAAGCAGGGAGATTGAAAGTACGGTCAAAGAGGAGGGTCTTGAGATGGGTCTTGAAGGTGGCAAGGGAGGGGCCGAGGCGGAGGTACTGTGGGATGGAGTTCCAGAGGGTGGGGGCAGAGTGGCAGAACACCCATCTGCCGGGAGTGGGATGAGCGAGGTGGGGGACTTGAAGCAGGCTGGAGCCCGCTGAGCGGAGGGAGCAAGCAAGATGGTAGGGGGTTAGGAGGTTGCAGAGGTAGGGGGGAGCAGGACCATGGAGGGCTTTGAAAGTGAAGACCAGGATCTTGAACTGTATCCTTTGTGTGATGGGAAGCCAGTGGAGTTGGGCGAGGATGGGGGTGATAGGGTCGCGGAGCCTGGTGCAGGAGAGGACATGGGCTGCAGAGTTCTGGATGATCTGCAGCCTGTGGAGGGAGGAGTTGGGGAGGCCGACAAGCAGTGAATTTGCATAGTCGAGCCTCGATGTAATGAAGGCGTGTATGAAGGTTTCGGCGGCCTGTGGTGTGAGACAGTGGCGGAGCCGGGCGATGTTGCAGAGGTGGTGGAAGGCAGAGTGGGTCATGACACAGATGTGGGGTAGAAAGGATAGTTGAGGGTCAAACAAGACACCAAGGTTCGGGACTGGCTTAGTAAGGTGGGGTGTGCAACCACGGATGGTGATGCTGTCAGCGCCTGAGATGAGGAGGCGCTGACAGGAGCCAATCAGGAGAGCCTCGGACTTGTTGGCGTTCAACTGAAGAAAATTAGCTCTCATCCAGGACTTGATGTCTGACAGACATTCTGTCAGCACAGCAGTGGTCCTGGAGTCAAGGGTGGGTAGAGAGAGGTAGAGTTGGGTGTCATCCGCATACACGTGGAAGTTGATCCCATGTCTGCGGATGATGTACCAAGAGGGAGCATATAGATATTGAAGAGGAGGGGACCAAGGACATAGCCCTGAGGAACACCACACGAGACTGTGTGGGGGCGAGAGGAGAAGCCATGATGGTGGTTTTTAATGGGGTGGGAATAGTACCAGAGGACAGGGAGAGATTTATGATGTCAGTGAGTAGGGGGGGCAAAAAGGTGGAGCTGGGATGTAAGAAAAGGGGTAGGGATGGGGTCGAGGGAGCAGGTGGTTGATTTCATTCAGGTTATGGTGGTGTTGAAAGAGGAAGGGGAGACAGGTTCAAAGGTGTGGAGGGAGGGATGGGTAGCGGCCGGGGTGGGACGAGGAGATGGGGATGGGGTAGCAGATGCAGAGGCAGCTGAGCGGATTCCCTCGACTTTGGATTCGAGGATGTCCTTGAGTTGGCATTTGAATTGAGCTGGGCGAGGCATGAGAGGGTGGGCAGAGGAGCCGGTTCGTGATGGAAGAGAGGAGGCTGGGGTTGTCCTTAGTCTCCGAGATTGTCTTGGAGTAAAACAATGATTTAGCAGAGGCGAGGCTGGAGCGGTAGGATTTGATATGGTCCAGCCAAATCTGCCATTAAGTTTGATTTAAGCCAGGTGCGCTCAGCTGTATGCACCTGTGCTTTAAGCGAGCAGAGGTGGCTGGTGTACAATGGTGACTTATGTGAATAGAAGACTGTTCGGGAGGAGAGTGGAACAAGAGAATCCAGAATGGAGGAGAGGGAGCTATGGAGGAGAGGGAGCTGTGGAGAAGAGTGACCGAGGAGGATAGGTCTTTGCGGGGGAATGCCCAGAGGAGAAGGAGTTCAGATGACTCCAGGGCAGCCGAGAATGGGGACAATTTTTTCCAGGGGTGGTAGGAGATGGAGGTGGGTTGGGTGGCGGTGGGGAAAGGGATTGAGGAGTTAAGGGAGATGAAGTGATGGTCTGAGATCGCTTTGTTGATGATGGTGAGGTCTGAGACGGTGAGGCCCCTAGTGATCACCAGGTCGAGTGGGTGACCGCAGACATGGGCAGTGGAGTGGATGTGGACAAAGGGAGTCAAAGAACTGCCTGATATATCCCTAAACCTTAAGAGATCAAAAGTGCAATTTCTAGTCTCCACCGAGTTATCTGATATCAGTTGGGACTGCAGCTAACTAGCTTATAAGTTCTGTGTAGCCTTCTGCATATAGATGAACAGTTCACAACCAGTTCGCAGAACAATGACTTCAATAGAAAATTAAAATAAATTAGAAAACAGATCTTATTTTCATCTATGCCAAATTAAGAACACTAAGAACTTACCCCATATTGACTGGCTAACCCATTATTTTCTGTAATATCCACAGATGCAAGATTTACCTTCCCCTTAGTTCGCCTTTTTACTTCACTGACTGCATTCTCCCACTCTGGCTCTTGACTGCAGAAAGGAATAAATCATTCATGTTAATAATCAGCAATTCTAAAACACACCATTGCACGATACAAAATATTGTACTTATCTTAAAAAACACAAAGCTTTCACTGTAAACCTTTTACTGCCCAACCACGGTGTTTGGGTTGTCAGCCTACATGCACCCACTCTCTGGAACTCCATCCTGGAGTCTCTGACTTGCGCCCTCAACTCTTTCATGGTCTGTCTCAACACCTATCTCTTTAAATGGATCTTCAGTCATCTTTCTCCTCCCTACACCCCTTGGCTCCCAATCCCAGTTTGGTAAACTCCTTGGTAAACTTAAACTCCTTGGTATGCCCTCCCAGAGTGAAAGGTGGTATATAAGTGTAAATTTTTATAGTATTGTTTATCTTACTAAAGATTAAACTTGAAAACTTGTTCCTTATCGTCTTCCCCTTGTCTACTTTGGAGATAAAGCAAATTAGAAATTTTGTTTTGGTCAATCAGGTGCCTAACACCTGTGGAAACCTATCATAGCTGTGCACAATTGGCTGCCGCATTTTGCCCACAAAATACTGTCAATTCACTTTACAGTATATTCTGTGAAGCGCCTCAGCATGGTGATGGGTTTCCTCATGTATCAACCACCCAGCTGACCAAACAAATCCTCCATTTTAGAGATGAAAGCAAGTTAGAAAAAAGTTTAAAGTTAAGTATAAATTTCAGAAAGACAGCTTTGAAGGTCAGATTTCCAGGCAATCAATAGTCGGTAAGGCACTGATTCACGTTGCCACATCACTAGGCAAGCTTCCAATGTGACTCGAGTACTTTTGAAAGACTACAGTACTGGGAAGGTTGTTATCATTCACCTTTTACAGTGTTCACACCAGGGTGCATAGAACTCCACCATCCATATTTCATCACTGCATTCCACATGCTCATCGAAGTTATTATCGTTCAATGCAAACATATCGTTGACTGATCCTGTACACTGTATCATAAGGGTAGTTAAAAATGTTAAATACAAATGATAACAACAACTTGCATTTATATAACATCCTTCACGCAGGGCAGTGTCTGATAAGTTTTATTACAACAAAAACTTGTATTTATATAGTTCCCTTAATGTCTCAAGAGTACTTTTCAGTGGATGGGTTGCGGCACTAAGCAAGGGAGAATGGGGAGGGGGAGGTGACCTTAAAGTTGATCCATTGGGTCCCAAGGCAGCCTGGTGAGGACTGGGTTGATGAGTGTACAGAATTTGTTGTTGGTGAGGATGCAGGCAGCGGAGCATTGGATTCATTGGTTCTTTAGAATGGTGCAACTGGGGAGACCAGCAAGAAGTACATTAGCAACAATATAATAATCCTTGCATTTGATATAGTGCCTTATCATGCTATTGAGACGTCTCAAAGTGCTTCACAAAATATACTGTAAAGTGTACTGACTATATTTTATGGGTGAAACACGGCAGACAATTGCGCACAGTAGTGTCCACCAAACAGTCGTGGATTGAGTGATTTTTTTTTTGACTATGGCATAAATGCATGAACGGTGGTACTTCAAAATCTTCTTGGTTATCCCCAACTCACCAATCCTGATAATTACACTATTGAATCAGTAGACTAGAATTGTTATTTTGAAAAAGTGAAACATGTACATTATCTGTGTGAAATCCCACTAGCTGTAGGTTTGGAGCAGGAGGTGCATGTAGACTTTTTTATGCACTGATGCAATATACAACCATTTTCCATGTAGTGTTGGTTACTCAAGAGAGCGTTCAAAAAGTAGCTGGGGACAGAGCCAATCAGAGGGCGAAAATAACAGGGCATGTAGTTCCTTATTTAGTTTCCCATTCACATTAGCCAAGCTACAGTAGCCACTTTCATTTCACCAATGGTACAGGAGCCTGTGGGCCTGCAACTCTCTTCAATCATATGGATATGCCATAACTTGTCATCTGGGTGGGGAAGCTTTAACTGGCACACACCTAGTAGCATTTTGCCCCCAAGACTTGGAAACCTATCATAATGGACTAAAATTGCTATTGCAACTATGAGCAACCAGCACATGTATTGGCACTTCAGAGTAAGGGAAGTGCACAGGCACTGGCAAAGTAGAAATCATGCTATAAATCGTGAATAATATGATCAAGGAGATTCTGTAATTTCACTACGTCTCGGCAGTTCCACAAGAATTCAGACAAGATCCACTTGAAAATCTTTGCAGTTGCTGCCATTATATTTGCAAACATCTTTGAGTTGTGTTGAGGTGCTGACATGTCTGAATGATTCTAGATGACAACAACCAATTTATAGTTTTGTTGGATCATATAGCCAAAAGATGAAGGCCATCGTTGATAGGCAGAAAAACAAGTTTGAAAAATGCATCTGGCTAATGAGCACATTGGATTTGATCATAAAATAGTCAGCAAACCACCTTGATATCTGAAATTGATTCTCTTTACTTCTGGGCTTTCAGACACAGAATATATATTTTGTCTGATGATAAAAGAAAAACTTGTATGTTATCACATGCGGAATTCCAAAATAGACCAAGCAAAGTTTCCCCCAGCCATCTCCAAATCTTCACTGGGAAAAAGTCTCTTGATTCTCTGTATGACTTTACCGTTACTTTAAAGTTAACTGCTAGAATCCCGAACTGACATGTGCCATATTGTATACCGGGTCTTCAACACCCTGTATAGTCAAGAGTTGAATTAACTTTTGGTGGAAAAGAGACACCTTTCGAATGGAATTCATTAATTTCAAGTGAGAACATTTCATCATTGAAACAATTTTTTCAATAATTCCAGCTTTTGAGGAGAAGCAATTTTATCGCAATCAACTTAAGAGTTGTAATGGTTGCTTCCAGAATGAATTTTTAAAAAATGCCCCAGATAGTCAGTTCAAAAATGAAAATGTTGATTTGTTTCTAATGGTATTATTTTAACCACCATAACAAAAAAGGCAGTAAATTTGGATTAAAGCATCAACAATGAAACACTCACCACTAGCGAATGTTTGCATAGATGTGTTAAGATTGTGAATATGTGAATTGATCAGTGGTAAAATGACAAACAACCGAGCCAACATTCCTCCACCGCACTCCCAAAAAAGGTCATTTACTCCATGTCTGTTTGTAGGACATTGCTATGTGCAAATTGGCTGCTGCATTCACCTACAAAATATACCTAGTCACTCCAATATATCCTCTGAAGTGCTTTGGGACATCCTCCTGAGGTGAAACGTGCTATACTAACTTATTAATTTCATTTTCCCAGAAAAAACAACCTCAAGCAACCTTCAGTTCACTTATCAAAAAACCCAAAATATGCTTCTCAAATGGGATCCCTTACACTTATAGATTGCAAACGTAATGTGTGTTACGTCAATCTTATGAAATGTGAGATCTGAATAGGCTTTGTATATTTTTGCTATTCTAATTTTATGTATAATATCATAGGGGGGCAACCCCTTCAATTTGTACATCCAACATGTAGCATTTTTTTCAAATACAGTAGCAAAATCAAAGTAGAAATGAAATAATCAATACTTAATTCAAATTCACTTCATATTGTTAAATAAGGTAATACAGTAGAACCTAGTGAATGAGGTGTTCTCTTATAATGCTGGTTTACTTATAATACAACTAGCTGTACCGTTGCAGCTACGCTTGCAACCAAAGGATCCAATATGGAATGTAGATTGACAACAACAAGATTACATTTGTATAGTGCCTTTCACGTCGGGAGGACGTCCCAAGGCGCTGACAGAGTACAGCATTTCACACCCGAGCTGGGGTTGGGGGGGAGAAGGGAGGGAAGGGGAAGGGGGGGTGGCCGATAGCATGGTTGAAGACGAGGGTCTTGAGGCGGGACTTGAAGGAGGCTAAGGAGGGGGCGAGGCGGAGTGACTGGGGGATGGAATTCCAGAGGCTGAGGGCAGAGTGGCTGAAGGCTCTCCCGCCAATGGTGGGGCGGGTGGGTCCAGGGACGTGGAGCAGGCCAGAGCCGGCTGAGCGGAGGAAACAGGCGGGTTGGTAGGTGGTTAGGAGGTTGCAGAGATAGGGTGGGGTGAGGCCATGGAGGGCTTTGTATGTGAGGACCAGGATACTGAACTGGATCCTCTGAAGGATAGGGAACCAGTGGAGTCAGGCGAGAGTGGGGGAGATGGGGTCACGGAGTTTGGTGTGGGAGGACACGGGCTGCAGAGTTCTGGATTATCTGAAGCCTGTAGAGACACACAGACAGACAGACTTATTCTTAAAAGGTTTGATTTTCGCTTCGGCATCTTTACAATGATAAATATAAATGTATAATTTATAATCACTGGGACGTCCTCTTGACATGAAAGGGGCTTTAAAAATTTTTTTTTGTTGTTGCCGTGGCTTAGCTTTGTCTGTATTCTTTATTTTGTTCCCGCCGACGCTGCTTGGCTACGTGCGAGCTCTGTGACACGAGATGCTACAGTGCCATGGTCAGCCGGCGTGGCCACAAGGTGTAACTGCACGATGCCACAGTGCCACTTTGACTCAGTGGCCACCAGATGTAATTGCAGTGAAAAATGCAAAACTGTAATACAATTTAGGTAATACCTCATGAACGATAGGAGATACCTGAAAACAAATATACCCATGTCACTCCCAGTTACCAGACCTTTCCAGTGAGGTATAAATCATATCTCTCCATCAATCAGTTATTGAGATCCTTCTTGAAGTGCACACTGACAGACAGACATTGTCATTTTATTAGCATAGATTATTTTATCAACCCACATTTGGTTTGGGATGCACAAAAATAAGGTAAACTTGCAGATCATCAAATTACTGCCAACGTCACTTCCTGTGCAATGTACATGCTATGTGCAGTGGGCAGGAAGTGAAGTCACTGTTGATCTGACAACCTGGAAGTTGACGTTTTTTTAAGCATGCAACAAGCTAGCTAGGGCACAGGAAACCAGACACCCTTCTGCTTGCATGTTCAGTAATGTCACAAATCAAGTGATTGGTGACAGCGATCACCCCCCCATCATAAGTCTGGTTGAGATTTTATGAACCCCAATTACCGCATTATAATGGAGTTCTCCTGTAACCAGTGATGTATTGCTAAAGAACACTATTTCAGAGTACTGATAAAAGTAATTTATTTAGCAATATGAAGTGAATTTGAAAATTTCAACAAATGATGGTTTAAATTTCATCTTATTATTTATTAGATTGAAAGATTCAGTCGATGTTAATTCAGTCAATAATTATTATTATTATTATATTAATGTTCACAATGTGGAGTCCTGTAGCTCAGTGGTTAGAGCACTCGCTTTGCAAATGAGACTTGGGTTTGATTCCTGGCAGGGCAAAACCTTGGGCAAGTTTCCTTACTCCACACGCCTAATAATAATCCCTCAAGAAAAAAAAACATTAATAAATTGGTCATTTCAATCCACGGCTGTTTGTGGGACATCGCTGTGCGCAATTGGCTGCCGCATTTCGCCCATAAATATACAGTTAATTCACTTTACAGTATATTCTGTGAAGCCCTTTGAGACGTCAAGAAGACGTGAAAAGCGCTATATCAGATGCAAGGATTATTATTATTAAAGTATTCTGGAATAAGTGAACACATTCTGAAGATAATACGTAAATTCAAGAAAGGTTTTACCTTTTTTCTGGATCCACATTTCAGTCTCTTCTTGACTAAGAACTGTATGGATTTAAGGATTCCACTTGTAATGGCTTCACTTGTCTTTCTACCTAATTAAACCAAAGGGTATACTAGTCATTTTAAACTATGCTATTATATGTAAAGTGAACCAAATTTATGTCTGCAGACACGAAAAAGAATGAAAATTCAAGCATTATGAGAAAATAATTTACCGTTATATTCTTCTGGCATGTTCTTGTTTGCTGCAAAGATCTTGATGACAGGAATTTTTTCAATTCCATACTGGCATCTCATTGATCCATATTTATCCACATCAATTGTACCAACTTTAACAATACCCTGTGTAGAGAAGGATACAGCTGTAGCACCAAAAGAATTTAATAATGACAAGTAAATATAAAGCATTTCTTATGTTTAGTAGAATTTATTGCACTTTCTCATCTCTTGTTGATCTGTATTCCAATTTATGTAAAGAGAATTAAAACATAATAATTGTTATAAACTTCTTGACATGGCAGTTAACTTACTTTTAAAGCAGTTGCTGTTTTCTTCCACTCCTGAACCATGCGCTGACAATGTTCATTCCTATAAGATGCATATATCCAGTTAACAGGCACCAAAACACTGCATTTGGCATTTGTATTTAATTGCTGATAATTAATTCCAATGCAATATATATTTATGTAGCATATTTTACATCGGGAAGACATCTCAATGTGTCTTACACTTCTAGCTGGGAATGGGAGTTACTGAAGAGGATGGGAGGGTGAAGGATGGCCAAAAGTAAAATACAAGGACTATAATAATAATAATAATCCTTGCATTTGATATAGCGCTTTAACATTTGTCTTCGAGACATCTCAAAGCGCTTCACAGAATATACTGTAAAGTGCATCCATTTGCGCTCCACAAACAGTTGTGGATTGGTTGACCAGTTTATTATTATTATTATTTTTTTTTGAAGGGATTATTACCCCCGGAAAAGCGATCCGCCAATCGACTAACAACTGGGTTCCCACTTACTGCAAAATACTGCAGATGCTGGAAATCTGAAACAAAAACAGAAGTCGCTGGGAACACTCAGCAGATCAGGCAGTTCTGAACAGTTCTGTTCCGACGAAGGGTCGTGGACCCGAAACGTTGACTCACTTTCCTTTCTCCATAGATGCTGCCTGACCTGCTGAGTGTTCCCAATGACTTCTGTTTTTGTTTCTACTTACTGCGAGGTAAACAGAGGCGTGTGGAGTAAGGAAACTTGCCTCACATTTTGTTATGCTAGGAATCGAACTCAGTTCTCTCGCTTGCGAGGCAAGTGCTCTAACCACTGAGTTGCAGAACTAATACAACGATCTTTAACTTACCAAGGAATGTAGAACAGTACCAGCCACATGTTGTCACTCTGAATCACTTCAACGTTGAAATTTATTGAAGTTAATTTTATTACATCGCTTGCTGAATACAATGCATTCACAGTCAAAACGAATGTGCAGGCTACAGCACCTTCAACACAAATCAAAAGATAGTTATCAAGCACTGAAACATTTAAGATTTAAAATGTGGTTGCGAGTCTTACAGCAAATCTCTTTTTTGAGCAAACCAGAAATCAAGAATTGGCTATCCCTGTCAACTATTTGAATTCAAACAATAACTTCTTCAAGGTGTGAATCATCTATTTATGGACCGTTAACTGTTTATCATCTAATTATGGAATGGTTACTGTTAATTCAGTTACGCAGATAACACCTTACATTTATCTACACAGTGCCCTTCACATTAAGGAGTGCTTTACGAAGATAGTTTGGGGGAAAAGGAGGTGATCATAAAGGTAGGTTTTAAGGTGGCACTTTAAAGACGTGATAGTTGAGCTGCAGCAGTGAGACGGAGGAAATTGTGTAATAATAATAATAAATAATCCTTGCATTTGATATGGCGCCTTATCACGTCTGTCAGACGTCAAAACAGAACGTACTGCAGTGAATTCGTGATGCATTTTGCGGGCGAATCCAGAGGCGAGCGGGAAAATCTAAAGGCTCAGCCGGCGCTGGTGGCACAGAGAAGGCAAGAATTTAAATGAAAAAAAAAATGAGCTTTAAAAAGAGACGACCGTACGAGCCCTGTTCGTGGTCAGACTGAAGCAGCGGTGGCCGTCAAGAAGCGCCACCCCCCACCCCCCGCAACCTTGGCACGAGTCTGGACACGTCCGCGTTCGAGCCACGGTGTGTCTTCGGTGTTTTCTTGATCGAATATAATAATAATAATAATTAATAATAATAGCAATCCTTGCATTTGATGCAGCGCCTCAGCACGTCTTCGAGACGTCTCGGAGCGCCTCACAGAATATACTGGAAAGCGTCTCGACCGGAAGAGTTTGTGGGCGAGACAATTACCTGCGGCGGCAGCTCATTTAGGGAACAGATCAAGAAATATTCAACGGAGAGCAGAGCGCGTACTGTGTCGGTCGGACGAAAGGCTGAGGCGACGCTCACTCACCTACGGCGGCGGCGGCGGCAGCTCTCATGCTCTCAGGCCCCGCCCCCTCCTCCTCCCGCCTCCACGCGCTCGGCCGCTGATTGGGCAAAATTCACGTTTTAATCATCAGCCCGAACCGCGGTTGGCGCACGCGCAGTGCGGGAGCAACGGTCCGAGCGCGCGATGAGCGCCGGACAAACAGCGAGAGAATAACGGACCAGGGCGGCGCGAGGGCGCGGCGGGCGGGTTGGGGGGGGTGGGGTTCACGCCCAATCGGGCGGGTTTCTGTTGCATTGCGCGCGTGAAACGGCTTTCGGGCGGGCGGGCGGGCGGGCGCCTGATTTTTTAAAAATTTTTTACCTTCAATTTAAAATTCCCAAATTTAATTTTATAATCATTTCAATTGATTGAGATTAATTTTTAAAAAAAAAAAAAAATTTTTTTTTAAAAAAAAATCACAACCCGTGTTTTTTTGGTGTTTGTTTTTCTTTTGTTTTGGAGACCTTTTCTTACGTCGTTTCAAAAGCACTAAACCCAAAGTTGGCTACTCTGCCACTTTTGGGCTGGTGTGTTGGGCTCTCACTCCCCGATCTAACGCCCGGCGCCTCCCCTCGACTGGCACCGGCCCCCCGCCCGTCCCTCGCACCCTCCGCCCCGCCATCGGAGGTCATGCTTTCGGGCCACTACAGCCCAAAACTCTGGGACGCTCTCCCTCAATCCCTCCAACTTGCCCCCCACCCACCTCTCCCCTCTTTGCGCTCTGAGACGCCACCCTGGGTGGAGGGCGTTGCGTAAGTGCAAGTTGTCGTCGTCGTATTTGACTTGAGATTTGGCGACAAACTGCGTTTTAACTTCGGGCAAACCCCGGCGCAAGGGCAAACCGGTCCAATCGCCGGCGCAAGCCAGGACACTCAACCATATATAAACTGGAAGGAGAAATGACAACTACAACAACGTGCATTTATATAACACCCTTCAGGCGGGGCGGAGTCTTCGAGCACTTAACTGACATGAAGTGACATAAAACTCACGACCCTATTTTGAAAAACAAACCCGGGGACATATGCGTAAAAACACTGAACTCACTGCAATTCCTGATGCTTCTGGAGAAGCTTGTTGGATTAATGGCTGTATTCCAGGCAGGGGAAACCTTGGGCAAGCTTCCTTACTCCACACAGAGCCTAATAATAATCCCTCCAAAACCAAAAACAATAATAAATTGGTCATTTTCAATCTACGACTGCTTGTGGGACATTGCTGTGCGCAATTGGCTGCCGCGTTCGCCCACAAATATTCAGTCAATTCACTTTACAGTGTGTTCTGTGAAGCGCTTTGGGACGTCCTCCCGACGTGAAAAGCGCTATATCAAATGCAAGGATTATTATTATTATTATCATTACTTCATCCCGGTACTGATGGTCACTTTACAGGTCTGTGGAATTAGGATTAATTGACAGAATTGATGGGGATGCCTGCTGGTTCAAAGAAAGGTTAGATACCACTATTTATCACAATTAAAAGCTAATTTGTTGCTTCAGATTATGGGTCAGTTCTGAGTCCAGTCTTCATGCCAATCCAAAGGAAGCATTGCCGCAAAGTCAAGCCGGAATTGCGCCTGTAAACTTACATAACTTCAGTAGGATGATTATTGTGGTCCCAATTATCTATCCCAAGAAGAGCCCTTCATACCGAAAAATAAGAGTAATGTGTGTGAACATTCGCTGACTTCTCCCAAATTCTACGCAACCAACATCTGGCAAACTCTACAAAATCACAGGTGTCCATGGGTCCCTGCTGTCCGAGCGCCCCCGTGAAAATGGCTCCCAATTTTTAAAAAATATCTAGGTGGCGGGTAGCTAAGTCTAGAGGTGTTCAGCCCTCATAATCTACCTGCAGACCAAAAGCCGCCACTAGCACCAGCTACGCCATCCCTGGGTCCCCAGTATTCAACTGACGTTCTCCCACCAATACATAGTCCCAACATGTTACAGTAAATCCTGTGAAGCCCTTTGAGAATTTCAGTGATGTGATCGGGTTCTCTATCAAATGCAAGGATGATTATTATTTACTGATGTGTTTACTGAAAAAAATCTTAATGAGACTGATTAAGTGGGAGCATAGTATTATATATAAAAAATGCACCCATTCAAAATGTAATTAAGCCTTATTTAATAAAGTGATGTTTCATACAACAATTCAATTTTGGCAAAGTCAACTTTCAAAGAGTTCATGGGTTATATCTAATATTCAGAAATCCATAATTTTTTTAGATATTCGTCTTAGTTTACAACACATAGAATGAGACTACAAAAACTTTACGTACAAATTATGTGAGGCATGTTCCCCATAACTTATTATGACTTTTTGTAACTATTTATTGTGACGCATTGGTAAGCTTCACAGTTCACGTCCAGTTCAGACTGCAATAACTCTTAGGAGTTTGGCTGGCAGGGTTGAAGGCATATGGCTATACCAGTAAATTTTACATGAATCAGAGAGGCTGATCAACAAATGTCTCGGATTATTGCGGACCTGCCCCTTGTCTTCTTAAAACAAGTTCAATTTCAGGAAGATTTGTTTGCCTCCTCAAGTGAGTTATGTTTAGACATATTATTTGCCTAAGAGCATGAAGGACTGATGGAACACAATGATTCAAATCCAGAAATATTTGGCTGCAAGTCTGGTGCAAGCTAACCTATGTTAAATTGAATTGAAATGTGACAATGGTTAGTGAAACTGACAGACTGAAGTCGTTGCATTTTAACTAGAGATGAATCTGCTGGGCGGTATATATTTGAACACCCTCCAATTGTAATTTGCTAAAAACACAAATTAAGTAAAATATGCTTGACCAAGGTATAAATCAATTACATTGAACATATGTTTGTGGGCACTGCTGCCGCTTTTCGGCCACAAAACACAGTCAATCCACTTTACAGTATATTTTGTGAAGCGCTTTGAGACGTCTCGACGACATGATACAGCGCTTTATCAAAAAAATGTCAAATGCATGTAGATCAAGAAGAGTTTTTATCTAAGCCTCTCCAATAAACACCAGAAATTCTGTTTTCAAAAGAACCTCAGGTTTAAATCAATCAACTCGTGTATTCTTGAAGACTTTCAAATATCCCACAATTAAGTGTTAGAAATATGTCTGTATAAGATGTGTCGATGTGGTGTGTGCATGTGCTGGTGGGCAACATTTTGAACACTTTACATCACATTTGCTGTTTACCAACTCTTTTCTTCTGATATCCACGGTCACGAGTGCCAAAGAGACAAAAGTGCTGTCCCTCGTCTTGCAAAATATTATACAGATAATAAGAAAACGTGGTTATCCATAGTTATTTTAATCGATCGTGGACGGTACTCTTCAATAAGATGCATTTTGAATTATATTACTGTAGGTCGAAATACATAAAACAGCAATATTTATAGACTGCCCTTTATAGCAATAAACCAGTAAGCAAGAATTCATGACTTGGCCTTGAGAACTATAAAAGGTATTTTTTTTTTGGGGGGGTACCAGAGTTTCTGGTTGTCTCTCCTATTTATTGGACAGATGGCTGTGCAGTTTTTCACCAGCAGAGAGTGTTGCCAGTTTCGGATTGGTATGGCTGTTTTTTTTGCATACTCTCTTGTGCAAGTGAAGAAGAACCTGTGTGTGTGTGTGTGTGTGTGTGGGACGTGTGTGGGTACATCCAACAGATGATAGATATCACCTCCATGACCCCCAACTTGCTGGCGCTCTCCGGGGGGACTGTGCACTTTGCCTGTGCAGCCACGGGTGATCGCTGCTGCTCTACTCCGGTTGCATCGAACCGACTCCAAGGGGGAGACAGAGAGAGAGGGAGAGGGAGGGGGAGGGAGAGGGGGAGGGAGAGAAGCGGCGGCTCTCTATAAATTGCCGGGTTTTTCTGAGGAAGTTCTGGTGCCGCGAGCGTCCGGTCCCCGTGAGGGACGCTTCGCGCAAATCGGTTGCGGGAAGCGTGAGCCGCGCTTTTCTTTTTCGTGCACAGACAGCACTCGGCGTCACTCACTCTTTGCAAAGTAGAGTTGACTGCAACTTCAGGCGCTCCGCGGATTTGGTGAGTTTTCATCCCAAACCCCCCTCTCCCCCTCCCTCTCCCTCTCCCCCTCTCCCCTCTCCCTCCTCTCCCCTCTCCCTCTCCCCCTCTCCCTCTGGATTCTCACTTAACAAACCTGTCCCCGTCCCCCGTCCCAACAAAAAAGACATCTGACAGCACCTTCCAAGATCGATGCGGCGCTATTAACGTTTGCAATACACACACATATATATATGTGTGTACGTCGCTTAACAACGAGGGCATCGCGGAAAGTGGATGCAGTTGGGACGTTCGCCCCAAAAAAAAAAGGAGTCAGTCCCGGACGCGTCGTGCCCTTTAACGGCTGATTCGGTGCGAAAAAAAACGAGAGCGAGCGGCCACCGGCAATGAGGGGGGGACGACCCGTCGACCCGGACCGCGGGGTCCCGGGGGCCCGGGAGGCGCCAGAGGAGGAGGCGGCGGCGGCGGCGGTGGTGGTGGTGAACGTCGGCGGAGTGCGCCACGTGCTGTGCGGAGAGCTGCTGAGCCGCTTCCCGCGGAGCCGCCTGGCCGAGCTGCTGAGCCGCGGCGGCCGCGGGGCCGAGGCCGGGGCCGCCCCCTCCCTGTGCGACGACTACGACGCGGCCGCGGGCGAGTTCTACTTCGACCGCGACCCCGACTGCTTCAGGTGCCTGATGGAGGCGTACCGCTGCGGGCGGATCCACGTGAAGCGGGGGCTGTGCCCCGTGTGCTTCCGGGACGAGCTGGACTTCTGGAGGATCGACGCGGACGCCCTGGACGAGTGCTGCCGGTGTCTGCTGAGCGAGAAGCGGGACGAGCTGGAGGAGATCGCCGGGCGCGTGCGGCTCCTGCTGGACGGCAGAGGGGACGGCGCCGGGCGCCGCTGGGGCAGGGCCCAGCGGTTCGTGTGGCACCTGATGGAGGAGCCCGACTCCTCGTGCCCGGCCCGAGCCGTCGCCGTCCTGTCCTTCCTGCTCGTCCTGCTCTCCTCGGCGGTGATGTGCCTGAGCACCGTCCCCGACCTGCAGGCGAGGGACGGGGACGGGGCCCCGGTGGAGCACCCGGCCCTGGGCTCCATCGAGACCGCCTGCATCGGCTGGTTCACGGCGGAGTACGCCCTGCGGCTCCTCTCGGCCCCGAACAAACTCCGGTTCGCCTCGGCCTTCATGAACGTCGTCGACCTGCTCGCCATCTTCCCCTTCTACCTGGGCCTGGGGCTGAGCGCCGTGGGGGCCTCGGTGCTGGAGCTGACCACGGTCCAGCAGGCCACCCAGGCGCTCAGGGTCATGCGGATAGCGAGGGTGTTCAAGCTGGCGCGGCACTCCAGCGGTCTGCAGACCCTCACCTACGCCCTGAAGCGGAGCGTCAAGGAGTTGGGGCTCCTGCTGATGTACTTGGCCATCGGTATTTTCGCCTTCTCGGCCGTCGGCTTCACCGTGGAGCAGAGCCATCCCGAAACGCTCTTCAAGAGCATCCCCCAGTCCTTCTGGTGGGCGATCATCACCATGACCACCGTGGGCTACGGCGACGTCTACCCGAAGACCCCTCTGGGGAAGCTCAACGCGGCCGTCAGCTTTCTGTGCGGCATCATCGCCATCGCGCTGCCCATCCACCCCATCATCAACAACTTTGTCAGGTACTACAACAAGCAGCGGGTGTTGGAGACGGCGGCCAAACACGAGCTCGAGCTGATGGCGCTGAACGCCGAGTGCAGCGGCCACGTCGGGGGCTCCGTCCCGATCGCCAAACCCGACGGTGATACCGGCGATACGCCGCCGACGCTCACCGGTGCCTCCTCACACGGCGCACATTGCAACGCCCGGACTCCGCTGCTGCCAGAGGACCGACTGCATCGTGACAGACCCCAGAGCTGCGAGTAGATCCGATTGCAATGCGGTTCTGGCATTTCCACACCGGGGATACGTGCAATTCAGCTCCTGTTGTACATGCACCGCAGGAACGTTAATCGGCTCGTCTTATTTCTCAACATGTACTGACCGGTGCAACTGGACGGTGACCCTCTGCATGCTTCATACTAAAAACATAGTAAAAACAACACATATGAATGAATGCACATATCGTGTGGCGACAGTAAATCTTCACTCACCGTTTGGGACACCACTCGATTTCCCTTTTCGAGCTTTTCGGGACAGAGAAAACTTATGTGTATGCCGACAATTAAAGCAGAAGTGCTCGGAAATGTCTTGTTGGGAGTTTTTCTTTATACACTGCACGTTGATTAATTGAACGATAGTTCAATGAATTGAAGGTTTTAGGTACTGTACACATGTTACAATACAATACCCCCCCTTCCCCCCCAGAGAGGGACTCTCAACCATGAAAGGCTGCACCAGAACTGCCCAAATGAAAAACAATCTAAACAGTAGTTTGAAGTATTTGGAGGTTCACTATTTTAGTGGTGGGGATTACAAGGAAAACTACAAATTCCATTTATATTGGTTTAATTTCTATGACGAAAGTAAAAAATATATTTCTGTCGGAACACACGATTCCGAAACATTTTTTTCCCATCGAAACACAATCAATAATAATGGAGAAACTATCATTTTAATATGTGAGCACAATATAACTATCTCAAGAACAGTGGTTGCATTAATATATGGAATATTGTTTGCATAATATCTATGGTGCTAAATAATTTAGTGTAAATAATGCATATGCCAATTGAACGTATATCACTGACAGTACTTACCATAAGAGCAACGTTAGGTCTGTTTACTTTAAATTTTAGTTAAAATTGACAATCGCCCTTTATATTACTGGTGACAATATAGAACATTCTTTTTTAAAAATGTGGTAAATGGCCCCAATCATAGGGCACTTTGTTTCTTCTTTCTTTTTAATTGCTTAGAAATCCTAGAAATCATTGATTTCATATGACGCATGAATGGGTTAAATGTTGTTTTGTTAATTGGTGTGAATGGGTAAAGTACAATAAAATAAATTAGAAAGGTGGGTTTTAACGAGTTAACACAAACTGCTAGCCTGCAATTTCCTTGATTAAGGTTAAAAGATAAAGTAGAGACGTGGAGTCCTGTAGCTCAGTGGTTAGAGCACTCGCTTTGCAAGTGAGAGACCTGAGTTCAATTCCAGGCAGAGGGCGAAATCTTGGGCAAGTTTCCTTACTCCACACACTTAATAATAATCCCTCAAGAAAAAAAAACATTAATAAATTGGTCATTTCAATCCATGACTGTTTGTGGGACACTGCTGTGCGCAATTGGCTGCCGCGTTCGCCCATAAATATACAGTCAATTCACTTTACAGTGTATTCTGTGAAGCGTTTTGAGACGTCGAGAAGACGGGGAGCGGCGGCAGGACAGCGCGGGGAGGAGCCTGGGCCTTCCTACCCAGGTATTTAAGGTCGCGGCGGCAGGGAGTGCAGCACAGGGCTGTGGGGCTGAGGAGGGAACGGGTGGGGGCGGAGTGGGGGAACCGCTGACGTCATAGTTTAGTTTTCAGAAGTGTGCTCGCAAAAAAAACCCACAAAAATACCTCTGCGCCCCCCCCACCCCCAGGGCTCACATCAGGGCCCACCATGGTCCTGTTGGGTTGGCTGCCCCAGCCCCAGCCTGTGGGATAATGTTTCCATCCACCTGACCGCTCGCTCCCGGTCCCCGCGCGCGCACTATGGCTGCCGCTATGACCCGAGCCCCCTCACCCTCTCCCTCCCTCCTCCCTCCTCTACCCCCAAACCCTCCCCCCTCTGCATCTCTCCCGCTCTGTCCTCTCCGTCCCTCTCGCCTTCTATCCCCACTTGACCCTCCTACAACCTCCCTCTGCTCCAGCCTGGGAATCCTCCGCCGGGCTCACCGTGGCACTCGGCGTTGGCTGTCCAGCAGCAGCCACACCGACTGCCCCATTCCCCACCACACTCGCCAGCCACCCCGGACACAGACCCGGGGAGCCAACCTCTCCTCCCTCATCCCCATTTCCCCCACCCCTGCCTCACAACCTGGACCCCCTCCCTCCCCACACACCCTTCTGTCAACCGCTCCCTCCACATCGGACAACAAAACGTCCGCTCCCTCTGTAACAAGGCCCTGGTCATCAACGATCTCATCCTTGATGAGAGCGTTGACATGACCTTAACGGAAACCTGGCTCACCCCAGGCGACACCTTCCCCCTCACGGAGGCCACACCACCCGGCTACACCTCCCACCACATCCCTTGCCCCAACCGCCGTGGCGGTGGTGTAGCCCTTATCTCAAGGACACCACTTGCCCTATCCCCCTACTCCTCTGGCTCTTTCCCCTCTTTTGAGCACCTCACCCTCTCCCACCCCTCCTTCCTCTCGCTCCAAATCCTCCTCCTCTACCACCTTTATCTCCGATATTTCGACACTTCTTACATCTCTCTGCCTCTGCTCTGATCGCCTCACTATCCTGGGCGACTTTAACCTGCACTTCACCCCCTCCTGCTCCATCTCCTCAGATTTCTCTTCCCTGCTCTCCTCGCTCAACCTCTCCCTCCACATCAACTCCCCCACTCACAGTCACGGCCACCCACTCGACTTGGTGATCACCCGGGGCCTCAGTGTCTCGGATGTCACTATCACCGACAAGGCCGTCTCCGACCACCACTTCATCTCCTTCACCACCTCCACCCCCCTCCCCACCTCCACCAGACCCACCACCATCTTCTACCGCCCTGGAAGAAGTTACCCCCACAATCCCTAACCGCTGCCTTGGAGTCCTCTGAACTCCTCTCCCTCTGGCCTTCAACCCTCACTGACCCCTCTTCTGCTCTCACCCTCCTCCACAACACCCTCTCCTCCACACTCGATACTCTTGCCCCATCACCTCCCGTACTGTCTCCTACTCTCGCTCCTCCCCCTGGTTCACCACCCACCTCCGCTCACTGAAGAGCCAGGTGCGGGCCGCTGAACGCACCTGCGTCAAATCTGGCCTAACGGTCCACCGACAAATCTGGCTGGACCTCCTCAAAATCTACCGCTCCACTCTAGCCTCGGCCAAATCGTCCTTCTACTCCAGGATAATCCTGGAGGCGAAGAACAACCCCAGGCTACTGTTTTCTACCACATCCCGACTCCTCCGTCCCCCCGCCACCCGCGCAGGTCATCTCCTCCAACCTTCACTGCGAGGAGATGCTGGATTTCCTTGAATCCAAAATCAAGGGAATTCGCTCCGCGGTCACTTCCCCTCCAACATCCACCAACCCCCCACCCCCTCCCTCCCACACTCCGACTCCTACCCATCCTCCCCTACACACTTTTGTACCCGTTTCCCCACCCTCTGTCACCAAACTCATCCTATCCCTGAAACCCACCACCTGCTCCCTTGACCCCATCCCCACTCCACTCCTTATCTCCCAGCTCCACCTCCTTGCCCCACATATCACAGACATCGTCAACCTGTCCCTCTCCTCTGGCTCTGTTCCCATTCCCTTAAAAACTGCCACCATCACTCCCACCTTGAAAAAACCCTCCCTTGATGCGTCGCAGCTATCAAGCTACCGGCCCATCTCCAACCTCCCCTTCCTGTCCAAGGTCCTGGAACGAGTTGTCGCCTCCCAGCTGCGCTCTTTCCTCTCCACCCATTCATTATTCGAACCCCTTCAGTCGGGTTTCCGTGCTGCCCATAGCACAGAAACTGCCCTGGTCAAGGTCACCAATGACATCCTGACCATCTGTGACCAGGGCTCCCTCTGCCTCCTCGTCCTCCTCGACCTATCGGCAGCATTCGATACGGTCGACCACGCTATCCTCCTCCACCGCTTGTCCTCCCACCTCAACCTTCAAGGCCCTGTCCTTGAGTGGTTTAGGTCGTACCTCTCCCACCGTCTTCACTTTGTTTCCACGAATGGTTTTTCCTCCAGCCCCCGCACTGTCTCGTGCGGTGTCCCTCAAGGCTCTGTCCTCGGTCCCCTCCTCTTCACCCTCTATATGCTCCCCCTTGGTGACATCATCCGCAGACATGGGGTTAACTTCCACATGTATGCGGATGACACCCAACTCTACCTTTCCTCCTCTACCCTCAACTCCACGACCACCGATGTCCTGACAGCTGCCTGTCCGACATCGAGTCCTGGACGAGAGACAACTTTCTTCAGCTCAACGTGCGAAAAACTGAGGCCCTCCTGATTGGCTCACGTCAGCGCCTCCGCACCTCAGGCGCTGACAGCATCAGCATCCAAGGCTGCACTCTCCACCTCTCAAAGCCAGTCAGGAACCTCGGGTTCTGTTCGACCCTGAGCTGTCCTTTCTCCCTCATATCCGCGCCACAACTGGCACCGCCTTCCATCACCTCCGGAACATCGCCAGACTACGGCACTACCTCACCCCTCACGCTGCTGAAACTCTGGTCCACGCCTTTATCACCTCAAGGCTGGACTATGGGAACTCTCTCCTCGCCGGCCTTCCCGCCACCTCCCTCCACAAGCTGCAGGTCATTCAGAACTCTGCAGCTCGTGTACTGTCCCGCACCAGGCTTCGGGACCACATCACTCCCACCCTCGCTCGCCTCCACTGGCTCCCCATCCCCCAGAGGATCAATTTCAAGATCCTCATCCTCACCTACAAGGCCATTCACGGCCTTGCTCCCTCCTACCTCTCCGACCTACTATCCCCCTACCTACCTGCCCGTACCCTCCGTTCCTCTGGCTCCGGTCTGCTCCACATCCCCCGCCCCAACCGCCCTACCATCGGTGGCCGGGCCTTCAGCCTCTCAGCCCCGAGGCTCTGGAACTCTATCCCCCAGTGCCTTCGCCGCCTCCTCCCTTTCCTCCTTCAAGGCCGGTCTCAAGACCTTTCTCTTTGACCGTGCCTTCAGCTCCCCTCTCGACTCTCTACCCCCTCCTCGCTCCCTCCCTTCCCTCCCCTCACCCTGACCATTTCCCCCCAATGCTCGGGTCCTGACCCAACTGTACAGCACCCTTGGACGTCCTCCTGACATGAAAGGCGCTCTATAAATGGAATCTTGTTGTTGGTGGTGGTGGTGAAAAGCGCTATATCAAATGCAAGGATTATTATTATTATTAGGGACGCCTTACTTATCAATGTGTGAAAAAGACTATTTTAAAATGCTCCCTGGAGTGCTTTGCTTGCTACGAACAAGCTGTGAAAGAAAAAAAGAAAGATTTTCAGCCTTTTTCGCCACACCCTCTGGAACTCCATCCTGGAGTTCCTCACCCTGCCCACCCCAACTTGCCTCCTTCAA